TTAAATCAAACGCACGTGTGTTTGGAGCAATGTTTATTGCAAGACTGAAGCGCCACCTGCAACACCTTATTAGAACTAAAACATAACACCTCCACCCTTATTTAGTTCTACTAACAATTAGATTAACTATCATAAACTTAAAACTATAAGTAACATACAAGTCTTACTTAACTAGGTACATGCTTATTTAACTAATATAAGGGTTAATGAACATACAACACAACAACAATAAAAACAAGAAAAAAAAACCTTAGTAACAGTAACCTACACTTGGTTAAAAATAAAATTATTATTAATCTATTTCCTCAAACCCATACCGAACAGGTGGTTTACGAAATCTTTGTGGACGGTTTTTTCCTACCCCAGTGCTAGGAGCCGTCTTATTTTGATCTAATGGTACATTAGACACATTCGAATCAGGTTGAGGGCTTGTAGGCGTGACAACATCTGGGCCTGTTTCGGAATCCAACCTAGGGCTCCTTGGAATAGCAGGATTTGTAATATTAAGCTCCTGCTCACTGCCGTCTGGTACCTCAACATTGGTTGAGGGAATGGCCAAAGACTTGCGTGATTTCTGATTTATTTCCAATTTTGTAGGTATGTCTAACCCTACTGTAGTGTTTGGAACGTTACTGGCTATAACCCTTTGTCTCAGTTGATCGACATGTCTGTGTATTTCCGTACCGAAACTTGTTCTTATAGAATAATCTGTGTTGCCTAACCGTTTAATTATTGTACCAGGTTGCCATTTATCTGAGCTCCTATACTCACGATACCAAATTTGAGCACCAGTCTCGAATAAACGCTGTGAACCCCCCTTATAGTACTCACTACGTGCCTGACGTATCGCTACTCGAAATTCCCTTTCCGGCTTCAAATTATCTAACCTTAAACGAAGACTACGCCCTTGTAATATTTTGGCTGGACTATCACCAGTAGTAGTATGTTCTGTATTCCGGTATGTCAATAAAAATCTGGATAACGCTATATCAACATCTAAATTATCTTTTAAAGCCTTTTTTATCGCGCGTTTACAAATTTTGACTGCGCTTTCAGCCGCACCATTCGAAGATGGGTGGTAAGGGGCTGTAAAGATGTGTTCAATACCATTATGTTCCAAAAATTTCTGAAATTCAACACTCGTAAATGGTGGTCCGTTATCACTAACGATTTGCTTCGGAAGACCAAACTGCGACCATAGTTTGCGTAATACGGTAATGACAGCTTGCGCAGTCGTTTTATTCATTTTAATAGCTTCAATCCATTTAGAACACGAGTCGACTACAATAAGATATGTTACTCCCGATATCGGTCCCAAAAAGTCGATGTGCAACCGTGACCAAGGTCGCGAAGGCCAAGGCCATGAGTGAGAAGCGTGCGCGGGTGGTGCGTCGGCCATCGCAGCACAAACGCCGCACGCGCGACACTCCGCCTCCCAGAGCCTCGTCTATGCCCGGCCACCACACATAACTTCGAGCAAGTGATTTAGTCTTCACTATTCCCATATGCGAGTCGTGAAGCTCACGAAGGACTTTTTTATAACACGATGGTGGTATAACTACCCGATGACCCCACATAATACAACCTAGTTCACAATATAATTCTCGTCTTCTATTAAAATATGGCTTTAGTTCCTTAATTTCGACCTCGGACGGCCACCCATCCACTATATAACTTAAAACCCGGCATAAAATAGGGTCCCGTCGAGTTTCCTTTTTAAGAACATTGTAATCTAAGAGCAAAGCTTCCGTTGCAAAATGTAAATAGGTTTGTTCAGGTAGTTTAATCTCCTCACATGTTACCTCATTTTTTTGCGAATAAATTAATCGAGATAGAACGTCAGCTGCATTCTTATCTGTTTTAATATATTCAATCGTGAAATCGTAAGCGGATAGTTTAATTGCCCAACGCTGCAGACGACTGGCCGCCGTACTTGGTATACCTATATTTGATCCAAAAATACTAACAAGCGGCTTGTGGTCTGTACGCAGTACAAATTTCCTTCCATATAAATACTGATGAAATTTGTCAACAGCAAATACAATCGCTAATGCCTCCTTATGAATTTGGCTGTAGTGTACCTCGTGAGCCGTGAGCGACCGTGAGGCAAACGCCACTACTCGCTCATCGCAGCCGCCGGGTGTGCGCTGCGCCAGCACCGCACCTAATCCGCGCGCGCTCGCGTCGACAGTCAAAACAGATTCCTTATTCAGATCAAAATGCTCGAGTGTGCTAGTACTACACAAAAATTTTTTGACTTGTATAAATGCCGTATTCTGTTGAGGACCCCATTTCCAATGATTCCCCTTTTTCAAAAGTTCGTACAACGGTGCTAGGTGCATGCTTAAATTTTTAATAAGCTTCCCATAAAAATTTACCATCCCCAAAAAAGATTTTAGCTCAGAAACATTTGTTGGATGGGGCATAGTGACAATAGCCTTTACTTTGTCTGGATCTACTCGTACACCACTCCTATCAATGATAAAACCAAGATATTTTACTTCTGCAGCCAGAAACTCGCATTTACTTTTTTTAATTTTTAATCCATTTGACTCCAAAATTTTTAAAACTTTTTCTATAGATTCTAAATGCGAAGGCAGGTCTTTATTCCTTATTAAGATGTCGTCATAAAAAATGGTTACATTGGGTGTGTTCTTGAACATATTCACCATTAGTTTTTGAAAAATCCCTGGGCTCGAAGATAAACCATAAACTAAACGACAGTATTTGAATAAACCCCTATGTGTATTAATTACTGTGTAATTTCTAGAGCTTTCAGATAAAACCACCTGGTTATATGCTTGCGACAAATCTAATTTAGTAAAATACATATTTCCACTAAGTTCGCTAAATAAATCGTCCATCTTCGGAATCGGAAATCTGTCGATCACTAAGACTTTGTTAAGGGTTACCTTGTAATCGGCACAAATTCTTAAACAGCCATCTGCTTTCCGTACCACAACCAGTGGAGTGGCCCAGTCGGAGTGATCAACTGGCTCAATGACGCCGGTCTTCAGCATCGCGTCTAGCTCCGCGTCGACGCGTTCACGCAGCGCATACGGTAGAGGACGCGCGCGACAGTACACAGGCACCGCTCCCTCTCGCACCTTCAACTCAGCCACACCGCCCGTAAAAGTGCCCAATGTACCATCAAACAGGGACTCATGTCTAGAAACAATTGTTTGGATCATCTGATTGCTGCATAATCCATTATTAAGATGATTAACTATATGATTGGTGCTCGAATTGACCTTACACACTTTAATCGGTATATTGAGTTCGGCTAACCATTGCCGACCTAATAAATTCGTAATTCCTTTATTAAAAACATACAAATCTAAAGTTTTAACTACACCGTGATAGTTAACAGTTGTCTCTATGAAACCTAAAGGTTGAATAATAGAACCATCATAGAATTTTAAACTTAAATTACATTTTTTTAAAGGCAAATCACTGAATAATTCGTCATACACTGTTTTACGAATGCACGACAATGCTGAACCTGTGTCAATTTCCATTTTAAGTAAGTGATTTTGAACCTTAACAGATATACGCACCGGTTTATAATTGCTTAGTGATAATTGATACATAGGCTCGTCGTCGCACTCGTCGGTATCGTCCGTAGAGTACATCTTATTATTCATGCTTTCAGTGTGCACTTCTTCATCTTGCTCCTCGTCTTGCTTGTAGAATATTCGTGTTCCGTTACCTCTCGCCGTATTGCGCTGCCCGCGCTTTGCCCCGCCGACCGTGGCGCGCCCGCCGTTGCCGCGAACAGATACACGTTTCCCCCTCGAATATGATGATGATCCGTACCGACCACCACCACTGGCAGAATCCGCCCGCTCTTCCCGTCTTGCAATCTTTTGACACATTCTTCTCAAATGTCCTGTTTCACCGCACCCGCTGCACACATAGGATTTAAATGTACAATCGTTTGATTTATGCTTGCCGCCACATCTCGGACAACTGTAAAGGTTCAGCTTGTGTATTCCTTCAGCTGCTTCCCCATTGCCAGGCTCCACTGCACTCGCGTCCCGCTCTGCAGCCTCTAATGACAACGCCAGACTGACCGCTTTATTGTATGGTAAATTTTCCTCCGCAAACAATTTTTGTCGAATCATCTCGCTACTCAGGCCACATACCAACTGATCTCTAAGATTATCATCCAGGGCAGATTTAAACTCGCAAAATTTTGCCAGTTTTTTAAGCTCCGTCACGTAATCCGCTATAGATTCGTTGGTAAGTTGACGTCGTTGTCGAAACTTGTATCTTTCAGCCACAATAGATGGTTTAGGCTGTAAATGAGCAGCTAATATTTCGACAGCTTTATTGTAAGATAATTCTGACGGTCTTAATGGGCTGGCTAATGTAGATAGAAGATCATATGCTTCTTCTCCCATAAATGAAATTAAAGTAGGTAATTTAAGCTTATCTTCCACTTTATTCACTATGAAATACATTTCGAGTCTTTCGATATAGGATGACCAATTCCCTGATTTTATTTCAAATTCCCGCACTTTTCCGACCGCCATTTTGTTTTTCCTCGTCGCCACTGTTAAATCAAACGCACGTGTGTTTGGAGCAATGTTTATTGCAAGACTGAAGCGCCACCTGCAACACCTTATTAGAACTAAAACATAACAGCCATGAGGATCATTATGGTCTTACTAATTTTTTACAATATTCAGTTTATATATTTTCTGGTTCAAATTTATCATTTCCGTAAAGCCAGAATGGCCTGAAAGTATACAAGTATGTTGTGTAATTAGTTTAAGGCCACTCTATGGCTCTCATGGCCTCAATTTAACTTTCAGTGTTAAATTGAGGCCATGAGAGCCATAGCTATATATATTATATAGCCATATATATTGAAAAAGTCTGAAATTATCGATGTTGGTTTCATCCGATCTGATAAGTAACAATAATTGAACGCAACCTTATTACTACAACTGTCAAACGGAACGACAATATTTTTAATCTGTGTTCGCCGCGTAAACTGATTGTTTTGTGCAAAACGATAATAAATTATAAAAAAATCTTTTTAAAAATATTATAAAGGACACAATAATCTATTTGGTACCAGTTATGAAAGACCAGATATTTTGATAACGAGGAGCTGGGAAAAGCCCATAGTATAATCCAGCCGGCTTCAAAATGACTTCGATTATTAAGTTGCACTGCCTCTCAGGGGCTGGTAATGAGGCTCCACCATGCTATGTACTACAGATAGATGAATTTAAATTCCTCTTAGACTGCGGATGGGATGAAAACTTCGATATGGACTTCATAAAAGAACTTAAAAGGTTGGGATTTGAGGTTATGTTTTTGGTAGAATGTCGCTTCATAGAATGTCTTTCAGTAGTCTGTTATCAAATGTATAGTATGCTTAACTGGTTACTATGCTATTATATTTACCCTAAGCACGCTTTCAAAAAGACAAGTGTAACGTAAATGTATATTACAATAATAACAAAACCGCTTTCCAAAATAATTCTTGATTTTATGATAACTTTTTGCCTCTTCACAGACACATAAATACAATAGACGCAGTCCTAATATCACATTCGGACCCCATTCACCTTGGAGCCCTACCATATGCAGTTGGAAAACTTGGTCTCAACTGTCCGATATATGCCACCCTACCGGTCTACAAGATGGGTCAAATGTTCATGTATGATTTGTACCAGGCACATAGGAATGTATCAGAGTTCGATCTGTTTACGTTGGATGATGTTGATGCTGCCTTCGATAGAATTGTGCAGTTGAAGTATAATCAGAGTATTGATATGAAAGGTGAGTTATTTAATTATTTTTATATCGGTACTAGCTTTTGTCGCGCGGTTTCACTCGCTGCTCGGCTCCTATATATCGTAGCGTGATGTTTAATAGTTAGTTAGTCTATTTATTGAGGAAGACTGCCTAAAGTCTTCCTCAATAAATAGACTAACTAACACAAAAAGAATTATTCAATTCAAACCAATTGTTCTGGGGAGTAGCATGTTCAATGTAATGTCAATACTTTATATTAAACACAATGTGTTACTATTGTTGGTAGACCGGTATATAAATATTTTACAGTGACCAGGTAATATATACCTAGGTTTCGTCCATCATAGGGTGAGAGAAGTCATTTGATAATTTAAAAATTACTTATTTTTTGTTTTTTTGTTGTGTCAATCACTAAAACATTAAATCCTGATTATAATTTCACTTGGACTTTAGTGACCGATGCAATATATAATTATTTCAGTATGTAGCTAACCAGGAAAACTGAGATTTTGAGGAGATATTTAACCCTGATGATTTATAATAATAAAATGACATCAGTTCTGAATACACAAAGTCAAGATTGATTTAACTATTGACTTTGTTACAAAATTTTACCTCTTTATAATATTAGTATAGATTACGGATTAAAAGAGACTGGACCCCACAACACGGAATCTTAGTGTTACATCCAGTTCTTAATTCCACTTTTGTAAAAATTATTTGCGACAGTAACACCTGGTTTCCGAAAGGCTGATCAATGTTAAAATCAATTTAATCTCTTGTCAAGTCATCTGATTGGTTGACTGAATTATCAATAACCAATCAGATGACTTGACAAAAGATTTAACAGGAGATTAGTTAATTTTAGCATTGACAAGCCTTTCAGAAACCAGGTGTTAATCATTTTTATTATATTTATAACACACCATTGAATTCTATTTTTCCATATTCCAGGAAAAGGCTTAGGACTTCGTATAACACCGTTGCCGGCTGGCCACTCCCTCGGTGGCACAGTATGGCGTATCGCAGCTCCAGGGGAAGAAGACATAGTGTATGCTCCTGACTTCAATCATAAGAAAGAAAGACATTTAAACGGATGTGAGATTGAGAGACTTATGAGACCATCTCTGATGCTGCTCGGAGCAATGAATGCTGACTATGTGCAGCAAAGGAGACGATTGAGAGATGAAAAGCTTATGAGTAAGTTGCTCTAAGATCAAATCAGAGTATTTGATATCTAAATATTACATTGAATATTATATTTATTTGAAAAATAATTTGGTTGTGTAATACGCAATATAGCTTAGCTTATTGCTTAGCTGAGGTCGCAGGTCAAGCGCAATAATGTAGGTACCGCGGCCTCGGCCTTGAGCAAGATAAGGAACAACGTGAAGCTCTTTAGTCAGATAGAGTCTCACACTCCCTCTCGCCATACCCTGAGCGAAAGAAGTCATCAAGTGTGGGAGAGCCATGCTTCGGCACGAATGGGTCGGCTCGACCGGAGTGATACCACGGCCTCACAGAAAACCGGCGTGAAATAACCACAGCGTTGTGTTTCGCCGTGTGAGTGAGGTTACCGGAGGCCCAATCCTTTCCCTCCCCCAATCCCTCCTAAATCCCTAAATCTCCAAATCTCTAATCCCTAAAAGGTCGGCAACGCACTCGTAACTCCTCCGTTGCGAGTGTCCATGGGCGGCGCTGATTGCTTACCATCAGGTAATCGGTCTGCTCGTTTGCCGACCTATTAAATAACAAAATAAAAAAAAAGTCATTTGATGATTTTCCCTTCATAAGAAAAAGCACTATATACCTAGAGATTATTTCCATCGACTTCTTCCACTTTGACAATTTTGTTTTACTAAGCCCTTTTTTATTTATATTCTTGCCACCTTAATGAGTAATTACCATTTCACATACACATCACACCCGGAGCCAGAACAACAATTTGTAGATGACACAAAGAATTGTTCCGTGCGGGAATCGAGCCCGCGACACGTTGCGCGGCCCAGAAACCGCGCCAACCATGCAATTTTAAGTCGTTGACTGCCGACGGATTACTGTTGTCCCCCATGGTGTCCAATATGTTAAGCATTGATAAACAACAACAATATTTTTATTTATAACACAAACTATTCTTGTAAGCCACTCCTTATTATTGGTACTGTATTCCAGCAACGATCTTGACAACACTGCGGGGTGGTGGCTGTGTACTGGTCTGTACTGACACTGCGGGCCGAGTATTAGAGCTGGCGCACATGTTGGACCAACTCTGGAGGAACAAGGACTCCGGGCTAGTCGCATACTCGTTACTACTCCTCTCCAACGTCAGCTACAATGTTGTGGAGTTTGCCAAGTCTCAGGTATGTTTGTTTTCGATTTTTATATTTTTTTTAAAAGCATAATCCAAGTAGGTCTTCTCAGTGTCTACCCACCCAAGGAGTTTTATATCTGTGTGTTTAAAAAGTATACCAAACAAATCTGAATTAAATTCTTAGCTATGCTGTAAAAACTATGCAATATCTTTCTTCTACAAAAATCAAAGCTCAAGATGCCGAATTCACTCTTATTTTTCTACACTAGTCTACAGTATGAAATGCAGTGAACTGCTACATACTGTACAAAAAAACATTTCCACTTATTCAACATGGATTTATTTCAATTACATTAACAAAGCAATAACATGATAATGCAAAACAATAGAAAAGTTCTAATATTAACAAAAATACATAAAAATGTAATTTTGGAGTAACATAAATAAATATGTGAACTAAAATAAAATAGAAAAACATTGTATACATAAATATTCATTGTACAAACATAAAGACAGATTTTTCTTTTATTTTTAAAATATTTAAAATTTATTTTAAACATTAAATAAAAAAAGAAAAATCAACAAAACGCTTAATAACTTTCTCAAGACTCTCCTTATTCTTCAACCTCCTCTAACTTACAGATAGAATGGATGAGTGACAAGTTGACCAGAGCATTTGAGGGAGCTCGCAGCAATCCATTTGCCCTCCGTCACCTTCAACTATGTCACTCAGTCGGTGAGGTCAGCCGTACTCCGGGGCCCAAGGTCGTATTAGCTTCCTTCCCAGACTTGGAGTGTGGATTCGCGAGGGATCTGTTCCTTTTATGGGCTCCGAATCCTCAGAACTCCATTGTTTTGACGGCTCGGTAAGTTGTTCAATAATTGACTGCTCTATATATAATTTTTAAATTGAATCCATGTAAAAAAAAGTCAAATAAAAAAAAATCAAGTGTAAAAGTATTATTACAAATTAAATTAGTATAATTATAACTGATACTCCTTTCACATCATCATATCATCAGCCTATAAATGCCTACTGCTGAGCAAAGGCCTGTTCTCATACGAAGATGGTTTGAGCATTTATCACCAACTTGCTCAATGCGGGTTAGCAATTTCAAACTTATAATTCGAAATTATAAGTCCAGGTTTCTTCACGGTGTTTACCTTCACCATATGTTACGCTTCACCATATTTTAATTATTTTATTTATTTTTAAAATATTTGTACCAATTTCTATATTTAAAGACAACTTACAAATCTTACACCCTTATACATGCTAAAGATTCAGTTTAGTGAACATTTTAAAGTGTATTCTTAATTAAATGATGCCATGGCATTCATTATACGACGATTTTTAAGACCAACTTCTCAATATTTATCAGCAAGTACTGAATGATTATTCTATAATTTCCCCCAGGTCCTCTCCAGGCACCTTAGCACGCGATCTTATAGAGAAAGGCGGCGACCGCACCATAGAACTGAACGTGCGACGCCGCGTCAGACTGGAGGGCGCTGAACTCGAGGAGTACATGCAGAACCAGAGGGTCAAACTCAATAATACTGTCAAGTTAGTATAATAATAGTAATTTATTAAATATAAGTGGCCCGCCCCTGTTTCGTACGGGTGTCCATCGACCAAAGAGTTGCTATTACCCAATTTTAAATTTGAAAATTTTTCTTTCAATTCAATTCTTTTATCCAAATATCAAAAGCGATATTTTTCTATGAAATTTGTATGAAACCCCAAATTATGACGTCATAGTATTTTTGCGTCAAACAGCTTACTGTACTTATTTCTTAAAAATTTGCTAAAAGATATCTAAAATTTTATGTATCGACAGATTGATAAATAAAAGTACTTCTAGTTATTTTTCAATATTTTATTGTATTGAAACGTCGAATAAATTTATTTTTGACCTAGGAAACTACCCAATTATTGAAAAGTTACTAAGTTTTAGATTGTTTAGCTAATTACTAAGAAATAAGTAAGCTGTTTGACGCAAAAAGTTATGACGTCATTATCGACTCAGTTTTTCATACAAATTTCATAGAAAAGTATCGTTTTTGACGTTTGGATAAAAGTATTGAATTTGAATAGTTGGAAACTACCGTGTTGGTCCCATCAAAAAACAATAATATTTGTGTTTCAGAGAAGAAACAGCGGGTATATCATCAGATTCGGACTCCGACGGGGAGCTGGAGATGTGGGTGGTGACGGGTAAGCACGACATACCCGTCCGACACGACGTCCGCGCCGCCGGCTGCTTCAAGACCAACAAGCGGCACCACGCCATGTACCCCTTCCATGAGGAACGGACCAGGGCCGATGATTATGGGGAGATGATTAAGGTACTACGATTACAGTATTTTACGTGTGGGAGTGGGCTTTCTGCAAAAATTGGTCAGCTTGACCGGAATACCACGGCCTCACAGAAAACCGGCATGAAACAACCACAGCGTTGCGTTTTGCCGTTAGAGTAAAGTTCCCAGAGACCCAATGTTCTATAAATCTCTAAATCTCCAAATACCTAATCCCAAAAGATCGGTAACGCACTTGTTACTCCTCTGTTGTTGCGTGCGCTGGTGTCCATTGGCGGCGCTTTTTGCTTACCATCAGGTAATAAGTCTGCTTGTTTGCTGATCTATCACATAAAAAATAGCTACGATCTTTTCACAACAAATATGTAGGTCAAATTCCCATAATATTTTAATTCTGGGAGAGCTATAGGTAAGAATAGCCAGTGATACCACGACCTCATAAAAAACCGACGTAAATCAACGCTTGCGTTTTTTTGTCGTGTGAGCCCATAAGCCCGATCCTCCCACCCTCTTTGCCCAATTCCATCTTCAAATTAGCTAAAAGAAAAAATCTAAATTAGTATACTATACTGGATTATAATTTAATAATTCTTTTGACCTAGGAAAATACCCAATTTTAACATTATTAGAGATTAAACTTATACGGCCTTATTACAAAACAAGGTTTTACTTTAGTCTAGGACTAAACCATTGAGCCAGTCTTCGTATTTCGAATTGAAGGTAGATGACCTTCAATTCAAAGATTCAAAATTCATTCAATAAGATTCAAAACCCGACTCAATGGATTAAACCTGGACTAAAGATAAATCTTGTTTTATAATAAGGGGGATATTGTTGATAACCTCTTGTTCTATAAGCTGGTTGCACCTACCATGACTTTCTCTGTATCGCCCTAAGGTAGACTAGCAGAAAATGCCTTCAGTATTAAGTCCGCCATTGTGCAACGATGCTACAAAAAGTATTTAAATAATAAAATATTAACTTTCTGTCTACTTGTAATATGACTTTGATCTTTGATCTTAGTTTACTTGAGTTTGAGACCTCAGTACACAGTCGGACAGCTCACTGCACCATAGTTATATCGTCAATGCTTTAAGGATGTCGGCCATGATATTTTAACAGACAATTATAGAAATTCTAAATGTTATAACACTACTTATAAGATTAGTACGTAGACGTACATAATTAGGTTGGTCAACACAGCTAAGAAAATTCATTTTTTGTATCTCCGTTTCAGCCTGAAGACTACAGACTGGCTGAAATTGTGGATGCAGAAGGCGAGATCAGAGACGTACCTCCCGCCCCGCCACCGAAACAGGAGCCTGATGGTAAATTAATCTTAATTTATTTTTACACTAAATATTATTTTTTTTATTGCCAAATATATTTATTTATTCATATATACATTACCTATTGCACACATACACTATAAGTAGCAATACATTGGATACTATAAACGAATGTTGTGATTACAATGGGTGGTGATTTAAGGCATCATTATATCATTGATACAATGAAACAATGAAGCTCACAGAAAACCCACAGCGTAGAGTTTCGCCGTGTGTGTGTGAGGTTATCGGAGGCCCAATCTTTCCCCTCATCCAATCCCTAAACCTGTAAAACCCTAGTCCCAATAAGGTCGGTAAAGTGTTACGAGTACGTTACCGACTTTGGCGCGGGCGGCGCTGATTGCTTACCATAAGGTAATCCGCCAACGCCTATGCCGACCAATCTCTTAAAAAAAAATTAAAAATGAGTATTCTCAAAACCCCGTATCAATGTCATGTTTCCACACTCACAGAAAGAAAGTTATGAGTTTTAAATCAGCCCAACATTACCAATCCAGCCTTAAATGTAATCCCGAGCGGACGGCGCGTAGCGTTCCGCGCGTGCCTCATTGAGCCAATAGACCACCACAGACGGGGCCCTATAGGGCTGATGTTCAGCCAGGGTTGCGGGGTAAGCGCAATCTTCTGCCTCGGCCCAGAGCAGGAGGAGGAACGGGGGAGGTTTAGTCAGTAAACGTCTGACACTCTCTCTCGCCTTACCCTGGGCGGGAAAGGTCATTTAATAATTTTCCCCTGAGACAAAAAAGCCTAGAATGTGATTTAACTCTTTTTTTGCAGAGGAGATGACAGAGATACCAAGCAAATGTGTATCGTCGATGCGTCAGGTACAGATCAAGGCGAACATTCAGTATATCGAGCTGGAGGGTCGTTGCGATGGAGAGTCTTTATTACGCGTCGTCACGCAGGCCAAGCCGCGCGCCATCGTTGGTCTTAGAGCTAACCCCGGAGCCCTGTTGACTCTTAAGTAAGATTATGTTATCTATTATTTATGCCAATATGTGCATGTTCCTAATTATTAGTAATTAATTAGTTTTTATTTATTTTTAAACTTGATTTTTACATTTTAAATATTTTCACGAAACAAAAAAAAAGAAAAACACTTAAAAATATAAAAAGCAGTATCCCAAGCTACCGGTGGTCAGGGCTCCAGAGAAAGGAATCTCCGGACAATGCGCGTCGTGTCTAGAAGCAGAGCTTTCTGCATCATTATCTTGACCCAACCATCTAAAATAAGCTTGCTTAAGGCTTTTAGCCATGAGACCATTGGCAGACACGACTAACGACGAAAACTATGGAAATATATATAATATTGATACATACGGATAAACAGGCAGGGGGTGACTGGCAAACTCAATTAATGGGCCCCCGGAAACGGCCGCTAGCATGTAGCGACACGGAGGCAACATACGTGGAGCTGCTTGGGGAAGGAGAGGCATCCCACGGCTATCAGAGCAATCCCGGAAGTACGGTCAAGACCCCTACCAGCACCTTACTGAGATACATCCTTCCCCCGAGTCTCCTTCAACTCCTACTCTACATTACTAATTATTATTAATATATTCTACCTTTAATATTCATACCTTTACTCATTTTGGCATATAAGCAGACGTATTACCTGGTAAGCAACTGGCAGCGCCCATGGACAACACAACTGAACTTACGATTAGGGTTTCGCAGATTTAGGGATTGGGGGTGAATGAGAAGAAGGTTTGCCTGTCCTAATTCGAACATAGCATCACGCACACGGCGAAACACGCTGTGGTGGTTTCATGCCGGTTTTCTGTGTGGCCGTGGTATCAGTCCGGTACATTTTTAAATATATCAAAATCACCCGTAATGATATTTAATATTACTTTTTTCCTGTTTCTTTACCACACAATCTTTCCCAAGGTGGAACATAATACTCTTTTGTGGGGCGGTAAATCAGTTTAGGGAGCAGAGGATTAAATAGAAAGCACCAGGTCACCTAATCAACTATGTTACTCATTAAAAGCCGTATAAGTCCTGGGTCAATTCGCAGAGAAATAAAGAATTTAACACCCAATAAAGCTCCATGACACGATTTAATGGATTCAGCCCTGCCAAGTATTCTTCCAAAGAGTGCCATAATGTTCCTTGACATTATTTTCAATTCATGCTTAAGACTCTCCGACTATCCACCGCAGTGGAAACTTGCGCAAGTCGTCATTATCCTCAAACCAGGAAAACCGCCAGAAGATGTCTCGTTATACAAACCAATTAGTCTCCTTCCATTACTTGGGAAGTTGTTCGAGAAAGTTATTCTTAGTAGGATGCAACCTTACCTGAGAACCATTCTCCCTGAGCACCAATTTGGGTTCAGACAAAAGCATGCTTCTATCGAACAGGTCCACAGGTTGATTGATACAATCAGATACACTTTGAAGAGTTAAAAATATCTTTGGGCTGTATTCTTGGACATAAGTCAGGCCTTTGATAGAGTCTGGCATGACGGCTTGCTGTTCAAGATCAAAAAACACCTACCTCACTCCTACTTTCAACAAAGAAGCTACGTAGACAAAAGGTGCTACGAAGTTAAACGATATTACATCTGATTTGTTCGAGATCCGGTCAGGAGTTCTTCAGGGGACTATATTGGGGTCCGTATTGTACCTTATATTTAAGGCTAACATGCCCATTGATGACAAAACGTTTATTGCTACGTAAGCCGATGACACTGGAATAATGTCGTGTAAATTCGAGTTCAGTGATTACATGAGCAAATCAAAGCAAAATCGGTCCACGTTACCTTCACTTTAAGAATAGTCGTTTGTCCACCGATTATATTAACGGCGAACAAATTCCTCAGGTTGTTACTGCAAAATAACTGCGCTTGGATAGGACAATAACATGGCAGAAACAATCTGGAGCAAGATAAAAAAACAAATGACGCAAAGCGATTTGAAAAAATCCCAGTTAGACAATGAAAAAAAAATGTTTACAAAACCATTCTAAAACCGGTTTAGACATACGGAATTACTCTGAAGAAAGCTCCTATCTCTTTTGTCTGTCTGTATGGACGCGATTAACCCGGTATAGCCCGGGCGGATTAGCATATCCTTTCAAAGATTAATTGAATTATAAGTAGTAATTGTGTACTCTTTATGATTGCAGGAAGCACTGCGAAGCTGAAGGTATTGAGAAGATCTACATTCCGTCTGTCGGCGACATCATTGACGCAACCACAGAGTCTCATATCTACCAAGTACGTAATCATATTATCAGTTTTTTTGTACAATTTGACACCACATTAATATTTCCTTTTGTACCGTGTGCGCTGTTACTTATAGCGGGAAAATAGAAAAATACACGTCATGGCAATGATATTATAAGTAAAAAGGTGTAGATATGTTAAAAGCGCTCAGCAAGTGATAGATTAAAATGTGGCTAACTGGCCATACTTTTTCATTTTTGTCTCTTTTACACTCGCGACTATTGAATCATGCCATCTCACTTTGACGATTAAACAAACGAATTGTTCGATTTTCAAAAACGACAGTGTGTCGTTTTTGAAAATCGAATTTTGTTTAGGTAACCTATCTACACCATTTTACTTATAATAGCATTGCGTCAGGGTATGTTAAATAAACGGTATTTGTAATTTTACATAATTAGAATAATATTTTTATTCCAGGGGCAGGGACAGGTGTGACCTGTGTGATTGATGATGATGATGATGATGATGATGATGATGATGTGGTGTGATTTGTAGATCACAGAAGTGGACTGTCTCATGTTATCACATTGACAAATATCAAATATAAATGTTTTGTCTATTGACAAAAAGTTTAAAACAAAAAATCTTCATACTACGACACAATACGTCAAAAAATAACACTCATATTGTATTCCACAGGTCAAGTTGACAGATAGCTTGATGTCAGGCCTGGCGTGGCGGTCTGCCGGGGACACGGAGCTGGCCTGGCTCTCCGCTGTAGTCACACCCAGGGCCCACCAACGGGAGAACACTACTACCTCGGGTATGTACTTGTTTAACTTAATATGAATTGTTTAAATGCTTGTCTTTTCGACGTTTTATTTTATGTTCATACTAGATTTTGCCCGCGACTTCGTTCGCTTGGAACAGTGAATTCCTGCAGATTTTTGGTATAAAAATATCCTATGTCTGGATAGATGGATATTTCTGGAGTTCCAAACTATGTATGTACCAAATATCACGGAAATCGGTTCAGTATTTTAGGCGTGAAAAAAAGACAGACAGACAGAATTACTTTCGCATTCATAATATTAGTTCGGAAGTTTGGATTATACTTATTTTACTACCTAGTAATTCATTTATTTTGGAATGTCAATGTAATCTGAATTTCTGAAACTTAGCTAGAAATAATCTAATTAAGTATATGTATGTATAGGTAATGTTAAGTTGAAATAATTAATTTTTGACCTAGGAAACTATCCAATTCTGTTTTTTAACACATTCAGTGCCATCGACTCGCCCGAAGAGTCCACGTAATTTTTATTCCAGCCCCGTAGACTTCAACGTAAGGCCACTATCCAACTAGGAGCTTTACTAGCGTTGACATCAATGTTGCGTTTCCGCGGCGTTGAAGCCGCACTACCACGACGTTAACGCCGCCTAGTCGCATAGCAAGCATTTAACATCCGTGGGATAATGGCCGAAAATGAGATATCATTGTGAAAATCGTAGTGGTAATGAAAGTGTATATACTTGCAGAAGAAGCAACGTCGGACGTGTCAATGTGCCTGGAGGCGGCGCCGGGCGGGGCGCACTCGGCGTCCTTCATTAACTCGGTCCGACTCTCGGAGCTCCGCGCCGCGCTCTCCAAGCTCGGCCTGTCCACCGAGTTCACTGCGGGAGCCCTAGAATGCTGTAATGGAACTCTTGCTATACGCCGAGTGAGTAATTCTTTGATACTTATCTTACTTCTCTTAGGAATGATTTTTCAATGGTTAGATAAAAGTTACCTGGGGAATAATTATGATGCTGTCGCGTCAAAATGTTTATATAAGACAGTGACAGCGACAATTATATACCTCAGGATAATATTTATCTGACTATTGAAAAATTAGCCCTTACTGTAATTGTTCTTTAGACAAATATCCCCTTATGACAAAACAAGTTTCTTTGCCTTTAGTCTTAGATTTAAACCATTGAGGTTTTGTATTTTGAATCTTATTTTCACCTACCTTCAATTTGAAATACAAAAACTGGCTCAATGTTTTTGACCTAGACTGAAGAAAAACATTGTTTTGTAATTAAAACGATAGAGTTCTCACAATATCTTTTTCGTTCTATTAACCTTTTTCACTAAATTCCTTATGACATTTCCTATATAATCCAATAAAGCCTGCGAGGCTAGCGTTATAAGATATCATGGCTTTGGCCTGGAGCAGGACAAGGACAAGGGTTTATATTCACTAAGAATCTGATACTTCCTGTCCGCCCTAACCTAGGAGAGAGGTCATTTGATGATTTCCCCAACAATTTCCACAAAAAGATCTCCTAAAATGCCAACAACGTACTTGTAAATTCTCTGAGCGATAACTTGTTTCACAATTTAAAGGAAACGTGCCATAAGTTTGTGAACTTTTATCTTACGTTATAAAATCACTGATCAATCAAATTTACTTTCAGTTGGAAAATGGTCGAGTAGCACTGGAAGGTGTCCTATCAGAAGAGTACTACAAAGTGAGGGAACTCCTGTATGAACAGTTCGCTATAGTCTGATACTTGAGTATTCATACGTTACTGATAGCTATTTTGCTGTTTCGGTAACTGTATTGTAAATATTTTGTTACACATTTTAAGCAATAAAATAAATGAAGAAAGGTGATTCCGTGTTTCATTCCATATTAATGTCTGAATATTATCAATAATGGATATCCCACCCACACGTACGAAGCAGTCCACGTCCAGTTTTATAATCCGAACTGTTGAGGAGTGGAATTCTTTGCAGGAGTCAGAGTTCCTCGCCCTTGGCTGAGAGACGCTGAGTTACCCTCGTCCGTAGAGCAACCCTTAATTTAAATGCTGCAGTGGAAGTGATTTTTCCACTGCAGGTTGACCTATCTGACGCGTGCTGGTGTAGTAGTTTCTGGCGACCGGGCGTGGAGGACACGGGATCCGAGGCACGACGTTTTTCTGGCCCATCGCGGATAGTTTATATAGCTACACATAGAAGGCTGACCCACCATACGTCGAAAAATCTTACCTATGGTTACCCCAGCATGAGAGTGGACACTGGCGTCAAACTCAAGCTTTTCGTTTTTTATAGAAATGTTTAAGTATCTTGTAAGAACGAACTCCCCAAGTATTAGTTCACCTGTACAAATAGGTACCTAGTCAAATACCTTATGTCTAAGAGCGCTCATGAATGAGTCCCGTTTTTTTGTGAGGGGTCGGATATAATTTAATGTCAACATTGTGGGGTGCGAGGAAATGTCAGACTGTTACTGACTAAAGAACCACGTTCCTTGCCTTGGCGCGGTTCAATTTTGCGCCCTGGCTGATATGCCATTCCCGTTGTATGACTTGGAACTAGTATGGATTCTTAGTAGCTTTACATGAGCCTTTGTTACTTGCTTACGTAAACATAATGTCGTTACTTTCGTCGTAAGTAACTCAAGAGACTGACCTATGAGTTTGTTTCGGCATTTCTTCTCAGAGTAGTCAGATAAATGCCGGCTTCATCTAGTTTTTCACACATAAATTGACGTGTAAAAGTGCCGTTTTATGGCCTATTTGCAAAAATAAATTCATTATTTGTTTCAAGAATAACAATATTTTCAGCACCCTCAGCGATAAGGTCCGGATGCCGTAGGACTACTGTGGACCAACTTGTAAAATTTTTAAGTTGGTCCCTAAAAAAAGAAGAGTGTTGAGAAGCGTGGAATTTAGAATTATACCGGTTAAATAGTCATAGGTTTCGCCTTATTGTAAGGGACTTTACATAACTGAAAAAAATTGGGTCCCATGTGCACGCTTCAGGGAATTAATAATGTGATACATTCCTGGCACATTGATAAATATTTCAAAATCTTGGAGGCGAATTTTCTTTATAAACAACAAAGCCTTTTTCAGTTTCACCAGACGGTTTGTAGAGTAGGTAATAAAAAAATTAAAAAGGCAATCAATTCAATTTGTTGAGTATATATTATATTTGTTATACAGCAAGTAATTTTTCTATTCTTTTCTCTTAGCATTCTCCAATATAATAATTTCAAATGCTTTCAACAGTCGTTTGGGTAGGTACTCAAAGGGATATAAAGAGGGACAATAATCCAATAGTGATCAGCTGTGTTGGACTAATAATAAGTTGGGTAAAAAGGCAAATAAAATACAATATAAAATGTCACCACTTTATATATTTTATTTCATATCCGGGACCGGTTCACATTGATAACATTATGTAAACAAATAAGGTACGAATTTATTAAATACAAAAATTTAAGACACAGCTATATAATGGTTTTACCTAAAGTTCTCTAGTTTGATCTGAGATTACATATCACTAAAGTCGCCTACATACACAAGTATACACTACGATATAGAAATTCATACATTTATACTATAACATTTCCAATCAGTTCGTTAATACAAAGTAAAATTTTGTAAAAAAGGCGTTTCAAAATTTTCCTTCGTAATTTTTTTTATATTTTTGGATAATAAATAGATATTATCATTTAACAAAAGTTTGGTTGGCAGTTTGTATGGATGCTTGAGGTAAAGAGCTGCCGATTAAAAATATATAATAATACAATTGATTTTGATTTGAATGATTTTATATTGAAAATTCTACTGTGAGAGAATAGGGTAACGTCTCATGAAATACCAGCTCCCACGAGTACGGTAGATACAAAATTTATAAAAAAAAAAACGTTCACCATTGACACACTTTTGAATACCAAACCGCAATAGGCTGTTTTATAGATGAAAACTATTAAAAAACACCTTAGGGTTGAAATACATTACATGGCGTTTTATACATTAGACACGACACGACACCGTAGGTACCATTTCATACGCCATAGAATTGTCTGTAACCATAATATCCTCATAGACTCCTGGCGCGTCTTGACGTATAACAAATTCCCGCCTTAAAGTTAAAGTTGACCCTAATTACACAGAACAATTTTCATTTATTCAAGTCCCATACAAACTGCTAGCCACAATCACATACTTATTTATACATATATCAGTAATCGCAGATCAATAACGACGTTAATAATAATAATTAATAAACTTAATAAATAATCTGGCACAGTCACACTTCACAGCTCGCTAAACTACCACCGGTACGATAATATTATAATTACAATATAAAGTAAATATTCTTAACATAAGAATAACTACAACAGTGACGTTTTCACGTGGATTTTTTATTTGGGAACCAATTTGTACTGTATCTCGTTTCTATTAAGGATCAATTTCTATTAGCAAAAAGTCGTAGCGTGAAAATGAAATCTGACCGTAGGAAACTCAACCTTATTAGTACAAAATAATTCACATGTTCCTCCTGAACTTTAATTTTGTGTCTTCAGAAAGAAAATGTGCTTTAAATGATGGAGATAAGGTTGCATTTGCTACGCTTATCTTCAATTCACTTTGACTCCACAGTAATATACATCGAACATAACTTTTAAGCGAACAGACAAGTGGCATATATCCACACTCAAATCTATCATTAGAAACTAACGCGAACTCAACCTTATTCAGTTAACATAAAGCTGAATTTACATTCGATAGAGTACAAATCGACTCCCAAAAAAACTCAAAGTGACAACAGACTTTTCTAAACAAACATTTCCGAAAAATAATTGCCATTTTAAATTCTAAAGCCATCACATTAGTTTAAAGTTAAAAATATTCACAAAAATTTTCTACTTTGTGAATATTTTCAACTGAGAGATAGAAATATAAAAATAACAGGTTTTCGTGTAACTTCGTTACAATTAAACAAATATATTTTGAACGTATACTAATCGACTAATCGATTTATCGATATCTCGATACTAGAATCGATACATCGGTGCCTACAAACAACCTTTAGCTTGTTTCGACAACTTATTTATAACTCAATAGCTACTAAAACGTAAAACGAAATAATAATAAGGATAAAAATACAACTGTGATTTTTTCGTCACTACTTTCGATGATAGAGGCTACAAACTGCACAGATAATCTATATTCCCTTGCGTTCGTGAAGCCTTAAAGACATCTCCTAAATCCTTGGTTACAATGCGAATACTCATAGAAATGTTTTTTCCCTTTGAGCAAAATCACAACAAAAATGCACCTTATTTTACACAACAACCTTATTCAACAATAAAATATGATCCATTCTCTACGTAATTTTTGCAAATTCAACCGTTTAACGTACTATTTTGGGTGCAATTTTGAATAGATTTCTCAATTACATTCGACTTTCATATAAATTTCTGTGTAAGTCGTCATCGCATTGGCTTATGACTTATTGGGTTTGGATCGAGGCTACAACGACCTTCAGAAGAAAAAACTATAAGTAGACACAATGAAAGTAATACCAGCTTTACATATATTTCAACAAACAAATTCATTTGAAAGGAAATTTCAGAATTGTCTACTTATAGTTCCTCATTGCACCGCTAGAGGCGCTGGCATCGATCAAAAGACACTAGAACTCGTACTTAGAATTTATATACAACAGTTTACTGGTATGGTAACGGGTATTGAGGTATTCGATATTATCTGTTCCACTATATACTTTATTATATCTATTTAATATTTACATATATCGATATTAGTTATTTAGGTACTTAACAATGTGTGATGTTACAATTAGGTATACACGTTTTTGCTATAGTGTTTCAATTGGAGAATGCTTCTGTAATTTGATTCTAGTTGCCTTATTCGTAAAGATTAATTTTGTATAGCTTTAGTTAGGTTGTATCACTCGCACATTTATCTCTTTCTCTCTATCAACGCTTTAATATAATACAATCAATAAGATTTCGACGAGTGTTGCCAAAGAACCTAACTTCGAGAACTCAGCCAAGTGATTTTTTTACGAATAAGATTAATTTTGAAGTCCAGAAGAGCATTATTTCCTTGTACTTTGTACATTATTCTAAACTACCTACGGATATGTTACAATCACGACTGTTAACAGAAACAAACTCCAAAAATCTGGCTTCTATGAGCGGACATTACTTTTAACAAAATATAATATTGTCACTAAGCCTTTTGGGGTTCATAAAAGCCATGGCAAACACCATAGCAATATCTAAAATATTAGTTGAAGATATTTTTAACTGCGATTAGGACAACTAACATTGTGTTACAACTATAGTTTACACGTTAATTCAAATAGAAAACTACTTTCGAACGCGTTTAAAAATACATCCATCCAATATGGGGTCACTACCGCTATAACGCCAACATTGGCCAAATAATTTGCTCCAAACTACCCAGCCAATGTTGGCAATGGGATCATACAATCACGGCGTCACTACACGACTAACAGTTCAGTTAAAATATTATTTATTTTAGTGGAACAGCTCTAGAAACATTTATAACTTTTATATAGTAAATATTGCTACGTAATCTGTTTTCTTTAAATAAATTCTATTTTTGTTATACGTTTCATATTTTATAAAAAACAGTTGTACATTAGAGCGGTGGCGCGGTGACACTGCGGCCAAATATTGAAATAAGAATTCAAGTACAGCTAATATATCTTGACCCCTCTGAAGTTAGGAGTTCCACTAAGTGAGCGAGACGTCAATAAGCAGGAACGGTAGCGAGTGAAAGGGACACCGATACGTTTGTAGCGCACTTCGGACGGGTCAAGGTATATTGGTTGTACATTTATCACGTATTCTCATTTCTTACTTTTTTAATACTTAGTAAAACACCGCGTTTTGTTTGTAGAGAAAACTTTGTTCTTTACCCTTATGGGTAGATGTAAAACTAATATGTATATTTGTACTTTAAAATCCTAGTAACGAATAGGTGCACTAGTCATTCAGCCGCAGTGTAAACCGGCCGACCTTAGCGATTAAAACAAGGAGAATAAAAACAATATTTTATGATAAATGCGCCGAATACGGCCCCCGCATTTACCGAGACAGAAGCCGTACGGTCGGGGAAAAAATACCATCGCGCCGATACACCCAGGTACCAGCAGACAGCTACAGGTTTTAAACCATTGAAAGCTACATAATGACGTTCCAGGTCATAGTAGCACAGCCTATCCTTTCCTCGACCATACAATAATCTCGAAACCTCACAGTAAAACTAGATATATTTTTTTATATTATACAAAAATAGTAACAAGTTTTGTACTAGATCCGTCCATCGTTTTGTACATTTGGCGCGGGGACGCGTCGCCCGCCGTAGGTGAAGAAACGAAAAGGGGGGTTTTGTGGGGGCAGGGCAGGGTACCTGGTGGTCTACCGCAGACAGGCCTCCAACATCTCGACGAAGAGTTTGTTCATGGGGGCGCGGCGCTCGCGGTGCACGCCCGCCCAGAACCGACGCACCGCCACGTCCGCCAGCCGCAGCGCCGGCAGGACCAGCAGCAGTTGCTGCAGGGCCGAGTTACCGTTGTATGGCCTGCAATACGAGACTTTCTTATTTCACTATTCACATACGAAAAGTATCTAGAAGAAGCAACACAGTGAACCATATTTGTGATCTAATTGTCCAAAATTTATGTAAAAACATGTAATGATAGATTATCATCAAATAATAATAATTAACTTGACTTGAGACTTGTACACCAATACTCAAACTCCCAACTTGTTTTTTTAAAATCCTGTATCTATAGCAGATACAATCATGAAAACACCGAAACACTGAAGTACGATGAGTCCCAAGCACATGGACGAACATCTTGGATCCCGCGACAAAATAAATCAGAAGATATAATTTACGGATAAATTCCAAATTTAAAAAGGTGTCCCAACACCTCAAAAGTCCAATCATTGATTTTAACTAAATATAAATAAGTACTTTTGAAACGTTAAAATAGAATAGTGGTCTGTCAGTCTGTTCGTCAGTGAAGCTAGGTGAAAAGCATCGTTACTCTTTTTAAAAGCTCAAATTACCATAATAGTCGTCTACGAAGCACAATTTTAATAAATCACAAATACCAACCTGAGTGCGGACACGGCGTCATTAAGCGCGGCGAGTATAGAGTCTCTGAACCGTCGCAGGGCGGCGTGCTCGTCGATCCTCGCTTCCGAGTTGGCGAGTGCCAGCGCCTTCAGTAGGTAGCACTCCTCGCGCAACGCCGCCGCACGCTCCAACCGTTTCGCCACGCCCGCTATCTGTATATACAACAATTGTACTATTTTTATTTATCAATCAAAACATACTACATTTTTTAAATGTAATAGGTCGGCAATCGAGCTGACGGATTACCTGGTGGTAAGCAATCAACGCCGCCCGCGGACACTCAACAACAAACGAGTTACGAGTGCGTTGCCGACCTATCGGGGATAAGGGATTTGGAGATTGAGGAAGGATTGGGCCTCCGGTAACCCCACGCATACGGCGAAACAAAAACACTGTGGTTGTTTCACGCCGGTTTTCTGTGAGGCTTATAATAATGGCTGTTGGTAGTGCTGTAGGCGCTAATGTAGTGGGAGGTCGTATTAAACAATAAATTTAAAATATTTTAACTAAGAAACAAAAAAAAACACTGATGAACGTGTAAGACCAGCGTATTACATCGAATGACGTCAAAGTATTCTTCAATAACTAAGCCATTGTGACAACTTAATTGTCCATAATTATCTAACATTAAAATAAAAACTAGAAAATTTGATATTCATCTGAGTACTTAACCCGATTGTTGTTAATTTTATTGTTGAATAAATTTATATCTGAAATATTATCAAACTTTTCATTCTCAACGGGGTATACAAAAGTCTGTTCCAATTAACAAAAAGACCCAACAGTTATACCATGTTTTCACCCATTTAGATATAAGAAATTTTGAAAACCGGAGTGAGAAAACATCTGGGTACCGCAGGCCTAATACTCCCCCCACCCATCTCCCATCCCCCAATCACCAAAAGGGCAAATGACGCACAAAAAAAAACAGATTCAAATTACATTGCTTGCTACCTGTCTAACTTAAAAACTATTTGATAGGTAGAACATGGAGATGCTATTAATGTATATATTTTAACACCCTTCTGTATTACCTGATTTGGTTTAAATACGCGAAAGTTTATACGAATATATTGTTGTGTGTTAGTTACTCTTCCAACTCAAAACTACTAAAGGGATTATTCATTGAGGTACAAGGAGTTGGCAAAAGGTTGTTGCTTGTTAAAAACAAATCAATTCAAACAATACCTGTGTAAATAAATCATGCGCTCCGATCTCCCTAGCTTGTTGCTCGTCGAGAGCGAGATCTGTAGCGAAACGGAGACGCAGTGGACTGCCGCCTGACATGGACCTGTATGCCAGCATCAGTGACAACATCTCTGCCCATGTGCTTTGTAGGAGACGCATCTGTGGATAAGGAAATAAGACTTATAAGATGAGATTAGTTTAGCTAAAATCTAAGTTCATTACGAACTAAGTTTGTGTTTTTGTACTCTTTTACACATCCAGTGCCCCCGACGCGTATGTGCGTTTCCTTACGCTACTCTGTGTGCCCTCGACGCACCTGTGCGTTCTATACATTAATGTATTGAACGCACAGGTGCGTCGAGGGCACACAGAGAAACGCACATACGCGTCGGGGGCACTGGATGTGTTAAAAAGGGAAAGGGGACCCAATGACTTTTTTCCCAAAATCACTCTGTCCCTTCACCAACTCCAAGCCGAGGCCGCGGTAAATTATAGCGCCTTGCACCCGAAAACTAGCGTCCTTGAAGTTTTAAGTCTAATATATGCTACTTTAAGGTCTGTTTTTGTTTTATACCGTATGTTTTTATGTCTTGTGCTCTGTGTATAATTTGGTAGCTAAGAAGTCAAAGAAATCGTGTTATCAATGTTTAAATAAATGACCATTTAATCTATAAAAAAATAATAAGTATTACTAACAAGCAAGAAAAAAGAATTACGGTAGTTTTATTCAACAAGGAAATCTAACCTTATATTTAGTGAATCAGTCATACACACCGAAGTCACTAGACCAAGGTCGGCAACTTCATTTTGCAAATACAACTTTTATAAAATAATAAAATTCAAAACTGACTATATATAGATTATAATCACCTATATATGAACAGTTAGATAGACATATATATAAAAAAACAGACAGACTGCAGACTGTGGCTCCCAGACGGCCTTAAACATGTCAAGTCTAAGGCCAAAACTAGTTATAACATGCGCGCGCGCAGCGAGTCATAAAACGTACAGTTACATTAATATTACGTCAGTGACTGACTGTAATACTAATCAGACAATTCATATAAGAGCATAATAAAAGAAAATGTTTTATTAGGCATATAACATATTGGTATATAAAAATTAAGCACATAGGCTTTGTATGGATATGATTGTTTGTCAAAGCTATAGTTAACAAGCCGGTCACATAAAATTTTACGTCGATGAGCCTACACAAAAGGGCTCATGGTAGCACGCAAATAAATTGGCGAGGAAAAACTTTATACTATTACCAAAACCACTTCCTAACTTCCTCTTTTTATTATAATTTTCGACGTAAAAGCATTATGACTTCATATGTTGCGATCCCATACAAAACTCATAGAAAAGTATCGTCTTTGAAATTTCAATTTAAAGTATTGTATTCGACTAATTGGAAACTATCAAATTTGTGGATCACAAACAGTTATCAGTGAGTCTCTCTGCACCAATCCAATCCTCCTTTATATCTACCATAAGAGAGAGAGAGAGAACCAAACCGTTGCTCTTATATAAAACGCATTGGCCATGAAACGATAGACGTATAGACACCGTTAACGATCCACGACCTTCGACAAACCAAAACACAAACACAGTCACACCACAGTAATAAAGAACCGTATCACCCACACGAATAAAGAGCTGAGAATTAATAATAATAATAGTTATATTATTATTATTATTGAAATTAGTATAATAATTACAAGTTGATCAGAAAAACTATAATCAGTCTAGTCTTGGAACCTTGAGTGAAGTTATTATTGATTGCTAGCTCCAGATGTATGGGTTTGCTCGTGTTTAATGTTTAGAAGTAAAAAGTAGTTTGAAAAAATATATTTGGCTACATTATTCGTTCCATTTTAATTGGAGTGAAGAATGGACTAGACTCTTCGTTACATTGTTATATGAATAAATTGAGACAATTTTACTAAAATTACTTCTGATAATAATAGAGAAAACATCTATTTTTTATTCCCGTTATTAAAATAAATTAAATAAAAAAAATGTTTTTCCGAAAACTAACGCCTGTTTCAATTTCTCTATGCATTTGTCAAGTAAATAAAACATTAACTTTTTTTCGATTCTATGAATTCAAAGTAATTCTTAATCAATATTTCACCAAAGCCTTTACAACAGTTCACGAATAAGCAACAAACAGATATACGAACATTTTCACTTTTAACATATTTGCGAGGATTAATAAATTCGTAACATGTGGAAGTTGAGTTTTTTCGTTATCTGTGGACTTTATGTGTGTGTGATATTCCAGTCTATTGTCTGCAGTGTTGTAGTGTGCGTCTGTGAAGTCAATGTGTTCCTGTGTGTGTTGCAGTCAAGGTTTTTATGTCTGTGTGGGTCAGCCCAAATGTTTTAGTTAAATATCGTACCTATAGTTAAGTTAGGTATTCGGGAGTCTAAAAAGTGTGATAAGTGGTCAAAACCTGCATTCTGCGTAAAATACTGTCATTCAGCATGTTGTCAAAAATGAGAAAACTTTTTAAATAAGTTTCGAAAGTTGTTTGTATATATGAAAGTTTTTAACACTATAAAGACACTAACTGTTTCCAAGATAAGTCTTCTTTTCTTAACCGATTTAATAATCTGTCATTTTTTGTAATATAACTATCGTGAGACATATTACATGATTATTTAGTACTGAATCAATTTCGGTTTACGGTATTCTGAAATGATTGTTTGACGAGACTTATGATTATGGGCTCTGGTGTACCTTGAAATTATTCGAGTTTCCTTGTTAAGTTACTTAAGTATTCCGTAAATATTAGTAACAAAATATATATTTCTGAACATAGGCCTTCCCCAATAACTTCCAGATCGACCGATTAATCAATTAATTTGTTTATTAATTTACCTGATCATTAAGCTGAAGTTCAGTGAATCCGGGGATCTGTTTTGCCCAGCCGATGACACCGACCAGTTCCCTGTCATATAAGTCTGCTAACATCGCCAGGGTTTTGGCTGTGGGGTCGGTCACACCCGCCGGTACCGCTGAACATGTCAGCAACTCTGGTTCGTATGAATTCAGAGCTTCGAGTACCTGGAAAATAAATAGTGAATAATTAAAATTCAGTACAGGTTTGTGAAAAAAAAATTACTTTGTTATTGTTTGTTTTCCATAAATCCCCAAAACCTCTTTTTCCCAACAGACCGGCAACACATTTGCACCTCCACTCATGTTGAGTCCATGGGCGATGCTGATTGCTTACCATCAGGTAATCCGTCTGCCGGTTCATCGCAGTATCACACAAAAACAAAAAATACCCATTTTCAAATGAAATGCCTCACAGAAAACCGGCATGAAACAAACACAGAGTTGAATTTGAATGAGGTTACCGGAAGCCCAATCCCTAATCTCCAAATCCCCAAAAGATTGGTAACGCACTTGTCCTCCATTGTTGCGGGTGTCCATGGGCGGCGCTGATTACTAACCATCAAGTAATCCGTCTGCCAATTTACCGCGATATTATACAAAAATAAAAGAATACCCTTTCCAAATAAAGTCAAGTATAGTAAATTATAAACTTACCTTAATATCGTCAAGTTGTGGTCTAGGTTGAGCTAAGGCGGGTGCGTCCGGCGCCCTCCTGTACTTCTGGCGTCCCCCCCTAACGCGGTCCAGCCTCACCCCCTCCCTTAGCATGCCCGTGCGCAGACACTTGCGGAACCGACACGCCTGGCACGCCTTCCGCCGCCTCTTGTTTATCTCGCACTCATTTGACGCAGGACACGTATATTCTATGTTGCCCTGGTAGCAAAGAATTTTTGTTCGTTAATATTTTAGCAAATTTTAAATGTATTTTGTACTAATTAAGAGTAGTGATTTATTTGATAAATTGGCTTCTACAGGTACTATGATGTCTGACTGCACGGTTGGTGCGGTGGTTGAGCAACTGGCAGCCGTGCAACGTGTCGCGGGTTCGATTCCCGCACGGAACAACTCTTTGTATGATCCACAAATAAAATTGTTGTTCCGGGTCTGGGTGTCATGTGTATGTGAAATTGTATGTTTGTAACAGCACCCACGACACAGGAGAAATTCATAATGTGGGGCAACGTTTTTTTAAAAAAAAGAAAGGAGAAGAAAAGATGTTGTAAAAATATTCAACATAACTATTTGCATCATGTCTTCTGCTTTGATGATTCTGACTTTTCGCTTTGCCCTGGGGAGGGACTGTCAGACTCTTACTGACTAAAACACACCCCGTTCCTTCTCCAGGCTGAAGTCACGGTGCATTATTGGTTTTGACCCGCAATCCCGGCTAATGCATTTATCTTCGTAAATATTTTTTTTGTCAAATATTTTTATACCGCACAAAAAAAAATTACTTAGTAGAACAGTAACGATTAGTGTAATATACATATATTGAGAATATTATGAATATATAAAAAATAAAAAATATAATATATTGAAAATCCTAAAAATTAAGATAAATCAGTAGATTTCTGCTTTAGCTTTAGTTATTTAAAAAACAAAAAAGTGGAAAACTTTCGGTAGCTGGCAACCATTCCGTTTGGCAGGAATCTGTTTTAAATACCTGAATAAATTACTTTGGGTGAAATATGCGAACGATGCTGATGAAGACTTGTTTTCCTTACTTATATGTATGTATATAATGTACAACGGAGATTTTTGAATAATAAATTATATTCTTAAACCCAATCCTTTATATTATATAATACAATGTATTTTAACTGCAATTTTTAAATTCTAGGTATTCGTTATATGTATATTTTACAACGTAATAAATTAAAAACATAACTTATATTACAAAGCAATCACAACAAGAATTTCATTCCTATAAAAATGTTGAAAAAAAATAGCCTCCAGATCCCCAATCGTATTAGGAAAAAACCAAGAAAAACAACGCGAAACTAATAAAAGTTACGAATTAATCGTAAATCCCCGAGAATTACTGTGATCACTGTTTACATCAAACTCCAGCCGATTGAAGTAATTTCGTCTTAAATAAATATTCGATTCAATAATTCTGCTAAAACTTATAAGAAATATGTAGTGTCGTTTTATCGAATTAAGGGTAGGTAGGTATATTTCATAACATTTATTATCTTGCTAGTGGTTTTTCTTTTAAAGGTGCAAAATCATCAATTTTCTTCGACCACTCTGTTCAGAGTGTCAGTCTCTTACTGACTAAAAGTCACGCTGTTCCTGCTCCTGGTCCGGGCTTGAGACCATGGCAAAATTTTGCGCTTGAAAACGCATCACCGGCTGCTTTTCGTTACATTTTTTTTTATGTTAACGATCGGCAAACGAGCAGACGGATTACCTGATGGTAAGCAATCAGCGCCGCCCATGGACACTTGCAACGGAGTAGTTACGAGTGCGTTGCCGACCTTTTAGGGATTGAGGAGGGATTGGGGGAGGGGAAGGATTGAGCCTCCGGTAACCTCACTCACACGGCGAAACACAACGCTGTGTAGTTTTCCTTTAAACATGTCTAAAGTATTCGACAATGAGACCATCAGAAACTATACCACGGTGAAACAAACTCTTAGTATGAACGTTTGTAAGTTCCATTGCCTAAACGGATCAACATTTTTGGATGAATTTTCATCTTACCTAAAGTTAGGTCATGATTTATGCCATAAATATAACTGTCCAAATGTTTAGACAACATCTATTATTTAGAAAGATATAATATTTAACAAACTGGCTTGAATCCAATTTTAATTGCAGTTCAACAATGTTTTCTATTTTTTGTTGTACCTATTACAGCAACTTCAATAATACTTTAATCTCGTGAAATCTAATGTATTTTTTATTATTATTACTATTGAAAATCTTACATGAAAATACCTACATGGCTTCTAAAACGAGGCCGCTTGTATAATGAAAACTTTTTGAGAGGTAAAGGACATGATTAAATAATGAGGGAATGTCAGATTCTTGTCTAGAAGTTAATTCGCAAACTCTAGATTAGAAACCCACATAAAAAAAGATCAGGAACCCAGCTAAAAAGCCTACTTGTTGTGGATAAATATGAATTGCTGACTTTGGCTATACCACTCAATGTAACAAAAATTATATAACTCAATAGACTAATGACGATGACGATGACAATGAAATGAAAAAAAGTATCAAAAATTTTTATCACCTTCCTACTCACCTGAATAGTCCTCTTGAAAAATGCTTTGCAGGCCTCACAGCTGGCGACTCCATAGTGGAACCCTGAGGCAGTGTCTCCGCAGACGAGGCACACCCTCCTTGGTGCCTCATCATCTCTAGCGCCACTGGCTGCAGCAGCCGTGGTTGAGGAACAGTGCTGCTGTTCAGGGCTTGTGTTACCAACAATAGTTCCATCTCCGGGAGACACGCAGAATTTGACGTCCTCCTTACTCTCCAAATCCAACTGTCGGAAAGGTAAGAACTGTTTATAAATAAGTTACTTTCGATAGCTATTGATTTGATTTATCACTTATTACAGATTTGGATGTGGAAATCCTTTTCAAAAAATTGCTACTCTGTGAAAGAGTGTCTTAATGACAATGTTTCTGGAATAACCGATTTAATTTCGTAATGCTGTATTATTTATTATTAATTTCTCAAATCGTTTAAATAAAGTGCTACCAAAAAACCAGAGGACGCAATGATTAACGAGTGTCGCAAGAAAAACGAAGGGACCATTTTTTGACCGACGAAGCGCAACCATATTTTTTTTATCAATTACTCATAATGATTGTTACTTTTTTGTTTTAAGGATTTTTCGTACCTGTATTTTTTAATATTGGTATTCTTTTATTAAAATTGCAATTACACGCATTGAACATTAGCATCGATCGAATACCAAACTTAAATGAAACGCATCTTATGATTTCTTAGGTACCTAAAACAATAATAAAACCCCGAATCGAAACGTACGACGCTGAGCTCGAACAATCGTTCATTGGAATCAAACCTGCTTCGAACAAAACATTTTCTGAACTCGAAACATAATAGGTATAATAGTACTAAAGAAACAGAGCTTATGGAAATCCAATTAGGGACCAACACAACTTCTTATTATACGATCGGAAATAGACTAGATCGATACACAAGTTATTTAATGCCTACAACTTAGCCCAGTCTAGATAAAAATATAGCACTCAACACCCACGAACGTTCCTTTGGCGAAAAGAAAATTCATTTGAAAAGGTTTTAAACTCCACTAGACAAATATTAGATGTTCAACTTTATTGACAATGGTCTAAAGTCTAAGATCGATTTTAAAGGTTAATGGTAACTGCCCAGTGACCCCAAAATTTGATCTGAGTAACTTTGAGAGAGATATAAGGATGCGATTTTTTCTCTCTGAGTCATGGGTATGACGCATGAGTGTAAGAAAATTGTTCATTTTTCAGTGTGAATGGCCTCAACTGAATATGTTTTAAAGTCAGTAGGGGCATGCACCTTTCAATGTAATTCACATCGTGATGCAATTACAAACTATTTTGAAACGTGTAACAATTCTTTTTCGAGCTCTACAAAGCAATGCTTTCACATACTTAGGTGTTAATCACAAGTCTGTGTCAAATCATGCGCTAATTTTTTACCATCTACAATAAGCTAGTAAGTATATATCTCATCAAAAGAGTACATTTGCCATCTCAATAAGTTTTTATCGTTTTTCGTTCTTTTTAAGTTCTCGTATTCTTTGGTTATTATTGATGGTTTATTTTAGAATGGAGTGCAGCAAATCTTATATGCTTAATTATGGCAAAAAATTAGGGGATCTAATAAGAAAGTCATTGTTTGAAAGAGCATTTTGAGTCTGATGATAATGATTAATGATTACCGAAGGTTTTATTTTACTTTTGAAAGTTCTGAAACCTACCTCTGGCTGCATCATGGGCATAGTGCGAGGGTGCAGCGGCTGTGGATGAGGTGGCTGAGGTTCTGGTGGCGAGTACTGTGGCGGTGGCTCTGTCTCCTGCTTCACACGGCGCAGCATCGGCTCGCCACTCACCGCGGACATCAGTTGCACCTGTACAAAGAGAGGATGTTCTAAGAATGTTCTGGAATGTGTATCTCTGTAATAAAGAGTATTTCATCGTTTTTTGGATAGTTAAGAGCATTTAGGAGAATGATTTTCATTGGTTGGTTTAAAGTGTGTAGATTTTTTCTAGTGAATCAACTTTGACTCTTGTTAGGTATCAATCCGATATTATGATTGAGCTGGACGATGTTGTAGAATGCGGTTTTAGAAAGAAATTGTGCATATAAAATTGAAAATTAGCAAGAAGTTATTTTAAATGACAATAAGGATTAGTTCATTGTGCATAGTAATAAAAATCGTATCTGAAACAATGTTTTCTTAGTGCCTCATAAATGAAATTTCAACTTTATCAACACATTGTCACTTTCCATTACTGTTCATCGCAACACTGCCAATATGTAGTGTCTACAATGTCTTAGCTTTAGTCTGACATTGGAGGTCAGGAGCAAAGTGTTCACCAGGTTAGGTAGCATTTATGTAGGTACCAAGAAACATTAATAACAGTTGACGTCTCACAGAACTATTTGAATTAAGGAGTCGGGCACTACGTAGGTATGTAGTCAATTGAGTTATTCGAAGTTCGTAGTAACCGCATCTTTTGGGTCTGAAAGCCTCCTAATGACTCCGTAGATTCACGCAACCCATTAATCATAGCATACGAGACAGAATATTTAATTTTGCCATAACTTCATTTACAATTTGAATACCGCTTAGATAGGTCAATCGATTTTGACTTTTTATGGTACAGTTATATGATTTAACTCGTATTATCTGTACTAATATCATAAACAGGTAAAATTTGTAAGTTTGAATGTAGGGGGTAATCTTTGAAACCGCTGGTCCAGGATCCAAAATTCTCTTACTGATAGATAATTACAATGTTACTGGGTGCTATTAGGCTGTAAATTACTTTATAGCACTATTTTAATAAATAGTGATTTGCGTATTTACGTAAAGCTACTTATCCCTTTAAACGCTATTGTTTTTAAATTTCTTTTAAACATGGATACAATAGGGCAACCTGATTTAGAGACGGGGTTCTTAATTCGGCACGGCAATGCGGTTGACAACATAATTATTATGATGTTTCAACTGTATTACGTTACTACGTCCTAATGCCATTGTGTCATCCACAAAAAGCTACAATTATTTCAAATAAAACGTTGTCAACAACGCACACGTAATTTCAACACCATTTCGTGTCAAATCTCCCATCCATTTGGCACGAAATGGACAAACTTTTTTTCTATGTTCAGTTGTTCAGCTCATTTTTTTTCTCAATATTTGTTTGCAATGACGCGGTTGAGATCATCAGCGACTATTATAGTCGTTTTCAAGGTCTCGTTGAGGTAGGTCAGGTCCGTTTCTCATTGGACATTATTGGACATGATTTTCGCAAATTAATAGAACACGACACTATTGTTTCGACAAAGAAGTCTTGTAAAAAGTTTGTAGTTGATTTGTTATTTTTTTGTTATGGTATCCTGTGGATTTCCTTATGTTAAATTTGGGTCATGTGGTGTCGGTGGATCAGAGGTCTCTGATAAACCAGAAGCTTTTTTTAAACAGCTTGCTAAGCTGATTGCAGGTGTGTGGATTATGGCAAACCCATCTTCTGTTGTGGTATTGGAAAATTGACATTATTTGAACATTGAAAAACTACTTTCTCGCGTGAATGAACTGATTAAAGTCCTACTAGTTTCAAGTCAAAACGGGACTCTTATTCATAAGCAGCGTACTTTTCTTAGTTATTTTATTTATTTTACACTTCTTGCACACCGTACAATGGCGGACTTAACGCCTTAAGCGTTCTCTGCCAGTCTACCCGAGTCTTTTACGAGAGTAAGTCGATTTTTTCAATAAATTTAGTATGTCTCACGAGGGTTATCTACACTTCAAAAACGATTTTAAAAAAAATAAAATTTCAATTATTTTCTTTTCGATATCTTATTTTTTTAAAGTTCAAATACAGACAAATATATGTTTAGGTTCATTCATTTTCCGGGTGTTTTTAACGATTGGAAATTCCGATATTGTAATGAGGTCCTCACTGATGTACAAAAATAAATTCAAGGCCATAATTGTCTAGAAAGGCTATGCTATTTTTAGTTATGAATTAAAGGCCCTCTTCGAAAACCTATTAAAAATTAAACCTATTAAATATAAATTTATTTAGCACAAAAAGAAAATAACCAGTTATAAACTATCTATACCAATACTGATATACCTACTAATATTCAAATTCGCAAATCTCAGGAACTGGCTGGTTAGAATCAAATAATATTTATTGTGTTATATACGTCATTTATTGAAGAAGGTTTTATAGCGATGTTATAACGATTAATAGGAGCCGAGCAGCGTGTCAAATCACGTGGAAGTATCTAGTACGCTGTAAAAATATATATTTGCGAGTGATAATATAGGTAATTGCGTATATCTCATATAGGTATATTACCTATACGTAGTTATAAATAAATCATATACCAAACATAGTTATATAAACATACAAAGTAGTTATCAGGCGGCCATTTTAATACAAAATTAAAAAGTTTAACAGGTCATATGTACTGAGATTAAAACAGAATTTCGGCGCACATATCTAATGATAGAATTTGTTATTGAATTCGAAGGTATGCCTGGTGCATTATGGTAAAAGATTAATCTCTTTTGATCTCTATACATACTGCGTAAAGTAAAATATTCTGCCGTGGAATGCGCTTGCCGATATGATAAAATTAAGGTTTTTTATAAATATCTAATTAGTAGATGTCTATTCAAGTTTCTCAATGTTGTGCAATTGAAATAAATATCTGAGGTCTACTTTAGCACAACATGGATATATTAAAAAAAACGTTTAAAAAAGGAGAAATTCATCAAATAAAATGAACGAAACATTTCTAAAAAAAACGATATTATTCTTTATCTTTCAAAACACTAATCCGTTTTGATAGCGCCACGAATCTTGACCTACGCCAACTTTCCTTACCAGTACAACACGTGATAAACCATTACAAGTTATCATAGTGTGACGTCACACATATGAAGTCATCAAAATCACTCCTAGAAACAAACAGCGAATCAACGTACACCAATCTTAAGAAGATTATTCTTAAGAAATTTTAAACATCTTACAATATAGCCGAGAATCATTCGAAATTCGAAAATATTTCCCTACATACCAACGGTTAATAAAAAACCGTTCCATTTTTAAACATAAAAAATAAATATGGCGCCTTACTCATTCGTTCGCGGAATGAGCATACACGTGAAAAACATCGTCTATCTTTATTTAAACAGTGCATTGAAAAAACAAAATTATCTATCAAAAGATAAGTAGAAAAAGTGTTCAAGGATGCAAGTGTTGAGTTCAATGTACTCTTGACATTGCTCTGTGCATATGATAATCATCGTGATGCAACGTAAGTAGGTGACTACCTATACCTATTCAGTACTACTCATGCATCGCTAATTAAAAGTCTACTAATTACCAACACTACGTCTTAAAATAATGATATATTTTATTGCATATTCCTTCAATAAATCTGAAAAGAATTTGGGTCATGTAACAGTTAAAAACCAGTTTTTATCGAAGTGGTGATAACGCATAAAACAACAACGCAAAGTTCAAAATTGCGTCAAAAAAGATTTTCCTGTTTTACCTGTACGAACACGTGACCGCGAATTACTTGTAAAATCGCTTTGGAACAGCGATTTGCCTTCCCCAAATGGCCACAGATAGTTTTAAAATGGCCGCTTAAAAACCAAAAATTCCAAATGGCTACAGATAGTTTTAAAATGGCCGCTTCAAAACCAAAAAATTTAGAGAGATATTTAAAATGATTTCGCAATATCAAACTATCAAATATGGAGTCAAAATTGTCCAAAGGTCTATGTACTTCTCGAAGTTTACTGCATCCTCTAATGAAACATGACACGAATACTACTACGTACAAAACAATAGGTTCTAAAAAACTAAATCAATATTTATTCTATTGTAGGTCTGTACCTACTCATCCATATTCCATTGTCCTGTTTTATTATTATTTATCTAACTTTTGTTGTTGCCACAGCAAAAAACTACAAATCTTCTCTTGCTCTGTTAGTCAGAATCTTAAAATTAGTCGAGTTACATAACCTATCCCAATCGCAGAGAATATTGTATTGACATAATCGCTTGAAAACAAAATGGTCGCGATTTTTTTATCAAACAACAGAAGCATGTCAGTCGTTTCACTAAACATTTGACAACAAAGTATAAATTGCATTAACAAAAGATTTTACAATAAAATCCATAATACCGCCCCCACCTTCGCCTTTCACGTGTAACAACCACGTGGTTGGCGCGTAGAATCAAAATGGCCGCGGTTAGCTATTACAAAGTTTTTTGAAATAATTTATTTGTTTCTTGAATACATTTTCTCTCTTTATTAATAAATATTAAAACTTAGAATAATAGCTCAGACAAAAATGTCTTTTGACTGAAAAGCTTGAGTCTCAGACAGATAATTATTTTCGTAAGTATGTATAATCTCAACACAATGAGTGTAGGTATGAGTAGGTAAGTAGGTGCCATTAGCAGTCGCGCCGCGCGTCTAAACAAAAATGGCCCGCTTTGATTGTATACGTACATACGTAGCTGAATGTGGTAGGTCAGGGTGTAGCATTAGGAATGACTCAGACAAGGCTAAAAAGAAACGCGAAGTCATTATTTGAAAAAAAAATACATTATTTTCCACTCCTTTAAGTGCTATTTATTCATAAAACTAAATAGGCGGCCGATATTGATCGTGTATTTTGGGTTAAAAGCAGATAAACTCGGGGAAAAGAGATAATGTGCATTGTTTTCATAACAGCCATGTTCAATGAACTCCTATTTATCGCAGCCCACGATTGGGCGCCGACAATAAAGTCTATGTTTACGTCAAAAGAAATGAAAAATATAGATGTGGATTTAGAATGTCGATATGACTAAAACAGGTTATAAGGACAAGCAAAAACAGACGAAAGATAAGTTTGTCTGGCTTCTAAAAACACCAGAAATTTCATTCGATGCCAGAATGAGAACACAGTTCGAAAATCGATTACAAAAGCAAAATCTCCAAAATATCGGATCTCTAACAACCTACAGTAGGGCGGCAACACACTAACTCATTCGGTGTAGCGGTAGTCCATGGGTGGCTCCGATTGATTACAATTAGATGATTCGTCAGCTCGAAATATATACTCTTATGAGGACTTCCAGAACAGTCTTGATACTACTAAATTAAAAATTCATAGACGAGGTGCAACAGTCCTAATAAAAAAATGCATACATGGCCCAAAGACTTTTTCTGCATAAACGGATGACAATCTTTTGGTAAATACCTCCTAAACATGTCCTAGACAAGTAGGTATCCATCTTGGTACTAATCAAACAGACTTGAATAACACGATTGATCGCCGATAATTGAGTTTGAATGTCTCCAAAAATTGGAAACCAACCAATCACAATTGACGCCCCCAGATTTTAGACCTAAGACTGTGAATAGGTACGCCATACTAAGTTCTAAAAGCGTAGGTTGTAATGTACTCAAAGCTAAAAGCGATTAGGATAATCCTCCTTGCCTAATCTGCATGAAAAGAGTGCCAGTGCCAGCAGACGGAAAAATTTAGGTAAGCATGTTCTTCATATGTATATGATCAACAATAAATTCTCTCAACTACAAAAATCAATATCCGGGATATGCTCTAAAAAAATAATCAGAAATGAAACTCCTCAAGAGAAAATAAATGCATAAGAACATTTCATAACAGCATTACGTTAACAGTAGGTGTTACAGGCATAATTATTTAAATTGAATAACAATGGAATGAAAAGAAAAAAAATGTATTCCAATAGCACCTGATTCCTTACTGCGCCACAATACTATTTATGTGTTTGGCACAAAATAGGTAGGTATTCATAAAACGGTCGAGTTCAGCGACCGTGCGTCCGTGGTCTCACCTTCATAGATAAACGTCATTACGAATAGAGCAGGCGGGCGGGCGACCGCCGAGGCGTGTTCGTAACTCCGCCGACGTTGAGGCAGGCTCAGTACCGCCTTGTGTTACAAATTGGGGCACTAGCAACCTCACACTCCTACGACCATATAGACCTACCACAAAAACACAATACAGACCTCGGTGAAACTACTGAACTACTGACCACAAACTGGCTTTAATTGTTCCACACCATTATGTAGCTCACAAAAGAACTATAAATAGAACGAATTATCCAACATCAGCTTGAAATAACTGAAAGAAACATCTTAGTAAAGGCATGTCTGTACCTAGACTGAAACATACAAAGTCAGACAGTTACCATCGATTCAAGTCAGATTATAAACATTATATATTATGGTTATTTTAATGCTCTTTAGAATAACTCTTAATAAGGATACAGAGTTTAACCTTGAAACCCAATCTAGCGGTGTGAATTTGGCCACCTCGTCGCCTAAACGCGATCATGTTCGAAGAAACGAGCCAGACAACGACCTAATTTTTGAATGTCCAATTAGCTAGGGAGATAACATATTTAAGTAGCGTTAAATCATAAAAACATTAGCGATAGTATGTTTCAAAGACTGTATCTAATCTTGTGACGTTGCGTCATAAACGCTCAATAGTTGTTCGTATACAAAAACGCTTTCGACTGCCTGTCGGCAATTTTTCGCCGTCCCGGACCTGCCTCAACATGAAACCGAACATTCAAATACGTTCGGTACTTTTCCATGTATTATCTTATCACTTTTTGATATTTGATAACTGTGCTAACGTATTTTAGTGACAATTCGATAAAAATGCATACAAGTATCAAGACCCACGAAATCCTACGTGGTACATTATGTATTTTTGCAAGTAAACGATCACGAGGTTTGCACAGATGTATGAATCGCTTACAATGAAGCATTTGAGGTAGGTCTAGTACCTACTCAGATCTTTCAAGCCAGGTCCACAAAAACTTGAAACTGTATGTTAGTCCGTTCATAAATATTATATACGAGTTCCTTTATATTGCACACAACTTCAGACACTTTTTTATCGTTTATATTAATTGTCTATTGAACAGCGAGACAAGCATATAAGAAGTGCACAGCTGGAGTATAACTAAGCGCGGTTTTTAAGTAAAATTTCTGACACGTGAGGTTTATTAACCATCTCTGTCTTAAGAAAATCCGAAACTCCAACCACCTCCATTTACTTTTCAAGGAACATTATTGATCTAAGGATCGCGCCCGCACGAAAAATGGCCTAACATTTGCCCTAGAGAAAAAGTGGGCCATGTCTTTCCTTGCCCTTCAACCGGAGAGTTCAGGCCGGGTTCAAATGTAAGTCGTTAGATCACTACTGTATAATACAAAAGACATAAATAAATTAATATGCATGCATAGCTTGTTGTCTCTCTCGGCACATATAATAATATATAGTTTTTCGGCAGTAGGTACACATATCAACTACGTTTAGAATAAACAGTGGCGGGCTTGGTCCGCGAGCGATTACATCACTTCACGTATTTGCGACGCATTAATAAAAAATTCAAGACCAAGGCCAAACGGAACTTTATTTAGATCGAAAATACTTTCAATGTTTTCTTCATTACATTTTAACATCCGAATTCACTAGAAAACGTAATGTATTCTTAAATTTTATAATAATTTTATGATTGCTTTTGAATAGGACCATAAAGGATCAGTTAGGGCAGTTGCAAATATGAAAAAAGCAATGACGTATTCTAAACAGACTTTTAGAGGACCTATTGCCTGTGCCTACCTCAATACAGTTATTAAATTTTTTATTTGGTTCACTTTATAAGCAAATTTCAAGATTCGCATTGTTTTATAACCTCTTAAAAATTTAGAACCCTAAAAATTGTATAATAAAAATATTTTCAACAACAAATCTCGATTTTTTCTATTATATTATTATTTAAAATTATCAAACAACAAAAGCATCGATCAACTATTCTGAAAAAGAAATAAAAAGTGAAAGTGCCCAATAATAGTTTGGAAACACGCCAAAAAAAGAACTAACTATAAAATGTAAACACGCCATGTTTTTTGAGAATTCAAATTCGTATTCTATCGTTTAGTAACATAACTGTAATCTAATCATCATGTCAGACCACGTTGAGTCAAGCCTCGCAGATAGTATATGTTTGGGCAGGTCAGGATTTAATGAGCTGTGAAGCTTTGCCCAGGCAAATTCGGGAGTGGAGGTAAAAATAGGTAGTGTGAATGTGAAGGTGTAGTCTGGTTCTGTGGGGTGGGAGGTTGGAGTAGCGGGGATGCGCGGGCGGGGGGTGCGTCTAGACATCGGCCTTGACCGCCGCGCGGTTTCCGCGCGACCGAGGTCGCCGCGACCCACAGCCCAGAGACCGAGTGCGAGCAACGGTATATAGGTATACCGTGCTATGCTTCACGATATACCACTCTATAGGGGTGGATGAAAAGTTAAGGCCTGGGTAGTAAGTACATTTTCATGTTTAATACTAAAACTAAAGGACTTGATTGATTGTGAGGCAGATACGTCGATACTGTTGGCATCATCGGTGTTTAATATGTCTGATGTAGTTATAATGTATTCATGCACCAACTTATTACCATGAAAATGTCTAAAATACCTAGAATCAATACCATCTACACCGTCTACAATGTATGTCTATAAAAATTCGGTCGTACAACACAGTTGAGTGAGGAACGCGTCTCGCGGCTCGGTCCGTGAACTCGAGCGAGTTTCGACATTGCGCCGACATTGAGCCGGGCTAAATAACGCAGATAGCGAGGGGTCGACGACCGGCATCGCCCAATATCACGCGGACGATCGCAAGATTTGCAAGCACCTGCCGACGCCGCGTGGACGTTACATAACCACGCACCACTGCGACGACCTACCCCAATATGGGTCTACAGATACCATGCTCAACGCGCTCGAAGCGTTTGCAACACAGACACATAACACATTTGTAAAGCCTCTCAGCCAGCATTTAACTGACAACGACTCTTCAGACCTAAATTACCCAGGCATTTTATAATCAACTTAAATAGGTAAAACCTTTTAACAGGTCTAAACCAAGGCAGATTCCATCTAGCTCAGGGAACTAGCAAAAAGCAGACCAAAATCAAAGAGGCCACAATTTATGGATCGGAAATGATGCGAGCCAGGCGAGGCAGGGTGTGGGAGCGGGCGGGGTGGGGGCCGAATATCTCAGCGCGGGGTGACATTGCGCGGACGTCGACACTATGCCCGACCTACGGCACGGCACCGGCGCCCGCCCGCGCCGCTCAGCCCGCGGAAAAACGATGCCTCATCCGCACCACTACTTCGACTACACAAATTCACTAGACCAGAATATTCAGCGTGTGCGCAATGCGTATCAGCTTCATCAAGCAACTTTTTTATTCATGCAGACGCATGTTTTAACCCTCATTTGGGAATCTTGCGTGGATTGCCAGGAGACGGTCAAACACCGTTGGTATTAAATAATTCAGAGCTCGTCGCACTGTTACATAAAGTGACGCAATGCGTTTTCAAGATATTTTGTTTTTAAAAATGGCTGGCGATAAACAATGCAGCGTGCGGTGACGCAAATAACGAAACAATGAGTTTTGGTTACAGACCATTTTGAAAGAAAGTTTTGTATCTTATTTATTAGCGTTTTTGAGTAGATACTTTTTCGTTTTAACGTTTTGCAAAAGTCTGGGCCAGTGCTATAATATGTTACCTAAAATTATTGAATGATGTAAGGACAATTTATTTCAACACTTAAGAACAACAATTTTTGAGATCGTGATCCTTATTGTTACGTGATTTAAAAAATTGACTGCAGACCTGTAACTAAACTAATGTAAGTAAAAGCGGTCTTTATATTGTTTTTTTTTTTTCGATAGGACCGTTTTATCTATAATCTATTAAAAGAAGGCAAAATTACACGTTTTGATGTGTTAGAATACTTACATGCCTAATAGCAATTTTAATAACTTCGTATTTTATTTAAAGCCCTCGTTCAAACCAAATACACCTCCCTACTCGTGTTTAAAAACATCTATACTTTTTATTTTGTAGACTATATTTTAAATACCAAAAGTAAAGGTCACTGCGATATCGCTTATGACATATTACCTATTCGTAACATTAAAACAATTTTTCATTCTCTTGTTTGGAATATTACCATAACCCCTAGGTAGCAACATTTGTATAAGAACACTTGAGACTGTAATTTATCTTAACTCTTATGTACCGATGTAAGAGAAAACTTGCAATGACGCAGACAATTAATATGGCGTCACAATACAAGAGCTGCCTTTGTCTGGGACAACTGTCACGAGCGTCGATAAGGCAGGTAATATTATTACGTACGTTACATGCATTTATAATCTATTTTTAATATTTTTAAATAGAGCTTTGAAGTTTGAAGAAGGGCACAAATTGTAAACAAATAATATAATAATAACTACCAAGTACTTTGTAGAAAAACCAATTAAAATTTTAAATACACCACAAACACCGAACTCCGACGAGAGTGCATCCAACATTAATATTCACGATTGTTAACAAATCCGTAATTACAACTAAACATGCGTGATTAATTAACAATTAACAATACTACCCTCATAATGCAATGCAATTAAAATTTTGAACTTTTCGGAAACAATTGAATTTGTAACGGACAAAGTAAAGAGCAAAGACATTCGGAAAGATATTTTTAAAGGTCAGGAAGCAAATACTAATTAATTTCTAGTATATAAATTGTTATATGACCTAATAGATAAGACAGAACTATCAGAGTCAACAATCTAACAAACAGAATATGTAGATAAAAATATACAACAAGTAGGTGCTGAATACAGTTCAACGGCCATTCGACTTTGAAATGGCCAACAAAATGCAGTTTCGTTTATTATCGTCTATTTTGCGATACACACGTCTGCACGTGTAAACAATATTATTAGTGGAAATGCTTCCGAATCTAAATCTCACTGAAATATTAGGTATATTTTTTACATTTGTGTATAGGTACTCCGATAGTTTTTGTACTAAGATTAAAAAAATGGGTGACAGAATGTCCCATTTTAGATGTGTCTAGGAATGGTGTGGGCGGTTTTTACATTTTACTTTTTGATAACTAAAATAGAGACATTTGAAAATGAGAAAGAATTTTCGGTTTGAACATCACATTTAAATATTTTTTCTAGGATTTCACTGAGGCTTTTGACAGAGTCAACTTTTGAGGTAAAATTGTATGTACCATAGTGAGATACTAGAGATAATAGGCCTGTATCTATTTTAGTTGTTACGTACATACACACAAACATTGTATATAGAAGGTATCTAACAAATATAAACAACAGTCCTTATCACCAAACGTCACGTTTAAAGACATTCGTTATTATGTTTATTTGTCATCATGTTTTATTCCAATTTATAGGTCAAAGATCAAACATGGAAACGTAGAATTTTGCTGTCTTTTCGTTATCTTCGTGTACAAGCTATTATCATTTCATTCCAATGCTTAATTAGGTAGTGTGCTACGCCATTTTTAAACAACTTAAAAAAAGGAAGACGGTTTTGCTGTCAATGTCATAGCATATAAAATATGTATAACACAACTTTAGGACCAAGAAAAGTATTTTTGGTGCACCCAAACATAACGTAGCAATGTAGACATTGCACAAGATAACGTACTTCTGAATATGAAAGACCAGGCCTTTTTTATATTGATTATTTATCAAACAATAAATACCCAGAAGTTGCATAAACTGAAATACTCACATTGTGAGAAGATTCAATCATTTCCAATGTGGAGACTATATTGGAGAATAACCATGGCTCCTCTAAAGCGCACATTTTTATGTGTTTATTATTGAAAAACACAGCACTTGAACACTAACATCAGAGTTCAACGCACTCGGTACGTTTTTATAAAAGGTTATGGATTTTGCGGGTAGCACAGTGGAGGATAAGCTTGATGCGCGCTGAGCGACTCGCACGCACTGTGCGCACGCAATGCGTGTACGCAAGCCCCGCCTCGACGCCCCACCAGTAATCACAGAATACGCATGCGCCGCCCAACGACTCGCCACGTGCTTACCGCCTTTCAGATTGGTCCCTTCACATACAAACCGACGAATAAAGGCAAAACATTAATTTTCCTGAAGCGTTGCCAAGGGACGGCGTGCGCCATTGGTTGAGCGCGCAAACATCATTTTTTCAATATTATCAAACACATTAAACCTTTTTAAATGAAACAAACATTGCTAATTTGGAATTTTGTAAATGCTGTTGCTGAATATATTTATAACAACAACAGTTTACTTGCGAAAAAATTAAACAAAACGTTATGTTACGCAACAAAACGTTTTAATAAGATAATGATGAGACAAGTGTTAATTTTATTGCTTCGATAATTATAAATAACATTTATCTCTCATGTTTTGTACTAGTATAATAAATAGTATTACATTGAAGTGATCTAAATACTAGACGTTTCCAAGAAGATCATATTAAACGGATCGATAGAGAAACAGGTACAGCCATTTATTTATTGATCAATTTAAAAAGAAAGATATGTTATGATTTATATCACAGACTAGACTAGACGTTTAAGTCAATCTCCAGTATTCAACTTAAAAGCCAGTAGGTACCTACTTTAGTACATAAAAATATTTTAGCCTAATTCACCTAATTTACTTTTTTTGTCTGGAAATAATCCTCGGAGCAAGTCCATAAGTAAATTTGGCTAGGGTCACAAATCCAAGGGTCACACATTAAACCAATTTTCTGTTAATTATTCAAAGTGACATTATCAGAAAATTATCTTCGAAATAAATTATTACACGAGACCCTCGATTCGAGTAAAGAATTACCTACATTAATAGCCGTTAAAGCTAGACAGAAAAATGACCTACGATGGTGATTCTATAATAGGTAAGCTTTTAAAAGCATATTTTTTCAAAGCCATTATAATTATGTGCTCGCTTAATAAATTGTGATGCAATTTGAAAGACTGGCAGAGAATTAATCATCCTGTGATTTTACTATTAGAATAATATATAACCCCAATGGAGAACGCTTAAAAGCAATTTAAGGACTTTAAATACCATCATTAGCTTACAAGCAAGACGCAGAAAATAATACTAAAATCACTAGACGAAAACGAAATCCTGACACGTCGAGTCAAGGACGCTGCATCTCATAATTTACATACAAAACCTAATTCCAAAACTGAAGACGCTATAAATATATGTATCCCATAAGACCTAAGCAACACAAAGAAACTTTAAAACGGAGCACACAACCTTATAAGCACACGCTACAGGAATCTAAATTAACAAAAAACTAAACCTAGATCAGTTAAACGTTAAACAAAAGAAACAGTTAAATGGAGCTGAAGTTATAATGATGTCATAGACAAAAGGCAAGACAGACAGACAAAAACGTGATCTTACGTACGTAGTTAATTTGTACCTGCAGGATTTATTAATATTACCGTCTAGCCCAATATGAAACAGTGGCCTTGAGGTCCGTTGCCAACTTTGGCTCTCTACAATTATATAAATCCAATTACCTAATTCTTTTACTGAAGATACTGCTTTATCTGATTATTTATCGTCGACAATATTACGTATCGATTTCACGATTCATTATTTACCTACAGCACCTTTATTTGAAAACTGGGACGGAATAATTTCATAAGCACCAACTGCCAACTTGCATTAAGTCAAAGAGAATGTTATGGTTTCCAAAATCCCAAATTGTAAAAGCAAACAAAAGGTTTTAGTTATACGCAGGCTTTGTGAAACACAACCCAGACTCAGGACTCGTTAGTGGGGAATCTTTCGGCATTATCGATAAACATCCCGTCGGGCCCTAGGCTGTCTATGTATAGGTTGTCTTAGGGCAGGCACGCGGCGACGGCGCGCCGGGCCTGGCTGAATTTGTTAGCTTTTTTGGGGCTAGGGTTGACACCGCTGTCTTAAAATTATTTAACACTAAATCAATCTGAAGTATTATTTTCCCCACATTTTCGTATTCTAAATATCACTTTTTATCATATTTCGGTGGTCAATTTCAATGATAAAGTGGTTTAGATAAATAATGATATACTGAGACTGGCCATTACATTACATTTTGTTTCCATTGTGATTGAACGTATAAAATATATGCCAGCTTTTTTTAACTCTAATTAAATTTAGATTCAACAGTACCACAGTTTTTACTCAAACTTGTAATCGAATAAAAACATGAACCCTTTTAGGTTTTTGTGCGATTCCTGATCAGACAGACTTCCTGTGCTCTGATCTTACATTAATCATTTGCCTAAGACAGCCCTAATGTTTAATTGTGTGGGAGGAGGCAATTCGTGGAACAGCTTCTAATTGTATGTGTGCGTGTATTTCAAATACAAATAAAGTCTCACTTGTGTGCGCGCCGCCGGTTCATTGTCAAGGCCAACAGCCAAATCTCCCGCTCGAGCCCCCCTCACTCCCGCCTCACTCCACCCATAGTCAATTATTTGAATTCGCCGAAAACATTGGTCTGCTACGAGCATATTGCTCGGGCAGGGAAGCCTCCTACTTCGTAACATCTAAGTGGAGCAGCAATAGTTACCGAACTGCATAAACTATGAACATTTTGGTTGTAGTCAGACTTCTTGCTTTTGGTTTGGGTCTGTGGTTGCCGCCGACGCGATAATCGAGTATTTTTAACGTTGCATATCGCATTCCGCCAGTTTTTTATCTACGGTGTGGCCGCTGCGTTTGTGTGAAATCTTAATGCAGTAAAAACAACACCCGCTTGCATCTATCGGTCTAGACTAGACGCTAAGACTTCACTAAAAGGTGGCGATAGACATCACGTTTTTTCGTCAAGGCCCGTCGCATTAGTTCGTAATGCAGTTTGATCACAGATCTATGTAAATTGTGTGACTAAGAAACTGTCTGATATGATATTATATAATTGTTGTCAAGCGAGATAAAGGTGGGTAGGTATATTAAAACAAATAAACTAATCAATATGTGTATGTGGATGGTTTTAGTTTAATATGTTTGACATCCTAATGAATTAGTATCGAAAATGATCGCGGAAGCATTAACATAAACTAATTATTTTATTATCTTTGAAACCTGCCCTGCCCGTGACCAGAGTAGTCTTGTAACCTAAGGTCGGTTGATATCAATGTATCATCTGCAATTAATTAAAGATGCGAATGCAAACTGTTTTGTATTATTAAAACAACATCGAGGCATTAACTTTAGTTTACAGCAATAAGTAGAAACTGATATATTTGATGAAATCCTTTATCTGTGTAAATAATGTATAAATAACTTAATTGGTCATATAAACAGTATAGACTCAAAACTTTAGGATGACTATAAATATTCATAATAATTGAACTTGCACGGTATGGAGGCCAGCCCATGTGATAAAAAATATTACTGGCTCTTATCGCAATTATTGCATCTTGCTTATTACGTAGTGCCAATCATATAAAAACTCGTGTAAAGAAGAGTTAAGGATATGAATTATATCTAACATTGGTCCTTCTGGGATGAATCTCTTTCATATACCAATGGAAGATGTCATCATCATTTCTGATAAGTATATTTCAACATATTTTGGATGTGCATAAAGGAATGTTATACAGCTAAATTGAAGAAAGTGATTCTTATAATATTCGAGGGTCCTTACAGCAAATATTGCAGCATTTATAAACATAATTAAAACAAACAAGAGGAAGGTAAAGCTGCTAAAAATATGTGTCAGAGCATGGAAAGATTGAGTCGATAAGTCCAGTCAAGGCCGCGTTATATCACCAGCGTTTGCATCACGTTGCAACAAAAAATGATTAGATAGAGTAATCGCTGCAAAAATATACAAACCACTTTCGTTTGCAAAATAATATTCGTAAAATGTTAGCGTAGATACGGACGGACTATTTCCATTTTGGTCCTTTTTTAGTCCTTCGGCACAAATTAGGACCAACAAAAATAACGTCCATAAGAAAATGCATCCTGGTAGGTACTCGAAATATCAATGAGGTACACCAAAACTTGAACCGGCAAAAGGAACAGATAAACAAAGAATCTTATTGATGTAACTCAGAGACTATTAATAATACAGAACGCACCAAAGAATGGCCTCTTTGATGCGTATGGATTATGGCTTACACGAACCCGCGATAAAAACGAACCGCGGTATCAAATCGACCAGGATTATTTACGAAGCGAAAAAAAAATTTAGGCAATAAATATTTTTATGTCCTTAAAAATCAATTCCGAATCTTAGGACCAAAATATTATGGGCTGAAATCGCTCATAATATTTTACATTTGACGACAAGGATTTGACGGGACTACAAATTCCTTTTCCTCCTGAAAGTCCTTAGACATTGAAATAAAATTATTATAGACTAAAAAAACATTAACAATTTCGGCAATTAGCGTCAATATGAGATAAGAGAACGCGAGATGAAAACATCGAACTCACTTCAGCACCTCTAGATAAATATAGATTGTACGACACCGGAAAAGCTTGGAATTGATACAAATCGTGTTGAGATTTTTTCTGGTCGCGTTTAGAAAATAGATGTTACGCACAAGGTAGAAATTGTTAAGAGGCGGGCAATGGTTGGCGGCGCGATCGATCACGGGTTGGGGCAGGTCGGACACGACGCGCTTCACGTGTTGAGCTGTTTTGGACCGGGCCTACCACACTAGGAATTTGGTAACTCTAAGAAAATTTTATGAGCATAGACTCGCCGGTCCTAGTGGGCGTTAATTTTTGATCGTTATTAGAAATTGAATGCACATTACATTTTACACAATTTTTGGTGGTATGAAAGAATCTTTTTAGAATATAAGTCAATAAAAAACTTATTATTTTCTAATTTAAGACCTTGATAACAAATAAATCAAAAACCATGCATTATTTATATTTTTACAACACACATAATTTATAATAAACATTCCGGCGCGGCGATTACTTTTTTTTAAATACATGTTTCAAAAGTTTTAGACATTACGTTACGAAATAACAAATTACCACTTCGTATAAGAAAAAATGGGTTTTCCTTAAAATCCTGGGAATACTACGATTTTTCTCAAAGGTATTTTATATTCACAGTCACAAAATATTTAACAACAAGAGGAAATATATTATACCGGCGCGATAAATATTTGGCGGTCCGGCGTGTAGCTGTTGATAAAATGTTAGCCTAGGTCAAGGCGAAATTCTGAACATAAAAAACCCGGTATTCACAATAAAACGCCGGTTATTATTGTAAAAGATAGAAAACAAAACATTAAATGTACGCACCACATCCTCCATCTCCATCCAGTCCATGTCGGCTTGTTATTGTATGTCTAGGTTAGCTTAGAAGTCTGGATCTAGTGCTGCGCGAAAGTACTGCGCGTGGCGACGTTCGGTACACGAGTGCAGCGTCGTGTAGTGTGTGTTGCACCGAAAATTCGTTCCCGCAGCTCAGACCCGCGCCCCGCACCGCACCCCCGGGCTCGCAAAATTTTCGAACTTCGAACGAATCGCGCAACGCCATCTAGGGGCGATCGGCGCCCCATTGCCTCCGTGTGTGGCCTTGAACTTGACTGTACACGTCGCGAGCGACCCACTTTTGCGGCGCGTCCCCGCGCCCCGCCGGCAGTCGCGCGCATTGTCACGGCCGAGCCACCTGAATGGATCTTAGTCGACATAAGGCGTATATTCGCGTGTTCGTTTCGAACACTCTCGTTTTCACCGTACTGTATTACGTCACGATGCACGTTACATCGCTGGATTATCTTGCACACGTTCAGCGCGGCCGATAGCAGGGCAGAAACTTCTCACGAATGTTATAACGATGTGAGTACTACTTTGCTGATTTGTTGTTTCCTTGTTACGCGATCTATTGACATTGTTTTGATGTTTTTTTCTAAACTTATGTCTTGGCTAGTGATACATCAGATAATTGAATAACGAGACATAACAAGGTTCGGCCATAGAGTATTTTATCACCGCCATTTTCTTTCTAGTGTGAGAAATTTTTGGGAGATTCTTTAGTAGGTACCTATATGAATTATGAAAGTTTTCTGAATTCTACTTTCAGAACTTTAGCTGTCGTGTATCCCTGATTACAATCACGATTTATGGTGACGAGTTTGCTGACGTAACGGGCTGAATGTTTCAGATGCTGAACTTCGGAGCAGTGATGGAGCATCGTTATCAAGTACTGGGCGCGTGGCACGGGGTCAAACGCGGAAAATGATCTGAACAGCACGTGGAACATCACATATGCATGATTACAAGGCAAGTACTAACAAATTTTTACTACATTCATAGTAGTAGACTAATAATTATTCTAACATAACATTAAAATAAATCGTCAAGTACACAAAATGGTAGAAGCCTAACAAGACCCAAATCTCACTACTAGACAGACGAAGGTAAAACTACTTAGAATCATTAATTACCAAAGAATTAGGCAGCTTGTGTTTAACGACAAGCATTGTAGTTTATACCCTTATACAAAAAAGAAAACAGAATCAGGTATTGAGATATTACCACATAAAAGTAGTCTGGAAGAAATGACCAGACAATCAAAAGCAGCCAAAAAAAAGTTTTGTAGTTTTGTGACAATTTGCAATAATGCCAATAAATAAATAAAATAACAATATAATCAAAACATATTCAATGATTTCAGGGAAAGGCCAGCATTTGGTGCAGGAGAAACAAGAAAAATGGAAGAAAGGTAAATCAATTTGTTTACGTAATACTTCCCTACAGTGACATGACGACGAACGTTGACTCAGATTAAGGTCAGTCAATAAACGCTACGCTGCAACAAGATTGCACTGCCACCGCATTTTAATCGGCCGATGATTCAATTGTTGCCAACTTGAGTAACAACTTCATAATATTTATTTAACTCGTAACTAAATTTAGATTTGTCAATTTTGTATTCTGAATTATTCGATCCCTAATATTATGAAATGCTAATAGTTTCTGAATAGAAACTATTCCATTCAATAAATTTTATTGTAAATTAACTTTATAATTTAGAAAGACTGAGTTTAAGAAAAACTCAGATCAGCTTTCTCAGTTCAATCACGTGAGGAAGTCGTTATTTAAAAATAATATATAAACATAGTTTCTTTTTGATACCTTTTTACGATTAATCTACTCCATCAACCTCCTTAAAAGTTTGTGTAATTTTAAAAAAGTTGGAAGAAAACGAAGCGCTCTTCAAAGCTAGTAATAAAAAGAAGTCGGTTAAATTAATAAATGAATCACAAAAAATAAACGTTTTGTTGACATAGAACCTAAACGAAGTTCGCCATAAAATTTACATATATTTAGAGGGACACACTAGCAAAGTATTCTATTTTCGTTTGACGTTTCAAAAGTAACTTTACTTTTTTATGTAATAGGAGGCAAATGAGCATACGTATCACCTGATGGTAAGTGATCAGCGCTGCCCATTGACACCCACAACACCAGAGGTGTCACATGCGCTTTACCGGATTTTTAAGAAGGACGCCCGTTTATCGCTCAAAATATCGTTTCGGAAATACCGCCACCGAAATATCATTCCAAAATTTTGCTGTCTCGAAAATAGCAAAGTTTAAAATCAGTTGCTTTCTATAAAATTCGTAAAGTCTATGAATAATTCCATTCAAGTAGTACGACCTAGTTTTAGTAAAGATTGTGTTCGCAAGTTTAAAAATATGTAACCTGTTTTCCGTAGTCATTGTCTGTGAAGTCAAAAAGTTAATTTGAGTCATCATGGGAAAATAGTGTTTTGTAAAAAGTTTATTCATTAGAAACAACAATGGCTGGTCTTAAAACTTTGACTAGAGCCTTTAAAAATCAGTAATTTTATGGAATAGGAGGCACACGAGCAGACGGATTACTTGATGATAGTGATCTGTGCCGCCCATGGGCACAGGCAACACCAGAGGACTCAAAGGTGCGATGCCAGCCGCTTAATAAGGAGTACGCACGTTTATTGCAGGTTTTGAATTGCGTGTTTCAGATGGAGAACCTATCAGCAAAATGGGGAAGACATCTTCATGTGATTCAAGCGGATATACAGACAGCGAGTAAGGGTAGCTCGCCGCACGACCATAACCATATCCGACCGTAAGCCGCAAATGCTCCGTGCGAATGCCAAGAGCCAATAGACCACCACAAATGGGGTTCAATAGGGCCGATGTTCAGCCTGGAACAGGAGGCGGAACGGGGTGGTTTTCAATCATCAAAAGTCTGACACTCTCTCAGAGAAGAGAAATTTAAAGAAATTTCCCCATGAATGAAAAAAATCAGGGGCCAACAGTCCTAAGTAGGGGATAATAGACAACAAAATGAAAAACATCAGTGATGGCAACAAAACACGCGTGAACTGTCCAAGTTAAACTATTATTTATATTTTCAGCTTTGTATTTTTAAGAGACTTTTTTTAAGTAGCTTCAAAATCTTTTTTGTTTACGTACACCTTTAGTTGTACGCAGTCTCTAGAATACTAGTCTAAACCAAAGACCTTGATTTACTGAAAATAACAACCGACGCATATTAATTGGAGGACAGCTCTACTCGTATTAGTTTTAAGTCACGACGGGACTCTTATTCATGAGCAGCGTGAGTGTCGCGTAGTCTTTCAATCGGCTTCGCTAATAGTAGAGCTACAAGCAGCTTTTCTCAGTTAATTCACACGAAAAAGTCGTTCGTTACTAACAATAAATGTAGCATGTCTTACGATATTTAGTGTACAAAAGCAGTTCCACTTGCCTTCAAAAATCGATGTATGAAATTAGATTAATCTCCAAACCAATACTTTACAGTAGAACCTTCACGACAACTGCGATAAAATTACACAAGGCAAGTTCATCCCATTATTTCACATTATATATATGTAAGTCAAAGTAAACATTTGTTTAGGACTAACAGACAAGTAACAACTAAAACAAGCTAACTTTGGATGAACCTAACTACTAAAATAGGATCTCAAAAAGGTATATCTTCTAAGGAATAAACCTTGGTAAATATCACTATGACTGCACGGTTGGTGCGGTGGCTGGGCAACTGGCTGCCGTGCAACGTGTCGCTGGTTCGATTCCCGTACGGAACAACTCTTTGTGTGATACACAAATTTTTGTTCCGGGTCTGGGTGTCATGTGCATGAAAAAATTGTATGTTTGTAACCGCACCCACGACACAGAGAAAATCCTACTGTGGGGCAACGTTTTATGTTACTATGTTTAATATATAAAACAGAGTCGCTTTCTCTGTCCCTATGTATGCCTGCTTATGTATGGTAAAACATTTGAAACTACGCAACTGATTTTCATGTAAGTATAATAAGTAATAACATTTTATTTTATTTTATTTAGAACGGAAAACTTACAGTATTAGCAACTAACAAAAACAACAACTTATACAACTATTCACCAATTACATGTGTTCGCATAGGTTCGCATTTATTTATCTATAAGAGCATGCTTGAAAGAGAAAAATAAGTAAAAAAAATAGATTACGGATTATAGCAAACATCAAAAGAAAACTATGTTGTTTCACTATTATTTTTAATTACATTTAATAAATACTTAGTGGAAAATATTCGTATTAGTATTGAACCCGTGCGGAGCCGGTGCGGGTCGCTAGTAGTTGAATATACTATAAGTATAGGTACATACAGTGTATATAAACTAAGTACATCTGAGCAACTGATACACCGTCACCGATAACTATCTACTGATTATGCTTATTGAGTTTAGTTCTTATTGTTAATGATAGAAAAATATAATAAATTCGAATAATATAGGTAATAGGTAAAGAGGTCCTATAATTGTCTGCCTCATTTTTAAAATGCTTAACTTTTGCTTATGCTTCAATACATTAATGTATAGAACGCACAGGTGCGTCGAGGGCACACAGAGTAGCGTAAGGAAACGCACATACGCGTCGGGGGCACTGGATGCGTTAAGTAATTTTATGTTTATTTCAGAATGCAAATTAAAGAGGGGATGGCTGCTAAAAAATACACTACATGTCAAATTAGTCTAGGTTTTAAATACGGAATTGAACTGAAAACGTATGATGACGGCAAATCACAATGCATTTTTTTAATCATCACGCGTAAAAGTCTACTTCGGATCTACACGCTAGCATAGGAAAAAGAGCTTCCCAACAAACCTGAACCTTTTAAAATACACCTTACAATATTCCTCCCCCATCATACCTAATTCTCAAAAAACCCTGCCTCCAAAAATCCGGCAACGCATTTTACCTACGGGCGGCGCCGATTGCTTGCTATGACGTGACCAGACTGCTCTCATATATATTACATAAAATCCAAACTATCACATAAAATTACCATTATAGTTCTAAATTCAAAAGTGTAAGTAAATTATTACTTTCTGCAACTCTTGATTGCTTGGTAATTGAGCTTTTCTCTTTTGAATCACAGAAATAAGTAATTATTTTCAAAGAATTTATTTAGCACATCACGATATTTTCTATACAAAAAAAATATAAATACATTTCTTTCTTCTATCACAGACAGGTATTAGAAACACGCATACTGTATGTAGGCATTATAAAACTATATAATTATTTATTATGCTAATCTCTGTAATTGCCGGTGATATGGAAAAAAAATTGGCAGTCCAATTAATGAGGAAGGTTATAGGCTATCTTACATCACACTGGTAAATTAGAGTCACAAGTTGAACATGTGTGGACCATGGGGACAAACTATGCCACAGCTTTGGATAGGACCCCATTTCTGCTATCCAGGAAGCCAGGCCATGGACCATTAAGACAAGGACATGAAAAACAATAAATTACGCTAAAAATAAAAAAAAGTATAAGAAAAGTCAATACTGCCTCAAAACACCCTGTGTGTATATTTAAAACTATTGCATTTTTAATTTTTTCAAATGCTAACATAATTTTTTTGACAGTTACGTTACTAGTCCGAGAGGATCCAATGGATGCAAGTGGCGAGCTGATATTCAACGTCAAGAAGTAAGGCAGTGTGTTCAGTTTTGTGACTGAACACACCATCACACATATCCCCCGCACTAGTATTTTCTGCTGTGTGATGGGTGTGTTTACAAACATATAATTTCCACAATGAATCCACACAGTTGTTTGGTGTGGGAAAAGAACCTGCAACATGTTGCACCACAGCTGGCTGCCTAACTACCATATCTACTATGCGGTATAATTTATTATCAATTCAAAGAAGGAATAATATGCAGGGAAAATCTTATATATACATATATGGCTATCACATAAATAAATATTATGGTAACTATTATTTAACTGGGGATAAATGGCATAAAATGCTTAAATTTTTACTATTTTTTTTATGTGTATTGACACTATACTTGACTAAAAGCCAAATAAGAGACTCAATAGTCAGCAGTCTCTCTTGCATTGAACTGAATAGGTAACAGTTGACAGGGAAAAAAATTGGCCACTGTTCACAAACTTGCCTAAAATAAATTTGTGAAATTTTAAGATTGCTCTCCGCATTGTTCCTACATTGAGCACAATATTATGCGAATTAAATAATGTATTGTGATGGTGAGCTTGTAAAATAGTTTTTTTTTTTTAAAGAGTCACCATGGAACTTATTGTTTGTTTTTCTCTATTTGATTCTACACTTTGGAACGAGCACCCTGCTTTACTGACAAACTGACTGACAGACTACTATTCTATTTTGATATTTTAAAAGTCCATGTTTACAGTTTGATTGTAATGAATGATTTTGATTTGGTTTTTATTGCAACTTAGATGGCTATATTGACATTTCAGATTAAGAATTACAACATTTATAAAAAAGAATGTAGCCAGTATACAATATGCACAGTTCATATGTATTTTTGTGACTTAAAACCAGTAGAACTTTTCTCATTTAATTCATTTAAGTTGTTATTTTGAATAATATTTGTCTTTCTCACAATAGTTAGTATATAATAATAATAAAAACTTACCTTAGCAATCACGGCTATTGAATATTGGTTGCATTTCACATATTTCTCCAGAATTCATAATAGCGTTGAAAAGAGGTTTATGTCGAGACATAGCAATATTGCCACCTGCAAATTCAATAAGTTAAACAGAAAAAGTAATGGTAACATATAAATGACTTACTTTTTTTATTACTTTTTTTAAAGAACAATATATTAGTTTCATTATATTTCATGCTTTTTGAAAGATGAGAGATGAAAGATGTTTATGTTCATAAATGGCAAAATAAATTGATAATGTGATGTGATTTTAAGAAAAAAAAAAATCTTACTTACACTTAAAAGATTGAAATATGAAATCTCATAGGGGACACTTCAAACTTTGTGTTGTTTACAAACACCTCTCACCCGCTCTCTGAAAAATTGTTACACTCTTCTTAATGTTAAATTCAAAACACAATACAATACTTACTTAATTTGTTATAGCAAATCCATTTTTCATACAAAACTATACTATTATGTAAACACATATATATCTTGTGAAATTTTGTCACCAACACTTACATTTTATTGAAATAAAATTGATAATTCAAAATCTTGTAAGTACGCAGTTGAAGAGTTTCATTTGATACCTTTAAAGTTTCTAATTAGAAAGAATATTTCTGGAAAATTATAACCAGAGAACTGTCAAAGTGATCCAAGGCTGCAGTTTCTGAATTTACGATTTTAGCGACGTATTTATGTTACTAAACTGAAGAAATAATTTCCTTATTTTTTCTACTATCTTACTTTTCACAAGATATGCACAGTTATCATCAAACACTAAGCTAGAATCGATTAATAAGGTTATAATGCTGTTATTTATCCACTTGCACTTTCAAGTGAAAAGTGCATTCCAATAAAACTTATACGTATATGTAAGCAATGCAATTGATTACACTGCTTACACTTGTATAAAATAATATGGTTCTTTCACTCTCATGCTACGTACTAAACAAAAACAAAAAAACGATATTGGAACAAAACCTTGTGTTGCTATTATAAAACTTAAACGTCAGAATGACATTTCTGAAATGTACGAAATTCCAATTTAGTTAACGTTTTAGGTAAAATCATAACGTGCAATGATATGTAAAATAGGAAAACAAAGAATAATTAAGTTAATGAGCAATTAAAGTTTACAATTATTATGTAAATAAGTAATATGTTTATTAAAATGGCAACAAATAATTACATTTCCCGCCACGCAGCATCCTTAAAAAAAACCAATTATTAATAATGCTATTTTTAAATTTCTCACATCCATTTGCATTCCTAATTGATCAAATATAAGTCTAATATGGTGTTTAATGTACCATTTCTATGTTTAACGTGTAATTTTTAATTTTGTGTATTATATTATCTGAAACTTTGTTCTTGAATTACGAAATACGTTCGGTTTCCAATCGCTACTGACGTGTAACTTATCCTGGCAACTTTTTCGCAAAAAGCCGACGACGTTTCTCATTTCGGGCCAACTCATCGGACTTTTTGACATAGAATATGTTTGTTTTCAGTTCTTTATGTTATGAATTGTGACTGAATAATTGAAGATTAGATATATTATTTAATTAAAAACATGGAGGTACATTATCTCGTGTTTGTTTTGAGTGTATTATGGCATGGGACTGACGCGATCATGTGGAGCCTCGCGCCCAATACACAGAAGTGTTTGAAGGAGGAACTCCACGCTAACGTGCTCGTGGCAGGAGAATACGAAGTAACAGAGGTTGCCGGACAAAGAGTCGACTATATCGTAAGTTGTAAAGATGATTTTTGGCAAAAGTCCATCCACCATACGGCGCTGATATAACTGTAAACCTGATGATTTGTCATGTTGTAACACTAAAAAGATCCTTAAAATATCAATTTCCGGCGGTCTGATCTTAAATCTTATCTATAAATAAGTTGTATTTGTGTCACATTAAATGTCCACCACAAATGCCATCATAATAATTTTGATAGAGACAAATAATTTATAAAGTCAAATAAGAATCTAACAAAAACATCGTCTATTAGCTACTAATGTCGTATTCGTAAAGAAAATCGTAAAATGGACCTATTACCTAAATTTCAAGTCACATAATTTACAAATTAATAGATATATTTAACTTTTTACTTGACAATGTAATTCACAGTTGATTTTAATTAAGTGGAACATAATAACATGATAAGGTTCTTATTGCTAAAACAACAATGTTTTTAATTCCATCATTGGCAGTATGATGTGTGCCTTGCCTTTAATCTTAATTTTTTTTAATAATAATTTAAGTACATGCTATTGAATGGAATATCTGGAAAAAGATGTGTATAGTGAAAAGTTATTTGCCATTTGTACTGAATCTAGAAGTGGCTTTATACATATATAACTCTAATAATTATTGTATTGTTCAATAAATCCTTGTTAGAATATTTTTTAATATGTATCACCTTTTTTTCCTTTTCCAGATTCGTGACTCCAAAGACCACATATTATCACAAAGGGATTCCATATCTAAGGGAAAATTCACATTTGTGACAGAAACTTATGACACATTTGAAGTCTGTTTTATATCTAAAGTTCCTCCTGGTAAGATTTAAAGAGATTTTTAATTAAATTTACTATATACAGCCTACCAATATGAAGTATAATAAAATATAGCTGGGAATTAAACATTGTTGTAATTAGCTGTATAAAAGCAAAAAGATACAAAAATAAGTAGTGATTTTCCGAGAACCAACCACATCCAAATTAGTTCAACCATTTATTAGTTACAGACAAACATAAATAAGTACGGACAAGTTCTAATTGAGAACATACTTACTTGTTTTTGAAGTTTATAAAATAATAACAAACATTCTGAGAACATGATTTTTTTACCATTTTTTATTAAATAAAATGATGGTATAAATTACAGTTATTTTTTGAAAGATTTAATAAAAGCTCTATTGTAACTTCTTCAATTACCTATGTCATATCTTTTAACCATGGTATAATTTACGAACAAATGTAAATATTCTTTTGTTTGTTATTCAACACAGCTGCTGTATATTTCTTAAGTTAATAATAACACACAAGGCAATACCCATAAATACTTATATATTATAATATATTAATTTATAGATCAGGTGAATTCATAGTTTTGTTTTAACAAAATAATACAAATTCAACACATTAAATAACATTAGGCTATGGTATATCTATGTACTAGTCATTAAATTTGTGAAAAGAAATCCTACCAGCACAAAAATTTGTTAGTATTTATGGATGGTTGGTTGTAAAACTTTTGAATAGCATTTAAATATGCAATGGTACAGAAAGGAGAAAGAGGGAATAAATTATTGTGTGAAATTGAAATAACACAGGGTACTATTCACTCTGAAGCAAAGCCACTGGCAGAAACTCTCTAGTTACTTATATATAACAAAAAAGTTACTTACATAAAGGCATTTTACTTTAATTAAACTAATTAATGTTATATAGTTGAACAATATCCTTCCAAAAAGTTAATTCCACTTAATCTTATATATGTATTCTGTTACAACTTAGCCAAAAGAAATTGAATAAATAGGTACAATGCTTAGCCCATTACTCACATAAAAAAACTTCGAAAAAACCTATTTAAATTAAAATATCCTTTATTTGCTACTTACAGAACGCCGTGGCGTCTCACAGGATGTAATGCTGGATATCAAAATCGGAATAGAAGCTAAAAATTATGAAGGCGTAAGTATTTTTCGTTATTTAATTTACAATCATCCTTTTTATTCGGTCTTTACTCCATTTCTGTATTTCTAGATTTTTTTCAAGGAGTTGTGCTTTTATTACTGGCAACTTGTCTGATCTGATTTTTTATATGGCAACATTCAATTTGTACTGTAGACTTTTATTTATGTGTATATATGCTAATATGTATTTTCTTGATTATCGGTGACCACAACCTCCACTTCTTCAGAACTCTTGGGTAATATTGTGTGGGCTTTGTGTGTGACTAACATGTCAACCATGAGTTGTTTTGAGCATGTTGTAACATTGACATATTTTATTAATAACTTTACAACTATAATCAAATCTAAGTTACTGTTATATTGACCACTAAAGAAAAAATAACATAAAATCTGCACTTCTCCCCACCAATAATCATATTAATTCCTATTTTTCGCGATCTTTTTTTTTTTACTTACATAACAATACATTAAAAGGTATCCTTTCCAAGTTGCATGAACTAAACCGCGTCAGTGATAAGTCCTAAATGGTAACTTCTTCTGTAGATTGGTGAAGCAGCTAAACTGAAACCAATGGAACTGGAACTGAAGAGATTAGAAGACCTGTCGGAAGCTATAGTACAAGACTTCACGCTAATGAGAAAGAGGGAGGAGGAGATGAGAGACACCAATGGTAAATATTCATTTTTTATATCCATTTTTCTTTATAAAATATATAATTTTTTATAGGAGGAACAAACTGATCACTTGGTGGTAAGTGACAATCAGCGTCGCCAACATCTCATAACAATGATGATAGAGTATGAAAATTAAAACATATTATACTTAGTCAGTCCTGTGTCCTATAAGAAAAAAGATACAAAAATAACCTAAGCTTAGGAGTTACAGATCGTTACGTCACCGCTCAATATAAATTGGAACAAATCGTGACGTCACACGATATTTGTATAAGTACTTTGTATGTATGCGCCGGTTTTTGTAAGGCCTTAAAAGTCTGGTCGAGTTGATACCGATTTGTGCCGTAATTAGATTGTCACTTGTACGTACCTATAACCGACATTTAAAAGAAGAATTAGGCTTTAAATAACATGCTCGACAGACATATTTACAGAGGGATTATGTTTCATTTGCAACTATAATAATATAGAACTAGAATACAAAGGACATGATTGACACTTGAAAACAAGCTGTATTTTTGATGTTCAATTGTAAAAATAATTTCTAAAACACTCATTCTTATCATAGTCAAGGTCAAAATCATTTATTCCAACTAAACCAGAAATAGGTACTTTTGAAACGTCAAAATAGAATAGTAGTCTGTTTGTCAGTGAAGCTAGGTGCTCATTCCGAATTGTAGATTCGAATGGAGAAGAACGAGCAAGAAACTGCATAAAATTATGAAATAAACTAACAAACGTTATTGTAATTTTGATCATAGTTTCGTATGTTTTTCTGTTTCAGAGTCCACAAACAACCGTGTTCTATTCTTCAGTGTTTTCTCAATGGCATGTCTCCTGGGTCTCGCCACGTGGCAGGTTCTCTACTTACGCCGGTATTTTAAGGCCAAAAAGCTTATTGAATAGCACAACACATATTTAGCCGCGGCTAAAGTTGCGTGCGGGCTCATAGATTAAAATTTGCTAAGAGGTTCCATGCGTCAAGTGTGTTTTACATGATCTCTTTTTTAGTCTTTATAATTTCAAAGTATTCAATTTTTCAAACCACTTTTGAAGATGTAAATAATGTTAATTTTTGTTATTGTGAAACTACTAATTTTATTCTAAAATGGTAGAAACCAAATCACATGATGGCAACACCGAATTCGATCAAATCCTAGTGATAATGAAATGTACCAGCGCATCACAACACCCCGCAAGCTACTTTAACCGCAGAATAGATCTTATAATATTCTTTATATTTAAAAGAATAAAAAGTTTGGAATACTTAATTCAGATTTATTATTTAATGATTTTGTTGTAAATGATTGCGTTCTTGTCTGTTTACGAATGTGGTAAATAATATATTTGAAATAATATTTTGTTTTATTAATGGTTTTTCTGGACCAACATTTTTGATTTAGTCCTACTTAATTGACAGACTATTGAACAAGGTACTTAAATAAAAGTCATAAAAAATCGGTAACTTATGTTTAATCTCGTAGAAACTGATTTAATCGGATTTTCGTAGGGTTCACAAGGTATCACTCATTGGAAGAGCAGTCTATTATGTAACAAAATATTGTACCTTTACATTCATTAAAAAAACACAAGGAAGGGTTTCCCAACCATTATTAAAATTTCAAAACTAACTAATCGCTGCAACAGTCTAGAATAAACTCACTAGACACTTCTAAAACTAGGGCTATCTTTTTCTTACCACCGAAAGAAGAGGAGCAGAAGATTAAGACATGAGGTATTTTACAAATACCAAAAATCGTTTTCTAGTTAGAATAAATATTTTTTATTGTGACCTAAAAATAAGTCTTCTACAGCAGTGCCCTACCCATTTTGTTCAAAGTAAAAAGAAAAAGATAGCAATATGTTTACTTGCTGGTATTTTAATTTTTTACATCTCTTTTTGACAATCAATAGGTAAAAGAACTACACAAGCTCAATTTTGGGGCAGTTTGGAGGAAACTAGAAAAGTCTAATGAAATAGGATTCGTCTTGAAGGGAATCGCCCCCGATGTAGAGGTAGCATTTCATATCTTCAGTATTTCTTATAAATAAGCCGAAATATATTATATGGCATTTCTAAGTATAAAAATTTCCAATATACAGATACTTCCGAGTCATGGATGTAAAAAGTTTAAATGCACTTTTTTATTCAAATGCTTCCTTCATCTTCCAAAGAAAGTTAAGTCCAATAAAAATCAGCTGATAATTTACTAAAAATGAAATTACTCAAGTCCGTACAATTAATCATAAATAAAAAAATAATGTTAGAACAAGACGGAGTTGTTATGTACATTTGTTAAAATAAGTATTTGTGTAAAAATATTTTAATGTGGAATTAACTAGGTATTTATTAATTTGCTAATTCATAATATTCTATAGGGCACTATCCGTGAGGTCATTGTGTACTGAAGAACAACATACACTGCTTAGTTATTATAAATGTAATAAATGATAGTGTCGACAGTGATCACGATAGTAAAAGGTTGCTTAGGTAGAAATAACATTGACACATTTTCATTATTGCAAAAAAATATGATAGACTTTTACGACGTAGCAACCGAATTTTGTCGTTATCAATGTCAGTAGTTCGGAACTGCAGCCCGGGTATTTTATGTAATGCTCATCTTGTTTAGCACACAAGAGATCTCTTAAGTGTTTTCCAAAACAACCAAGTGACGAAATTCCTCGTATGATTAATCAATTGGAATGTTAAAATACAAATAAAATTAAATAGAAAGGAAATATAGAAATATAAAAATATACTACAACATATAGCTATATCTCATTCATAATACAACAAACAATTTAGGCTAATTTACAATAAACCAATACTTTTTAAGCAGGTAATTTAAAGACATTACAAATTTATATTAATTTAAAATAAGTATTTGCGTGAATGTGTGTACAGTAGATAAAAATAAAAAAAGAAGGAATTTCTTCATCACAACATATAAATCATACAAAAATTGAAACTTACAATCATCCCACCGAAATCATAATTGCACAGTACATTTAATTAACTTATTTCTAGAGGACACGGGACCACTGGGTGGTCATGTGTACGTTTGTGATCATCAGAGTGGGTAGTAGTCTAGTTGCACCGTGAGGTGTTTGACGCCGGCCTCGCGGAAGATCCGCGCCGTTTGCTCAGTCACGTACCTAGGGTCCACTTCCTTGGCTACTTCTATTTTAAGTGCACCGACGTGGACGTCACTACACAAAGTCCAGAAGTGCGGCTCGTGCACGGCGTGCACGCCGGCCAGGCCGACCACGCGCGTGTACAAGTTAGGAAGGGCGCGCTCTAGCGAGGTAGGAGTCCGTTGCATCAGCACGCCCGCGGAGTCACGCACTAAGGGTATCACACTAGCGGCTATGAGGAGAGCTATAGCCATGGAGCAGATTGGATCAGCTCTCATCCAGCCGAATGTCTTCATAAGTATGGCTGAGATGATAACACCAACAGAGCCCAACGTGTCTGCTAACACGTGGAGGAAGACTCCTCGCATGATGGCTGACCCGGCACCGGTGGGCGCCTCGGTGTCGTCATCGTGTGAATGGCCGTGGTGGTTGTGTGAGTGGCCATGCCCACCGTGGGAGTGTCCGTGCCCACCGTGGCCATGTCCGTGCCCGTGGTGGAAGGCGTATATGCCCACCATATTCACTAGGAAACCCAATATTGACACCAACAGGAGACGTTCATGTTTCACCTGAAAATTATAACGTACTGGTGAGTAAATATTTTTTAGATTATGTAGGTAAGTCCTAAATATTGGAGAAACGTGGTGCACACACGATTTTGATCGTAACCACATCATATCTATATCTATCAAAAATAAAAATAAAGAGGAAGGAGTATCTTGTCATTGATAAATATTGATTATTTGCGTAATTGGATATTATTTTACGTAATTATTTTTAATGAATTCTTGGAACACAAAATCTTTATAAACATCGGTTGGTGTTGCTAGTTTACTATGAAATCTTTTACCCTTAAGTTTGGTAACATGTATAGGAAACAGAATTATCGACTTACAAAAATATTTCGATAAAAATATTTTGTTTGTCTCACTTTTTGATTGGTATGTTTGTATGTACTTTTGACCAATAATTTGACCGGAGAACATAAGTCATCACTAAATTATGTTAGATATAGTTTGCTAGGTTTGCAACATCATAAGAAATTAGTGCAAAAACGGCTTCTAATTACTCATATTTAAACTTCATTGCAGTAAACTAAAAATTTTAATCTAATAAACATTATTCACAAAAATAAAATCATTTCCATTTTATTTGCAATACCAATTACCAATTTTATTTAAAAGCAATTCTTTCGTAAAAACCTTGCATGGACAATTACAAGAACAACAAAAAAGATTTCCCTAAATAGGTGCAAAACAAGTAGGTCATAGGTACATATCGGAAATTGATTTTTATTTATATTGATAGGTAGACAATGATATATCGTGGGTAATTTTGTTACTATCTGGCAACTGTAACGCATGACCGAGAAACCGTGTTTTGTTTTGTTAGAGCTGAGCTGAGATGCACACATATCTACCAATCCGGCTTCACATTATTGTTCCGTGCGGTTCATCTCCCTTTAATTTTATAATCTGTGGCTGTAATATAAAGATGTTGAAATGTTTTTTAATCTTTACCGTCTAAATGTAACAGGAAGCTATTAATAATTTTCACAACAGTACAATCGAATAACAAATAGTAGATTAACAATTGATGACGTAGATCAGACGAAACGTGGTTGCAGTTCTGTTGTAATCAGCCGATATCTTGCCGACTACAATATTTTACAGCGATACGTTAAACACGTGAATGAAACAAAAGGATAACATTTATCTGTATCACGTTAGGCTAGAAATATTTTAACACGTGTCATCTTGGTACGAGGAAATCCGTTTGTTTTGAGTAACGAACGAAAATGACGAAATTATTTGAAAACCAAATGTCGAAGGCTTTTGGTTAAGTATAGTTTTTTTAAGACATAGGCTACGTTTTAACCTAGAAGGTCCTGCGGGTGAAGCCGTTAGCAGAAACTAGTTAAGTATAAATTAGTCAATAGCAGGTGTGAATTTCGTGGCACGATATTAATCAGATTACATTGATGACAAACTGTAGTCCAGTAATTGGGCTATCAACGTCTATGTGGCTATAAAACCTTATTGTCTTTTTACATGCTCACTCGATTAGAATTCGTAGGCTTAATGCCCAGTTGGAAAGTTATAAATTAGTTAGAATCGTTGGCGTACACAGTCGGATACTCCAAAATGAAATTCGCAACCAAGTTGTCAAGGTCAAGTAACTGACAATGTGCCAAAAAAGGCCACTTATTTGGACCTCGAAAAAGACCACTTAACGTAAGGGAAATTGAATCGACGTGTCTTATAAATAGGGTCGATTAATTCTTGCACTTGTAGCCTTTAGAATCTTGAATCGCTTACTACTTACGTTACTCTCTGACGCTTTTATCAGTTTTTGTGAAATAACGAAAACGATAAAGATAAAACTAAAAAACTACTGAATGTGAGAACTGAACAGATTCCCATATTACGACGATTGATTCAAGAGAAGTGTACTTTATTAGCTTTTACCTGTGTTGTTCCAGACCAGTTTCAGAGAGTTTTTGAGAGTAATAAATATAAGTCGTACTTATTTCCTGACTTTTTAATTATAAAAGCCCAAACAAATCTCACACGGAGTTGGGAATTGATGACAACGAGCAGAAAGTAATACTGTTATTAGGTTTATATCATAGTTTCTTTATTCTATTATTTTCTCAATCGAATTTCAAATTTCCCAAAGGGCTTTTTATAGGCGACATAGAGTTGGAGTAAGTTCTAATCTGCTTACATATATAGATAATTAGTAGTTAATAAACAAGATTTTTGTTTTGTCTATGACATTAGAAAAATAATTAACGCTTAAAATATGCCTTCAAATTTATAAACACAATGATTTAAGACAATAGCAACTACTATTGGAACTAATAAATAAATAAATGATGACGACATCAACTACCTAAAATACAGCGTGTTTTATCAGCATAACTGAACATCATTTTATCTGATGTTATTTCGTAAACACTAAAGTTAAACAATACGTGAGATAAAATCATTACGTCAGGTTTTTTTATTCGATGCATTAATGAACGCATTACTAACATTCTTAAAATAAAAGTTACCACGTGATAAATTAAACGAAATTTGTCTATGCGTACATTGTTTTTAAAATACGAACGTTGAGTTAAGATTTTCGTTTGAATGATCAACACGGAACGATTTTAGCTATTAAGAATATTTTAGACAAGCTACTCTCGCGCGGTTGCACCCGGTGCTGCTCAGCTCCATTTGATCGTAACGTGATGTTTTATAGCCTATTGCACTCAGGAACATTGTAGCTATCCATCAGTAAAAGAATTTTGGCAATCCGACCAGCGGTTCCAAAGATTACAGCCTACATATAAACTTACAAACAAACATGCAAACTTACAAATTTTGCCTCTTTATAGGTATGTAATATTAGTATAGATTTGCAGTGGTACAAGTCTAAGATTACCACGAAAGACCGCATTTAATACAGGATGGGGCAAAGAAAATTTTATTATTATATTTTTATAACGCCAATACCAAACACAATAGGGATAATTACAAATTTTAGTTTTTACGCTAGTCTTTTAGATTAATAGAGCCATGCGACACGTCATACCAAACTTCACTCTTAAACACGTATTTTTCTTTACTTACAGAATCAAAGTCAAAGTCAAAATCATTTATTTCAATTAGACCCATACAGGCACTTTTGAACGTCAAACAAAATTTTAAAGATATAAAGTGTCGTCGAACGTGATTACTTCCGAAGACATATTGTAATTACTTATTGATAAACTGTTAATCCCCTTAACGTAACAAAATATTGGTTTGCACAAATACCCGTATAGTTAAATAAAAGATAATAGACGCAGTTACCTACATTTATTTGACCTTAAGAGAAAGAGTTCAATAACACGGTTTTTCAGGCAACTCAGATAGATTAGTTGTTTGACCTCTACGTTGGCGCAAGCGTCGAGAGTAGGTAACAAGACGGCTGATGGATGTCACTTATCCAAAAAGGATTCTATTTATGTAACAAATCTATACTAATATTATAGAGGTAAAAATTTTAAGTTTGTATGTAGGGGGTAATCTTTGGAACCGCTTTTTTATGTAATTGGTCGGCAAACGAGCAGACGGATTACCTGATGGTAAGCAATCAGCGCCACCCATTTACACCCGCAACGGAGGAGTTACGAGTTCCGACCTTTTAGGGATTAAGGATTTGGAGATATAGGGATTGAGAAGGGATTGGGGGCGGGGAAGGATTGCGATCCGGTAACGCACTCACACGGCGAAACACAACGCTGTGGTTGTTCCACGCCGGTCTTCTGTGAGGCCGTGGTATCACCCGCTGCTCGGATTCCAAAAATTCTTTCACTGATAGACAGCTGCAATGTTCCTGAGTGCTTTAGGCTATAAAACAACACGCTACGATCAAATTGAGCCAAGCAGAGGGGGAAACCGCGTGGGAGTAGCTAGTATAAAATATATTGCATAGCCAGGTGTGAATGAAATTTTGGAAGTTAAATAAGATTTGTCCCTTTGCACTTTTACATTGTTTTTTTTTTGTAGAACGGCGTACAATCTTACGTTTAACCTGATGGGACGTTAAACAACACAGTAAGAGTTAGAAGAAAGCCCCCTTTTAGGTCTTAAGGAGGCAATAAGAAAATCGGTTTCACACATTCATTATTTGTTGTTTGTCACATGTAAGAAACCGAGAAGCTTCTGTCGCGACCACGAGTGTCTCTCTTAGGGACGCTATACGTGGTAACTCAGATAATTGTGATCAAACCTCAAATGAAAATATGTAGTTTTAAAATTTGCAATTTTTGATCTTGTCAAATTCAATAGTTTTATTTAAATGTCAAAACTAAGTGTATTTAAAATGAACTTTCATTCAAGATGTCATAATGGTTTTACGTTAAACATTACAGGACTTGAATTACCGGTAAAAGTGTAAGTAGTATCGTTCGTTATCGTAAATAACATTTATCGAGAATTTTATCGTTAACTTATTGTGTAACGTTAAACGATAAGTTTATCGTTAGATCATTAAGTTTTTGTTTCGTAAATTTTATCGTTATGATTTCTTCTTTCAATTTGGAAAGAATTTTCTTGTATGCTAATGCATAGGCTGTGCCAAACGTTTACAAGTGTTTAAGTTATCACTACAGACACAGATAGCAAAGGAAAGTGCCTTTAAATTGTGTATTAATTGTCTTCATACTTTGCAACCGCATACCGTTAACGATTACCGGTATACTTACAATACCTTCAAAACCATCCCGTTTCAAACGTAATAATTTATGTTACATGTCAAAGAAGCGCAAACAAAGGTAGGTACCGGAATGCCGAGCGAATTTTGAAGATATTTAATGTTATTTTAAATATAAATTAGTAAACTTTTAAGGCCTTGAAATAGCTTACTTATTAGTTATTACTGATGAATAAAATGAGTTAGAAGAAATCATTGAATGAAAGCTTGATTGTATATTAATAATACTTAATAAATTGTATTGAAAAGTCAATCAATTCATTTCTGACCTCGGAAAGTAACAAATTAGAGCCAAAAATTTAGGACATCGAAAAAGATTTCGTCTAAACTCACTAAAATATTATAAAGAGGAAAACTTCACTTGTTTTAATGAATAGGCTCAAAACTATTGGACGGAATTAAAAAAATCTTTCAAGATTTAAAAGCTTTCATTATCCATAAGTCACATTGGTTACCTATATTGCATTATGGTAAAAGGGTAGGGTTCTGTAAGATATTTGAGGTTTTCGGGGTTTATTTTGTGTTCCTTTTGAGATTCGCAATTCTGTCACAAATTTGAAATCTACGCGGACGAAGTCCCGGGCATAAGCTAATAGATGATCAAAATGTAGTTTCAAAAAAGAAGTAAGAATCAGAGAGAAACTGTTCGTTTTTTAAACCATAACCACTAGTAAATGACATCGACTTTTACATGTAAATTAGCTCAAGATCTTATTCTTAAACAAATGTTTCTCCAATACCGCAACACTATACTATTTAGTTGACAATAAACTATTTGTAATGGTTATCAAATACGTGCCTTCTGATCAGAACAATCGACAATATTTGCCAATACAATTTCAACATTATTGGCTGGCAACTATGTTGAAAATTGCATGGTTTGTATAAGGGAAAGTTGAGATATACTGAACATTCTGTTGGTATATTGATTGAAAAATAATTCAGTTCTATGTCCAGTCACCTGTTTTTTTAAATTTACGTAACTTCGTAAACTTTCTTAACTTAACCCTATACTACTGTATAGGGTTAAGTCATCAACATGAGGTCTTAGTTAGAATACTCAAGACAGACTTTTTTATGAGATTGTCTATTTAGCTTTCAGATTTTAATGTAGGTATTTAAATAAGTTACTAACTAAAGAACAGAGTTTAGATTTGTGCCGTATTTATTCTTGTCTGGTAGTTTTGAATAGATTAGCGGTTTGATTACTACGGCTTACGATCGGTTAATAACCGACCTCAAACGTATATACTCTATGTATTAATATTTATTTTGCCATTAAATAGTTTTAGAGATTTCGAGAGAAATCGATCCGGTGATAAGCACACTGAAAACTTCATTCATTGACAGATTCTTGATTTGAAGATACGAAATTTTAATATGTTACGTTCCTCTAATGATTTTTTAAAGAAGTTCCCCTACACTGGGTTTTTCTCCTGTGTCGTGGTTTTTACAAACATACAATTTCACATACACACAACACCCAGACCCGAAACAACAATTTGTGAATGGAACCCGCGACACGTTGCGCGGCAGACAGTCACGCAGCTACCACGCCAACCGGCAGTCGTATTAATACGTTAAGTACTTCAAAGTGAGATTTTCTCCTCTGTCGGTATTGCGTTTGGAAACATATTAGGTATACAATTTACATATACATGCCACCCACACCAGGAACAACAATTTGTGGCAGCCAGTTACCTAGCCACTGAACCAACCATGCACTCAGAATTAAAGATGCAAATACTATGTTTTTATGCTATCAACTCAACTAATATCATCCTATTAAGTACTTATTGCCAAACTAGGAATTAAGTACTAAACTTTTAAATAGGTACGTTTATTAAGTAATCTTTTCTAAATTACATAGTTTCAATGATTTATTGTTTTGCACAAGTCAATGGGACCATAAAGGCAATTAGTTCTGCCGATATGAAAAGACATTAGCTGTAAAACTTTAAAACTTATTGTAAAGACATAAGCTAGAATTTTGTATATGGTATTACTCCTTATCAGTTTAACTAGGAAATGTGTCAAGCAATTGAAATGGTGTGTACTTATAGGTAATTTTATATTCTTTAATATGTTGTTAACCTTAACAAATAGTAAGTTAGGCTCTTAGAGATAGCATATTGTCATATTCTACTAACATTATGTGAAAGTTGGTAATAATATATGTATATAAGTTTTTGATATATTTAAGTGTTACCCTGGATTAAAAAAAGCAGCCTAGTTGGCTGCTTTTTTAACATACCAAACAGAAGCTAGTTTTGAATAAGTGTGCTAGGAAGTTAGGAACTATGAAGTGATACATGGCCTCACGAAACTCAATGTTAAACAACCTCCCCAACACCCAATCTTCAAATGTCTAACAACCCTAAAAAGGTGGGCAACAAATTCTAATTGATTGAATTTTTGGTTGTTGTTGTTGATTAAGACTTTACAGTCAAAACTCTAACTCCACTTAGCATAAAAATAAATCATTTATTAAAACTTAATGGCTTAATTTTAATAACCTCACAGTTTTTTTAAAAGGATAGAAAATGCATTCTACTTTTTCGTAATTTTTTACCAATCCTAACAGGAATTAACAACTAAGCTTGTATGTAAGATATGGGTTATTCCAACTTTTGGTAACTCTTAAATTTTCTTTTACTTCTTTGCACTATACTTAATGGTTGTGCTTTTTACTATGAATTATATATTTTTATACTTCACATAACATAGTTCTGAAACTTTATGGTAAAAAAGAAACATGCCTTCTTGGTTAGATTAAAAATTAAGCAAAAAAATATTTACCTCAGGTGGCTCAATAGCTCTTTCTACAGCCTCACTCATAATGAAAAATGCTATAAATAACAGGAACAATCCATTTACAAATCCAGCCAGCACTTCAGCTCTTGCATATCCATATGAATATCTTTCATTGGCACGCCATTTTGAGACTAAGGAGGCTGCCAAGCCGGCTACCAAACCCGTGCAATCAAAGAACATGTGGAATGCATCAGATATTAGACCTACAACAAAAAAACAAGGTAAGTACTTCTCTAAGGTACAATATGCTGTGACACTATCAAGCTCCAAAACATATGTTGATTTCATAAACAATTGGGTTCTGTACTCACCTAAACTATTCGTCCATATACCATAGAATAGTTCAACAAACGCAAAGGACAAATTTAGAAGAAGGAACATGAATAAATTCCTAGAATTCTTATCAGAATAAATTAGTCTCATCCAATTTGCGATCTTTTCACGTATTCCACCAACTGTTCCACGCGGAACCCGCGTGTCCTTTTGCGTAAGGGGCAGCATTGTTTCTACTTTATTTTTTTCGGGTTCGTTTCACGGCATTTCACTCAAAAATCACAAAAACAGATCTTCAAGCAACATAGCTGCATACGTGTACTTGACAAGCGGTTCTAACCTAGCACGATAATAACACCAAGTAAAAAAATTTAGTGACAAAATACTATATTTAAAACACTTCAGTGTCTAATATCGTTACTTATTTCATTTACACGAACTTTAATTAAAAAAATGTATTATTTTATAAACTTTACATCGTGCGACAACTCAACTTGTCGCTAATGAACTGTCAAAAATTCTTAAATGTTACCAATTATGAAATGAGTAAATGACTGAAATGAGGCACAATTTTATGAAAATGATTTCGTAATTATTTCTACTGATGTCTTTATTATAAAAGTAAATATAAAATATATTTTTAATTTAAAGTACGATCACAAATCAAACTGAAAACTAAACTGAAAAAATTTTTATATGGTGTAATTATGTTATCGGTGAAAATTGTTAAAATACAAAGAAGTTCACCTTCTTTTTGAAATTCCATGTAAAAGTGAATACATAAAAATGGCTAAAGATGCAATTGTTCAATAATCAAACTATTACTTCTACTAAAAATAATAATTTCGGAATTTTTCTTCTAACCTAGATTTGTACATTGTCTATGCTGAGAACACTTCCAATTTAAAAACACTGAACATTTTTCTATTGGTTGAAATTACAATAGATCCCTTGTAACCAATGACATTATAGAAATCGCGCAAGTTATTTGTAAACGAAAGAGCACTTCATGATGAGTCATAGACTTTCAATTGACACTCGTTTCCGGAAAAGTTTGCACAAAATCTATGAACTTTGGTTTATTTTGTTTATGGTTCCAAATTATAAATTCTTATTTTATAATATTATTATTTTTTATACCTAAATTAACGTATTTATACATCTTTAGAAAGCCAAATTACCAACAAAATTCAATTTTATTCATTTTTAGGTTCAAAATCGATGATTTTATTTTCTTCCCGCCAAGTTTTCAAATCAATTCCACCGGATATTCGTCTATAGATGCGTTTGTTTCCGAAAAGTGAACGTTTCACGAGTCAACAGCAACGTCTTTCGAGAAGTTCTAGGCGCTGTTTGCGACATTTTTCCTTCTTTTATCCGTCATCCAATGTTTTATGTGATGAAATAACACGTTGATTAACGTTTATTAGTGTTCATAGTCGTAATTAAGTAATCGCTAGATTACGATATAAGCTAATATGGGCGACGAAAGCCATCCTAAAACTCTCTACGTCGGTAATTTGGACGCGAGTGTTACAGAAGTATTCATATGTACGTTGTTCGGTCAAATAGGCGAAGTAAAAGGTTGTAAGATAATCCGCGAACCCGGCAACGATCCGTATGCTTTCCTCGAGTTTACAAGTCACACGGCGGCAGCTACAGCTCTGGCCGCCATGAACAAGCGAGTGGTCCTCGACAAGGAAATGAAGGTTAACTGGGCTACGAGTCCTGGCAATCAGCCGAAGACTGATACCAGCAACCATCATCACATATTTGTAGGAGATTTATCACCGGAAATTGAAACGCACATATTGCGAGATGCATTTGCTCCGTTTGGTGAAATCTCGAATTGTCGGATAGTCCGCGACCCACAAACGCTCAAATCTAAAGGGTATGCTTTCGTTTCGTTTGTTAAGAAGGCTGATGCAGAGGCCGCTATTCAAGCAATGAATGGGCAATGGTTAGGTTCCCGGTCCATACGCACGAACTGGTCGACGCGTAAACCTCCATCGAAGCCAAATGAAGGTGCACCGAGCAGCAAGCGAGCAAAACAGCCCACGTTTGATGAGGTATATAATCAGAGCTCACCCACAAACACAACGGTGTATTGCGGCGGGTTCACTAGCAATGTTATTACTGAAGATTTGATGCAGAACACATTCTCACAGTTTGGCCAGATACAGGATGTAAGAGTGTTCAGGGAGAAAGGTTACGCCTTCATTAGGTTTACTACTAAAGAAGCGGCAGCACATGCCATTGAAGCAACACATAACACAGAAATTAGTGGACACATAGTCAAATGTTTCTGGGGGAAAGAGAACGGAGGAGGTGACAACCAGGTTTGTATACTTATCTACAGGTAACTAAAATTTCTTTGCAGCATACAAAACAATCTTTAGGAGATAAGCGGTGTGAAAATAGTATGATTTGGCGATGACGAGAGACATTTTAGAAAGTTTAAACTAAATTTATTCTAACATGTGGGCACTGTGCTAGATTCTATGGGTAACTGATTGGATATGGTCATGACAGGGTCAGTATAGCAGTACAGATATGTACCCAAATCAGTATGCTATGTAAGTATAGGTCAGGTAAGTCAATACATCTGGATTAAATTCTGAAGACGTTGACTTTGTACTTGTTACTTTACTATGCATTTCGGAATCAAAATTATCACAACGAAATTGCATTCCTCACAATTAAAGAAAGTTTGATCTGGCAGCTATCTTTTTAATATTCATAAAGTAAGAAACTGAATTTCTTTCTGTTTCTATTAGTCATAATTGTGTTTAGTAGTATAGTATGATTAGTACATAGTCATGGAAAAATTCAATCCTAGCCCACCACCTCCACAGTCTCAGACCACCATCAAAGGTTGTCAAGGTAGTCAATGGTATTGTTTAAGCTAAACAACACCTTAGCAACCAATAATTTTGTTTATTGCACCACTTGAAATCAATGATGTAATCATAATATGACAACAAGTGGTATTTTTACCCTTGAATTGTATTGGAACTTTCCTTTATATCAATCACAAGTATCTAAGAGCCATGGTAAAAAAACACTCACATAAATTAAGTCACTGAAAAAAAAATTAACCAACCAAAACCTGTCTATTACCACAAAATAACAGTTGTCATCAGATTCTTTTGCGGCTTTGTGTATATAAATTGGAAGAGAAATGCACATAGCAACAGTCACATTTGAGAATAATCTTTTGTTGTTCTTTTTCTTTACATAGTATACTAACTAAAACTAAAGTAAAAATCTTTATCAAATAGTTTTATTACCATTTTTACTGAAATTAGTAATTGGGCCAATAAATGTTAGAAATTTTATGCTAAAATTAATATTATGGCCATATGCATGTTATCTTTCATATATGCATATTATGTAAATCAGGTGGACAAGACCAGTTTTCAATTTTAACCTGTTGATTACTTCTTTCATATAAAATTTTTAGGTTATAATTTTATAGTATAAATGTCTAAAATTCCTTAATTAACTTAAATGAATCACAATCTTTATTGCACCAAGTATTATTAGTATTTTTAAACTCTTCATGATGGTACTTGGTTGAAATCTGCAACTTTGAGTAAAAATGCATAGTCACTGTTTTACTGTTATTGTAAAAGTGACCTTATTTGGTTAAAGCTTGAATTGCTTTTCTTGTGTGTATTTTGTCAGACTGAAAATAATTAAGGAGTTGTAATTCATACAAAATAAAACAACAGCTGTGAGTTATGTTGGACACTCGTTTGAAAATATATGTATAACAATATAAGTTAGGTGGTTGGTTCATACTGACTTTGCCCCATGTCCTTAAATGGTTTTCATTTTAAAATGGAATCTTGGCTTTATAATTTTTCACTTTTGCTTCTTTTTGTATTATGAGAATCTATTGAATTACAAACATTGCGCGTGCACATTGCGCCTAAAACTATCTTTAAACTTTATCATTTATGGGTACAAACCTTTGTCTAAAATTCCTTAGAAAGATAGATTGCTGCATATTTCAAATTAAAAATCACCACAGATGACAAACTATTTCATTATCTGATAACATTATCATTCTACATAGAAGCTATATGCACTAATGCTCCAAGATACATATAAGAAATCAATTTACACATATTGTTTAGTTCTTTTTCTTGTCAAAGTTGTTGTTGTGTTGTCTTCAAAGTTGAATGAATGAAGTTCATGTGTTCTCTCCAGTACAGTATAAATATTATGACTTTGATACAGCTGATTTCTATGCAAGTTCAGGTTCTTTATTAATACTTTAATATGTCTGAAGATCCTTTTTACTTACCTTTTATAAAAAAAAAAATAGAATAACTATGGTACACAATTATTTTTAACATCTAAAAATATAAATGTAAATTCACAAATAATATTTAAGGTTACTAAAAAATATAATTTTAGTGTATATTTTTGCCTTGTAAAAATTTTATTGTTCAATACAATAACATGTGAATTTTGTTAAATTTCAGAGCACGAACAGTGCGACAGCGGCGCCGCCTGCTATGGGTGCGCAAACGCAGTACCCGTATCCATATCAACAAGGCATGGGATACTGGTATGCTCAGGTAAATATCAACAATTATTATTGTTAATTACCTATTATTATCTATACATCATACTCTAGCCTGAACTTTTTCCTCTGATATTTACTAGGCAGCAAATTAACGTTGGAACATGTAAGGATATCCATAGGAACAATAAAGTACTTGGTTAATCACTCTTTTATCGAGTTATATGTACTTTATATGTGTATTTGGACACCACTGACAGACTGTGAAGAAAAAACATAGTGAGAAAACCTGGACTTATAACTTTTAATTATGAGTTGAAGCAATTATAAGAGCAAGCATAGTGATTAATGCCTTATCTGTGTGAGAAAAGGCCTTTGCTCAGCACTTAAGGCTGAACATGTGGTGAATCTCTTATATTTGCACTATTTTTCTGTCTCTTGGTCCGCTGTCGCCAATGATTGCGTTAACCGTGATACATCTTACAATAACACAAACGTTGGGCGGGGGCGACTCATGTTTGTCTGTGCAGTTTTTGTTCTGTGTCATTGGTTTTTGTACGGGGATCATCCGAAATATTGTAACTATGGTTCAGAACGCATAGTGCAAGTTTGCTTTACATTAACGCCATCGTTTGGCGACCTTTACATTCACCTGTCTCCGATCAATTAGAGCGCTGAATGTCACTTTGGTCAAAATTCGGCATAAGTTTCGAATAAAATTTAGGCTTTATATCCAGAAATATGAATTTTCCATGAGTTATCCTTACATGACCCGTCGCTTATTTCTGTTGTCCTTGTAATTTAAAAAAAAAAACAAAAAGAGATTAAAACCAGGCTAAGTTTTGGACATCTTGTTATCAATTATTAAACAAAGAGAAGGGGATCTGCACTGACAATGCATCAATTATCATTTCTAATAAAGCCGAAATATGTCGGTGGTGATAAAACTTAATTGGCTGATATGCACCTCGCGATTAATAACCTTGGTTTAATTGGCTACAGCCGTTGGTTGAACACACGTCCTTCCATTTCACGTGCATTTCATATTTAACTACTTAGTATTAAAAAGTACTTGAGTTTCAAATGGTTACTGTTATCAATAAGGAAACATTAACAGCTTAACTGAAGGATTAATCATTGTACGTGAACACTTTATCGTACATTAGGTCAAGGTTAGAAAGCTGTAAAATACAAAGAGACTCCGGCGCAAGTCTCATGAAATAAATACTCCTTATTGTATGTATGTTTGTGATGTTATTACTTGTCACACACAAGCTTTCAACCTTGACCGAAAATTCTGTTGTCTAATCTAACATTGTATTTTTTTATTGTTTTGCGCACAGAATCAGGTAGTACTACAGATTATAAAATATATAATTTTGTGTGATAATTAGTCTTAATCATTGTTTAGGTATTTAGTATTTTGCACTTAAACCTTTAAATTGTTACATTACAATTTGCATGGGTAGTTTTAGTACCAGTAAAATAACCAACAGCTCACTTATACCACAAAGTTTGAACAGGATAGGAAATGCTTTTGTCTTATTGCTGCCACTATTACATAGTCATATCGATTTGTGCATGAAAGAGATAGATATATTATGTAGCTCTGATATGTACCAAATGTTGATTGTTCTTCCCTTTATTCGTGCTGTAGTATTATAATATTCACTTAGAAATTCATATTTAGAAATGTTTTTATGTTGTTATCTGTGTTTTGTAGATTTGTAGTTGATAGTGTCTTAAATTAATATTGTTCAGCTCTAAATTTCACAGATTATATGAGGTAAAAAAATTTTTATATTCTATTTCTAACTATTATATTTACCATTACATCCATAGATGCATATTTGACTTCAAAATGTAACTAGCTATTGTAAACTTTTGCTGATAATATTCTCTTATCTGCATTTTTATTGTAGTTACAAAAGTTAGTAGTTACGTAGCTGTGACGTCAGCATAAACTCTTGACTAAACTAAGAAACATTTTGATAACCATCTCTTCTAAAATAAACTTCAGAAGTATTAATAGGGTGATTTTTAGTACTATTTATTTGTAAACGAAAGTTGTACTTAAACATAACTTTATTAATACATGTCTATGCAAGCTACAGTTTCGGTAAGAATGCTCAATAATGTTCATTCATTCATCATCACTTTGTTTCCATTCACTGCTGAATATGAGTATTATCTTCACACTGTTAGCACTGAGCTTGATATCCAGCTATTGCAGAAGCTAGAGGATAACCATCATATGGTTTAAATTGATTATTTTATTTGAACCTTATTTAAGCATTTTATGAATGATTTCTTCTCTTGAGCATAATTATTCTGGATACCTAGTTCTTTCGGATCGTGATTATCTTAGAACGAAATTAAATTCGTATAAATTATATAATATTTATGGGTATGCGTTTATTATTTTTGCATATGCCTCTCCTGTTTTTTGGAATGTAAGGTGGTTTTATTTTTACAATGTTGATACTTGTAAATATAATTTGGATACCAGGATAATGACAAAATTAATACTAAAATGTAACTACTTTGTTGTAATTTTATTAACTGAAGTCAGTTGTTGTTTTGAATGAGTCAGAAATATAACTAAACAAAAGCTCTGTTATACTATGTACAAACATTCGAAGAAAATTTGTATGTCTAAGTGTTTATATTCGGTACTTGCAATATAACCAAACAAAACATCACCATGATAAAGTGAATAAATTGTCTAATGCATATTTTCCTGTGAAGTAATTATTATTTTAATGCGACACGGGTTTCCGTGTATATTTTTAAGTCAAAACTCGAAAAGAATTTCAGAGGAGACAGTTTAGCAATTTTAGGTCTTGATATAATCTTAAAAACACATGCAACTGCTTTTTAAATAATATTTAGAAAATTTAGGTACTTAAGATCTTGGACTTCTCTCGATACATTGTGTATGATTTCAAGTTTCATTAAAATCGGTTCAAAGTCAAAAATCATTTATTTCAATTAGACCACAGTAGGCACTTTTGAACGTCAAGCAAGCAAAAAAGGAAAAAAGTAACATGAGCTAAAATAACATGAGCTTTAAAATTAAGCGTGTCAGTCTGTCCGTCTGTCCTCTAGTGAAGCTATTTGCTCGTTCCAAAGTGTAGATTCCTATGGAGAAGAACGAGCAAGAAACTCCATGGTTACTCTTTTTCAATCAGTTTTACAATACATTTCTTTGTTACAAGGTTACAAGGTTTAAAAGTTTCCGAAATGTATTGACTTCAGAATTGGTATAGAAACCAACATTCAATTTAAATTAAAAAAAAAATGTTTTGTTAATCCCATATAAACTATTGAAATAATTTATGTTTAAATTACGTTTAAATATTTGTGGTTTATTTACATCAAAAATTGCTGTTCGAATTTAGATAAAAATACTCGCAACAAAATATGTATCGTCTGAAATCCTGTTTACTTTTTCCTCGGCAAAATGTACGAATTTCCGCCTGAATGATATTGCGGATAAGTGTCTAGTGTAACGTAGAAACTCAAACTGCTGTATAATTTCATTGTAATCGATATGATATACAGTAGGTTTCACGTCGCATAGATCACGTTACATACGCGTGAAATATGCAAATGCGGTCCATTGAAAGTTGTGATCATGAAGTGGACTAACAACTGAGGCTGAATTTTAAGCACGTATGTTTTTGTAAGATTTATTTCATTATGCGAGGTTTGTCCACAAAGTGTATTCGATATTTATATACATTTCTTCTTAAAAATAATGTGATAAAAGATCTATTAGATTATTGTATATTTAAACAGTTGAGGTTTAGAAAAATCATATTAAACAGATAAACAATAATTGATTGCAGTTTTTCGTTCAACAGGAATCGAGAAAGAAAGTAATATTTTCCGTTTTACACGACTGCTTAATGAGTGTGTTTTGGTAGTTTAGTGAGGTTCTTAATTACAAGCGAAACCATGTTCTGGATAATTTTTTTTTCTTTAATGTTTTTATTTTCCAATAGACCAATGTTTTTTTTAACAATACGAATAGAAAAGATTGTTTAAATACAAAAAAAATAAACAATATCTTGTCCTGTTTAAAAACTAAAAAGAGCAGTAATTAATTTTATTTTTAATAAACATTCATTATTATTTTTAAACTTTAGCTTATAATAATATTAACAAAACAAACAATAGAAAGAAAAATAAGTACGTCCATGTATTTCCTAATTACAAATTTTAAATCACGAATATAGTATATTGTTGCGTGTTGATGTAGCCGATTATGTTTTACGCGGTGGCTAACGAGCGTGCGTGTGGTTACAGGGCTATCCGGCATTACAAGGGTACATGGCGCCTGGGTACTACCAGCAGTACGCCACGGCCTACAGTAACCCTCAAGCTGCTGCAGCAGGTATGTTTTTACTGTATTTCTTTTTTATCTATTATCTGCGGGTTGTTTGTGTGTCTCGGCTTAATTTCCCGAAGGCGGCAATATGTTTTTGAGGTGGTATCTGGTTTTAAAAATTGTTTTTGTATACTCAGTAACAAATAGGATTGAGTGAAATAGTAAAATTTAATATGTATGTTCTCAAATGCTTACCAGTTTGGAGAATAAAATGACCTTAATTCTTCCAATACTTGTTATACTGGTGAAGTTTAATATATTTGTAATTTGTGTCAACTGCCGATTGTCATGCCCATTTTGATATTTATTAAATACCTATACACAAACCAAATTCATGACAAAATTACGTTCGTTATGCACTTCGCCCTAAAAATACTCAAATGAGGTGAAAAACAGGAGTGTGGATTTATAAATTGTTCAATACACCAAACAAATGTACTTACTTGTTGCTATCAAATACCATTATCTAAAACCTCGATCCTATTGTGTTATCGAGTACCGAGTTAACTAACGACTCGCCGCCAACTTTTTATAGCTAAATTGACTGTTTTGCAGTTTGCTATTTCAATTTGTAACACCATAACACAGTGTTACACTATTGTGATGAAAAAAAAATGCTACCTATAACTTTCCCGTGATTTGGGTATTATTTCAGTTAGACATTAATCCGAATAATGTGCATTAATAAAATGATTTTGGTTTCATTGGAAGTCTCATGAAACGTATCTCTTTGTGTTGTTGCAGCGGGCTACCGCATGAGCATGCCGGGCGGCGGCGGCGCGGGCGCCGGCGGCGGCTGGGGCGGGGGCCCGGCCCCGCTGATGTACGCGTCGCCCATGCCGTCGGCGCAGTACCCATCGCAGTAGCCGCCCCCGACACCCGTGCAATGTCGCCACGTCCTGTGCCTCACGCGGTCCCCAGCGGATCCGACCTAATACAATACGAACTCTGCGTCAATTTTGTAAAACTGTCTCTGGGCAGATAAGTTTCGGTTTAGATTTTATTTTTGTACAAGTCCGTGCGGTTTTCCGTGTAGAGACTCCGATAAGTCACGTTGCGTGCTTGCAACTTACATTTGTATAAAATTGTTCTTGTTACTGTATAAAGAGTGACGGCGATGTTGTTCACGTCGTAAATGTATATTTCAGAGCATGCACACTGTCAGTCGAGGGACCTAACACCGTCACTTGGTGCGGGTAGTGTGCCGAACTATTTATGCAATCGAGTTATCGTACATATCTCGAGTTGTTGTTATTGGCAGAGCAGTCAAACAGTGTACAAATGTTGGAAAATAGCAATACCGTTCAACTCATTTACAGGTGGTTAGTGACGGGAATCTGCGGAGGGCTCTAGGCGGTATCTCATGTGCCAACAGTCGCGTCTCATAGAGGCGCGGCGGGTAGTCGCCAGCGCCGCCCGGCTCCCGCCGCTGACTCCCCTCGCTGCTATTGACCGACCGTACCCACAAAATTATCTTAGTGTTGTCTGGCGCCATCTAGTTTCAGTAGATATAACTAAATGACGCCATGTTTGCAACACCGAACAGTTTCGGATTCACGGCGCAACGGTGTTAGTCGACCTACATAGATAGGACATAACGAAATAAATTATAAATTTTTAATAAAAGTTATAAATATATAAGGGGGGAGTAGTGTCGCGAGTGGCCTCGTGTACATACGTTGATATTTATTGGCGCCCTGCGCTGGCAGACTGAACTATGTTCCCCGAGACTCCTCACACGACGCGCCAGACAGTTTTGACCTATTTATATTAAGTTGGGCACATGTTGTTTTGTTTGACCTGAATTGTTATGATTTATTGTATGGAAACACTGGTGAGTCAATAAAGCTGTGGGTCTGGGACAACGGGTGTTTGATTTGCCGTCTAGATATAATATACAACAACTGTATTATGTTTCTGGGTCCAAATTTTTTTATATGAGTCGACTGCTAGGTCCATCTGTGATCGAATACAGCATACGTTCGGATGACGTGAATGATTAAAATTTATTGTAAATTCATAATGAAAAAGGTAAATTTTGTAAAAGGATAAATAAATAGTTTAAGTTTACAATTACTTTTGATTATTGTTGTATCATTAGTGGCGTCGATCTCTGTTACTATGTACCCTTATGTGAAACACCAGAACTAAACTTTTTCTGTTCTCAAAATGAATATCATGAACATGAATGGTTAACTTGGAGACGAAATGATTTGTTATAACTGTTATCACAGAGTGGTAGGCCCTGCACTATAAGAGGACCTTACGCATTTGGTCTTTAATTTTAGAAATTGTTGCCTTAATTTGGCGTTACCCTCAGTAGTGTATGGCCTATCGAGCATATTATAAAAAATATTGCATCAAGTGTGCAGAAAATATACAAATTTCATTACAAAACATGAGTTTAAAACATTCTCTCCTTTAGATAATCGTTTAATCTAAATTACTAAATTATTGTAATTTAGTCAAGTCACTAGATATGAAAGTATATAGGGAGATTCTGGGAATAAATGGAACTACTCGACAATCTTTTAAGTGTGATCATAAATAAAATATTACTAAAATATTTTATCTTGACCATGTAACTAAGCAAAGACCCTAAAATGACTTTTAAATTAAACTACCCTCAATCATCAAAGACAAAATAATTAAGCTAAGAATAATATTTTCTAGAAATACCATCACCTCAGATTGTGTCTTGAAACTCCAGGTAGGAACCTACTACGGCTTGAAAACGAGGATTATTTTTAAGATTTCTAGTATGCTTCAACACAGCTAAGCAAGCAGACGTGAGTTAATAAAAAAACAAGTACAATCAGTAGAACCTAAGATTTTAGATAGCTTGATAGTAAATAGTCGCAAGCCTTAGTGCAATTACCGCAACATCAGAGACATCATAAGTGCTTTGCCGACCGCCAAGGAAACTGTTTCTCGAATAATTAACTTCTTTTCTGTACTTATTCACTCCCATGATTTATATCCGATTTTACGGTGTTGGCTGGGTCTCTCCATTCATCAGGCGAAACGCAGCAGGATCACGTAACTATGTCACTACAAGGACGGAGTCGCGCGCCGGTATTCTGTAATAACAGCAGTGTGGACGGATTTTTGCGATCAATTTCCCTTCAGACCTGACTCTTCAGAAAGTGAAGTGTGGAAGTGTTATTAAGCGGTGTGAACGTCCGATACGTTGGGTTGAGCAGTGGATACCGCCGAAACATAAAGAAATATTTTTATAGTTGTTTCTTATCGTTGTCATAAGTAATAAGGTGGTTATCACTATTGATTAACAAAAATCTCTTAAAATGACCATTCTAGTCAGCTGATCAAAAAAATATTAACAAATTAACGCCTTTGAATAGCATAAAAGACAGTGTTACGGGGGCACTATATGTTGCTATTAGAATAGAACAAGGGGCAATATTTGTAACACCTATTAAATAGGTGTCAATTATTAATAGGTACACAAATTTTGTGTATTAATTAATGAGTGACATTTTAGTAATTTTATCACAAGTAAACAACTGCTGACTGCCTTTCTTCTAAATACTAAAGATAACAAAATAAAAATTATGAGTTCTTAATCGGAAAGAAATAAAAAAAAAGCCGTGTCCTCAGGGAAGTGATCGGACGTGTCTTGTAGTGCTCATAGTGCAGAGCGAGAGAAACTGGGAAGCCGTCTCCAAAGGAGACGGACCGCGTGAGGGAGCTATACTCCTCCTCACGCCCCAGCCGCCGCAGTTGGCGACAGTCTGGGCGTCGGGGATCTAGAGACGCTCTCCGGCCACCGTAAGCGCAGGCCTGAGGACGGCGAGTCAGGGTAGCTCGCCCGACCAGAATTGGACCCGAGCGTACGGGCCGTAGCGTTCCACGCGCGGCTAAAAGAACCAATAGACCACCACAAATAGGGCTGAGGTTGCGGGGCAAGCGCAATGAGGCACCGCGGCCTCGGACCAGAGCAGGAGCAATTAGGCCGTGTTTTTTAGTCAGTAAGCGTCTGACGCTCTCTCTCACTTTAACCGGGACGGGAGAAGTCTTAGATGATTTTTCCCCTGACAAAAAAGGTGTAGGTAAAGGGCACCCATGACTAACCACAGAATGTATAAAGATTTAATACCTACAATTTTGGCCAAGTTCGACAAAGTAGTCAACATCAAAGCTAATTGAATCAAGAAGATACAAAATTTATAAGTAATTTTTATTTAATAAATGCTTATTCCCTCATTATCGAATTATTTTTTTAAGACACCACTGAGACTCAAGATTTAAACACTGTTTTCATAACATAAGTGTAAAGTCTATCGCGGGATAAGAGTCAGTGATCATACATTCCGTACGTAAAAGAGGGCCTTTTTCAGTGGCAGCCCCACTTACAGACTAGTAATGATTCTTTCATCAAAAACAGGTAGTTACTGTAGTCGCTTCACCCACATCTTCTTTATCTCCGGTGTAGTACTCCGCCACATATTCTAGGTACATTCAACAATGAATACTTACATTAACATGTCATCGACAGACTCATTACAGAAGCACCCATTTATCTATAAATAAAACGTGTATAGTTTGGCTTCCATGATTCAAAACAACCCACGTAGAAAATGAAATCAAAAATTAATTTCCTTTGTGTCCTCTCGTCCTACACAAGTTGCGACCTACAGAGGAATCTGAAAATATTTTACACATATAGAAATATAAAAAATATTTGGATGATTCAAATGAACCAATCTGGCCTCAGGGCCTCTCATATGTACCTATATATTTATTATTTTTCTGTTGCATTCTTCGTCGTCGACGCTCTGATTATCCTTAACCCAGTTGAATGTGACATCAAGCAAAACAACAAGTATTTTATAATTTCTGTGTGAAATCCGTGGGGTTCGGGAATGACGCGAAAATTGCAATGACAGTGATCCAAAAATAACGTCGACAGCGTCGCGCCTCTGCGAGCGCGCTCTCTTCAGTCGAGGACCAACCGTCGCGAGTTACAGTCGAACGATCATAAATCAGCAGCCATGGTGTACGAGAGTGACTTCTATACGACCCGCCGCCCTTACAGGCCCAGCAGCTACAGCACCGTGTCGGTGAGTGCCACCGCCCTTCTAACACCTTCTACTGAGCGTGCCTCGCACCTCGCTCCACTCTCTCCCGGGAGCCGGACGCCCCTCGCACCAGCTCAACCTTCGCTATTCGAGTCCCTCAACAAATGGCTCTAGACGCCACTCCTGCCTCATTGATGTACATAGTGTTCGTGTTCAGTGAGTGCAAGTCACAATGATAATAACGTGATACCGTGATCTCTCGGGTTTCTCGTTGTCTTCCCAAGTGTTAACTTGTTCCCGTTTTGGTTTTAGTTCGCTTGTAAACATCATTGCTAATGATAAGCTAGATCGACGTCGCCGAGTCTATTTCTACGGACTTAGGTTTTGATAGAAATTGATCGTGGTAGCGTTCCGCAAATGGGTCATTTCGAAACGAGAATCTGAGTCGGAAAGCGGAGCTACCGGGCGCGCCAAATATAGCCGCGGCTGGAGTCGCGCTCGCCCGACTAACGGCGACTTCTCCGCTTGCAGCGGCAGCCGCTCGGCGACTGGGAGAAGGTGCCGTTCGTGCCGCGGCCGAGTCTCGTGCCTGATCCAGTCACGGCGTTCGGCCGGCGATCGCGTCCCGGCGAGCGCCACTCCGTGCTAGAGCCAGTGACTCGGCAGAACATCGCGCCCAAGCCGGAGTCAAAGCTGAGACCGCTCGCGCCCTACGTGTCGCCGCGCGACCAGACTCGAGCGCGTGTGCTGGCGGCCGTGGGTCACCGCGAGCGTTGCCTGGAGGCTGAACCGCTGGGCACGCCGCGCGACCACATGGACGTCCTTCTGGCCCAGTCTCACGGCCGGCCGGAGCGTGCAGCGCACCGCCATGTCTTTTACAGCAACTACGCGTCGTATTGACGGGCGTAGTGTCTTTGTCGTGTGTCGCTTTCGCTATAGTAAGCTAGTCGGTCGGGTCGGTGCGAGGGTGGGCGGCGAGGTGTGATCGGCGGTGGCTATAGGGCGGGGTTGTTGCAGACGCCGCGTCACTACGTGGTGGTGGACCGCGACCCGGTGCTGCCGCGCCGCGCCGAGGAGCAGTACTCGTACTCGTACCAGAGCACGAGCGAGCGCTCGACCGGCAGCGGCCTGCCGCAGCGCAGCTCGTACAGCAACACGGTGGAGCGGCGCACGGGCAGCGGGCCCGGCGGCTACTCGTACAGCAGCGAGCGCACCAGCAACCTGGGCGGCCCCGGCGGCTACTCGTACTCGTCCACGACGAGCGGCCGCCTGCCCTACGGCACCACCTACCGCCACTACTCGTACCGCGTGTAGCGCCCCGGCTCCCGCCCCGGCCCACCTCGATATCCCTCGCTCCCTAACTCCCTGACACCCAGCTTCCCCAACATGTAACTACCTAATCAGTATTCGCTGTAACGTAATGTGATCACTCTACTTTATTTGTTCACAAGTGGAAGTTGATCGTACTAGAGCTTTTTAAATGTAATTATAAATTATTTATTTAAAATGTGATTTAGACGACTGAATTTTTAATAAAGCTTGCGTTTTCTAATATGTTTCTATTTTCTTTGTGTCGTGTTCACACAACAACCTACGTAACTGGTCGATGATGAGCTCGATCCTTGTTTACTAACAGTTTATTTCCGTTTTATCCATTCTATGTTGGTTTGTTCTATATTTTTCCTATTAATTTTATTTCAAATTATTTAACAGTTTTTGTTTACCTAGGGAATGTAAGCTGTCGAGCTAAAATCAGATATTACACTAGCGTCTAATCAAAATAAACAAAGTATGAAAATAGCCAGAGTTAGTTGTTACATACGCAGAATCTTGAACATGACATCATAGCATCTGTCTGCGTCCAAAAACAACACATTTTTCTCAAACAACAAACTGGTAATTTGAGAACACAATATAAAAGAGCATATAAACTAAAACAAACTTAGTTAAAACATATCGTAAACAAGGATAAGTGGCATAACCTATTCTGAATACAAGGGTATCATATTTATTGAATGTTTTATGAACCTATAATTTACTATTAACTATCCAAAACATAATAGGTATCCTCATATAAATTTTACCACACAATTCTAAAATTCAGGAAAGATGACATTAAAAGAATTCATTACGGACCAACTAGAAATTAATTATTTATCTCACTGAAACTGTTAGTTCTACGAAAATTCATATACCTATAAGAATAAGTTTAACTGGTGAATATTTCCTAACAGCCGTTGACGTCAGTATACTACCTGTCGTCCTACCTACCCTACTATCACGAACCGTACGTAACGTACATACCCAAGCTTTCACAGGTAAGTCCGAGATATACCTCTGTAGATAGTGCACTGTAAGTAGCTCATCATTGGCTGCCGGGTATACGCCGCTATCCATGTACAACGCCAGCACATCAAGCTACTCTAAACTGTCCTTTTTTAATATATTATCAACATCATTGCAAAATGCTAAGGTTAAAAATACATTAAAAAAGAGAGTATCTGAAACACGTCTTACGCACTGACTTCAGCACAGCTAAGTAAGTAACATTGCTTCTAGCACACATAAAGATGTTTTCTAAAGTATTTAGATATTGCACTCATTCCAAGTTCAAGTAAAAATAGCACATAACTCATAATGTACGCCAATTGATGTAAATATTTGATTTCCATATTTATCTTTACTTGTAGGTATATTGTATATAGCAATATATTTTTGGAGAGAGCCGTGTTATTTATATATTCACTTTCAAGAGAACTTGTTGTTATAACTTTAAACCAAACCTAAAAGTATCAATATACACATAGGAATCACACACCATAAGGGGCCAAGAATGTTACCTTGCGTAACTCCCAAGTTGATAGTGTAGTCTGCAAGTGCGTTTTTATATTTTAATATCAGATATTACCCAAGTAGCATTCGGGGTTCTATATAAGATGTCTAGTCGTTCACATGTACTCTAGAAGCTGTGTATGTCAGCTGTATATGAGCTGTATAGCTTGCTATAATGCTTTTATTGAACCAGTTTGGGCACAAATTAGCCTTAAGTTCACTATGGCTGTACATTAGAAGTATAATAGCATTATAATAGCAGTTTAAGTAGTAACATCGGACTTAAGGCTGACTTACGGCACTATATGGAACGCAGTGTGAACCATACAACGTCCATGAGTGTAATAAAGAGTAATAAGTGACTAAATACACAGCCTTCACAGTTAAAATCGGACAAAAGTACTCCAGTAAGCTACCTTAAATTCACTTGTGTCCTAAATTATTTCCACAATATATTAGTTTGACAATTGTACGGAGTGCACGGATTCGGGGCAAACTAACTCCGGCGGATTATTATTATAATATAACACGCGGTCAAAGTACCTGTTTTATATACTATATCATGTTAATGCCATGGGAATGCAACTTTATCGTGAAATGTATACATATTGACAACTAAAATTTTCACGCGCCTCTGTAAAAACGCTTTATTCATTTTGAAATATTTAAAACTAGCTGAGAGGAAATTTTTCATTTTCAGTTTTTGATATTTTATTGGCATTATAATTATACTAGGGTAATTAATTTTAACATGCAACCAAAACTCATTCGCTCTATCTGCGTATTTTGTGATAAATCTGCATTAATCTTGTAGATTTATTTGGTAAATATGTTAGGTTACGTAGAACAAAATGGTGGAAATGAAATACGGCTATGTGAACTATTAAAACTCCTATTTAATGCGGTGAGCGTATATTAGGTTCACATGTGTTCTGTTAGAATGCTGTTATCTATATGAAGTCCCACATTTGTACTACTACAGCGCCAATGTCAATTAATTTATTCTAATGTGAACTTATATACAGCTTTAAGATGTAGTTCAGGACAATTGTGTATCTTTAATTCTTTCTTCAAATACTAAAATTTTAGAGATCCGCAATAAAAAATATTAATGTCCGTTAAATGCCCAGTTACATAGTCAAGTATGAATACCTAAAGTACAAATTTTAACAACCTCCAATAAAAAAGGCCGAATCCTGGGACTTTCAAAAATGTTACCTAATATAGGCCAAAATTCATTTGTGGAACTTTTAAAAATAGGCAAACCATCCACATTTGTGTTAATTGAAATCATATCTGGAATATCCATCCAATTTAGCAAAATGCTCTTCAAGGTTTTGCTATCCCATTGTGCCAGTATTGACCTCCTCCTACATTTTTTAAAATGACATTAACGGGAGTGCATAATAATGTTCTAGCATCAGACGGTAGTGTTCCTGGTTTAAATTCGTTTATTATATCTGACAATTTATTCAAATCAGAATGAGGAATATGATTTTCAATAGCCCATGTTCTTATTTTTTTGCGAAAGGTTAAATAATTATCCAAATCAAAATTGTATTCACTATCACTAGAACTGCAATCACTATACTCTGATATCTGTATATTTTGAAGGGAACTTTTAGGTTCAGGCATAATATTTTCTTCTGCATCATATACGGAACCACCAACAACGGTTGAAGCCGCACTTGTTGAAGCCTTATCGACGGGCTCGATCGAACCGACTGTTTATTTTTAAATATTCTTTTGCAATTTTTCTTCTTATACCACCGGTTCTCGCTCTTATTTTCCAAGATTTTTTATACATTTTCACAAATTTTATTGCATGTGACGTCAAAACATACTTTGCAATGGCGCTTGGGAAAAAGTGTAATAGAATATCACATTCACATTCATGTTCAGCTTACAGCAAATAAGAGTAGTACTTGTGGACAAATAAACTGCTATTGATGTTAATGGACAACACATATAGTCCTTCTAACAGCCTATAGTCCACATGTGAATCGTTTAAATACTTCTGTACAGATAGTAAAAAAAGGTTATTTTAAGTATCACAAACAAGTCCTAATGCAGCTACTGGCTGTATAACAGTCTAAAACAAGTAAACATAACAGCCTTTGGCTTTATAAATGACCACAAGTGTTCTATTAAAATGCTAGCTCTATAACATCGAACAAGTAGGCCGTTAAACAGCGGTTACCATATCTCTACCCTCCTATAATGCTCTTAGTCAGAAAGCTGACTAAAGGATAGTTGTTAGAGTGTTATAACACCCATAATCGTATAAAAGTATTACTCTACACTGCTATAAGTCCCTTAGACAGGTATAGGTGTAATTAATTGCAATAATGCAGCTAATACATCACGAGTGAACTGTAGTAATGCTTTAAGTTCACATTGGAACTAAATGTGTACTCTTAAATGGAACAAAATGCTACTTGGGTAGGTACCTATTCTAGGGAATAAAATTTCTTACACTTACCAGTGTAAGAAATTTTTGTAAAATAGTCTCAAAATACTATAATTTGCAATAGATTTTTGCAAATGCCTAAGAATAATCACAAAGACATAACTTGTATTGAAAATAAATCTTATTTTCATTACAAGTTATGTATTTGTCAATCAAATTATTGTACTGTAACATGAGAAGATTTTTATTTAATTAATTAACAAACGCCATAAAAACTAAGACTAAACCGACAGAAATGAATGAACTAAAACGTTCACTATCAATCAAATTCTGTTTTTGTTCACCTCGACCTAATAACGTAGTGATCAACACATCATAAAATTAAATGCTCTAGCATTGTTTATTTCCAAGCATTTCGTGCCAGGGAAACAAGATGAAGGGCTACTTCTAAATAAAAAGTAAGGTGTCTTACGAAATATACCTACTTAAAATTCTTTTCAGAATACTAAAAAGAGGTTAAGGGTATCAATGTGAGGAGACTCTAGTGTAGATGAGTGATAAAATTAAAATCAATGAAAAACAAATAGCGTTTTTATAACAAAAGCAATTAGGTAACATCTGTTTCTATAGTTTATTACATAGTTAAATCTCCCAACATACATATTTTATCAACGAAATAACGCAGAATAAGTACGCAGTACTTCAAACGATTATCTTAACTCATAAACCGACTGACAATAGAACAGCGAAAAACTAAGAAATCTTTTTCGCAGAAACTTACAGATGACACACCGACAGTAGGAATACTGCCAACAAAAATATCGTAAAAAGAGATTTTAACAAAGTGACATGTTTAAATCTATACTAGTCACATTCCAAGACAAAATTCATAAATGGTTATAGCCGTTTTGGCAGTCAGTGACATTACTCAGACCTATTCCAAAAGAGCTTGATTCAAACTTCGAAAAAAGCCAATATTATGTTGATTCAGACATTTTAATTTCTATCGTTAGTCTAGCAAATAAGATACACGAAACAAACCCCATAATTCACATTATTATTGAGGTAGATGATAGTTCCATATATCTATATTCTCAAGTCTCAAGTGCACGGTTTTGGCTGCTCACGTAGGATCAAGGAACTTTATTGTTGGCCTTGGATTATTTATGGCACGATTTCGAGTTATAAAAATTAATATACTTTACTTAGGTTTCTTCTGGAGGTCTAATATCGGATTTTGGGGCGGCCATGTCCCTTAAAATACAGTCACGTGTAGGCACAAACTTTTCTCCGAATAAATTGTTAAAACCAACGCATGTTTTCACAGTTGTTTGGTTAATTATTGTCGAGGTGTTTCGTGTAGGTAGACTGCCAAGAGTCGAATAAATATTTTAGGAATCCAACATAACGCTGATTTGAGACCTAGCGTCATTACAATAAAATAAAATTTCCTCTATTTCAACAATTTAAAGAACAAACACCTGTTGGTTTCTAAAAATACAACACAAATTGGAATTTACATTTCGACATTGTTTATTTTTGACGTTGGTAAAGTTTCTTTGGCATTTTGATCATAACGATCATTGTTCATTTAAACTTAGATCTAAAAATCGGTAGCTAATTGAATAATGTATCTACATTTGTAAGTCTGTTAATACGTGACTACTTATAAAATATTCCTGCACATTCATAATATTAATACCAAGACCTAATAATTGGGTGGGTGATTCAGTGAACGTTGTCAGAGCCAAATAACAATGGCGTCACAACTATTATGATAAAATGCAGTAGGTACTACATAACTACATAATGTTTCTAATTCGTGTTACATCCAGATACGATACCTATCAAAAATTTGTGGCACATAGTGAATTAAGTTCGTTGAGGAAGTTCTTTTGAATTGTAGAATATTTAAGAGCAACTTTTATCAAAAACGCTAGGAGTAATCCCAGCTACTTCGACTTGCCGGCTACCAGGCAATCATATTACAGGAGCACGTTCGAACTCCTTCCAAATCTTTAAAATAATTTATTGTATTGCCTCGTTGCCTTTACTCTTTACACAATACGATAAACTTTACAGCGTTACAGCATAACGCGCAACACACGTTCGTGGCAAACTGCCAATATAAAACTTAGTGTAATCAAAAGGGGAGCTAAAAACATTCCTAGTCGTAATAAAATATATGAATGTTCGCAAACAATTATACAAGGTTGGTAGTTATCCGTGACTTCTACAAAATAAACGAAGTTTTTTTGTTTTTCGATGGGTTGTCTAGTGGCTTTTTACCTATTAAGTACCATAAATAAGATAGGTACAGTTGTTCTTTAAGTGTAGCTACAAAATATGGATAGGCAATACAGAGTACCTGGTTCTTATTTTAATGCGACCTAGCTAGATCTATTTTTCATCCTCGAAACCCTTTAGGTAGGTACCTTACCTAACCGGTGCAGTGGCTGCCGTGCAACGTGTCGCGGATTCGATTCCCGCACGGAACAACTCTTTGTGTGATCCACAATTGTTGTTCCGGGTCTGAGTAACTTGACACAGGAGAAAAAAAATGTGGGGCGACGTTTTTTTTATTAAGTACAAAATTTCATCGCAAGTCTTGGAACCGATTCCGAGATCCTGTCAATATCTACTTAATATTTTTTGAAACAGCACTATTGGAGATGTGTTAGGAACAATTAGGCTGTCACTTTTATAAGGATTACATGTTTGAAGACTGGAGTAAACAGATCTACGGTAAAATGATGTAAAAATTTAAAATGTCTAAACAAACTGTATTGATTAGGTCGAACACAACACAATTAATTTGGAAATTGGGAAAAGCTTAAAATTTGCTCATTGTATAAAAAGTCTATAGAAAAATTATTTTATTCTTGAATTTCCAAAAGAACAAAAAGAAAAGATGACTTCACATCATACATTAGGTATAGTGATTGTCATCACCGTCGGAAAGGCACAAACAGACATAAGCAATTGGAAATGACTAGGAAAAAAATAACAGAAGAAAACTTCAAAGGCTTATCAACATAGTAATATTTATTCAGCGCGCTGCCCTTCCAATACAAACAATTGATATTTACGACACATCAATTACCAGAAAACCTTGAAAAATATATAGTTTATAATATGTTTACCCGAAATTGGCCGGATGTATCACTCTTTAGACAAAGTGTGAAAACAAAAGCTGGAGTCGGGTCAAGAGTAACATTTTTGGCAACTGAACACGAGCCAAGAATACCGTTAACGCCCATGTTATTACGAGAAACCCAAAGAATATTCTAGACTTCAAAATTGCCAGCTATCGTCACCCTTAATATGGTGAAATAGCCCAAACTACGGAATACATTATTTAAAGATCTCATGATTAGCAAAGATGAATATTGTAATCTGATACTGACTGACTGTCTGACTTCCATGACTGACGTCTTCCTGTTGATTGAAACTTGGCAATCAAACAACTCAGAACAGCAGGCAAAGAAAGAGTTTCTACCAACACAAATTACTTTAGGTTCTTAAAAAAAGAGTAGGTATACGAAGTACATACATTAGATAAAAAAAGTGTTAAAATATATTTTTCTGTTTGCTCCAATGTTGGGAGCAAGGTTATGAACTTCTAATAGGAAAGATCATGTTTCTATCATATAAATAGCTGGTAGAAAAAGTCGCTATGGTAATAAAAGTTGCAATCAGTCTCGCCATCTCCACTGCGGCGTGTGCGCAGCGAAATAATCTAATTTTACAACACTCGCCGATGATTCACACCGCCATTGAGACGAACAGTAAGGTCCGCTACCAAAATAACCCTATGATTTGGCGTATTATAAACAAACACTACAAATCTGAGTAGAAATCCATAGTTTTACGTGGAAATACCATGTCAGGGAAATGCGTCAATGTTGCAATTTTGCGAACTGCACTCATACATTTGCACCCACATTTATAACGTTTAACGGGCAAAGTTTCGATAAACAGAGTATTATTAGAAGTTATTTACGTTGTGGGATTTTTTGCATGTTTTATCCACCCAAAATTATGTGCATGCGTCCAGAATCTTTTAAAATACAACATCATGATGTTATTACAATTCATGAGATGCTTTTTATGAATACGAGGTGAAATAACTGCATACCACAGAATGTGGAAAGCATTTGGTCAATTAATACAATGAATATTGTGCATGATATAATATCTAGTCAGTTTTTTATTGAGCTCACGATTGCGTAGTATTTATCGACATTCTATCAGCTTTCGTGTAGCTGTAAATCATCAGAGTAAGCAAATGGACTGCCCAATTCCGAGAATGTTGTTCTCAAATATAAAAGGTACCTAATTTCGTTGTCCAAAATTACTATAACTTTTGGCACAGCATACCAAACTGGTGTTTTCCCCAAGTTTATGAAAACGTGGCCGTATAAACAGACCATATGCTCGCTCATAAATACAGAATTCATTGCTGTAGCTGATTTATCATGAAGTATTGTTTGGGACGTGGAATGACCTACTTGGCTATTACAACGATTGCAGGCTGAGCTGATATACAGGCCGACTCCTCGCACTGTCACTCGACTCGTCACTTACCCGGAGGCACCCCACCATGTAGTGCGTGTACGCGTGCGTCCTTCAGTCGTCCTGCGTGAACTGGACCGCATCGCGTACCGCCGTCGCCCCGAATTATCTATCTCAGCTGTCGACGACTTCTTCCGATCTGAATCCACCAAGGTACCACTAAAGTTTTGTTTTAAAATCAGTATTTCATAAACGTCTAACTTTCTTTACTGAAGAATTAAGAAAATCATGCTAATTTTAGGTCCGAAATGCACTGAATCAGTAAGATTAAAATATTATGATGTTGTTTTCAGGCATTCGAAGATGAGACCAGCCGCATTCGTGCAGACACTGCTGCACTTCTTACCCGTGCACGTTCTGTTGTGCCCCGCGCTAAGACCGTAGCTCCCCTCGACACGATTTACTCGTGAGTTCAAAATCAAATCATTTATTTCAATTACGCCATTAAAGACCCCTGAACATCAGACAAAAGAATGGAAGACATTATAAAACCGAGATGATGTGGCAAAGACAAAATAACCTTACAGGAACCAGTTCTACTGATTCAATGTAAGTCTGAAATAATATTATTCGACATCCTTGGATTCAAGAACATCCAGCAAACCTTGCGCGTACCCCAAGCAGCTTCAAGGCTAGGTCAAGTTTTTCTGAGCTTGATTTACCGGTACTAAAATAGTCCGCCCATTGATGCATCTATCAAAAGACCGCCCTGGCAGTGACATTGACGACACAAGTCGGTACCTGTCGCATGTCATTTGGCAATCATGTACTCGTATACACGATGCAATCATGAAAAATCTGTCTGGCTGCCAAAATCCCATGAACTTCAGAGGATAGCAAACAAAAAAAACATGACCTTCACCAGGAAGGATGTCCGAACCGTGGGTGTAGATTTCATTGCCTATTTCTTGCGTCAACGCATGTTTTGCCCGTGACGTATGTAGCCATCGTGTACCCACTGCCGTTTTATTTATAACTCGGTTAAATGTCAGCGTTTGTTGTTTTGTGTCTACTAATAAAACAGCTAACGATTTATTTTCATTTAGATCTTGGCGTGTTTATCGTTACGCGAAAAGTTTATAACATCCGTTATTAACTGCGGTAATTTATCATAATATGAATTCGTCAACAGATATTCGTACGGGGAGCCGATCCCGTATCGTTTCAGCAATGAGGCCTACCTCGCTAAGCTCGTGGTCCCCCTGCGCAGCGTGGCTGACCACATCCGCAACATGTCCTACTACAGCGAACCCGCCAAGAAATTCACCGGTGAGAACAGTAACAGACTCCAACATGGCACAGTGTTCAACACACGACCTTTTCCAACTAAAATAATTAAAAGACCAATCTCTATTTGTTTTAAATTGTGTCGTCCGTTATCCTACAGTTTGATTACCGACTAACAGTTAAGTTCCAGTGTGTCCCTGTGGTAACCGTGAGGTGTTCTCGCCAGGACGCGGTCACCTCGCATGCGTGCACTACACCGGTAACAAGGCCTTCTCCAACCGTAGGCCACTCTACAAGGAGCTTAGCATCAGGGACGACGTGAACCTCCTTTCTTTCTATGCAAAGAACAGACTCGCGGCTGCCGGTTTGGCCGTCGAGAATGCCACAGGTACCTCGCCACCGTCGCAACGCTAGCGCTCGCTTAAATCCCTCGCTTAATTCTTTAAAATGAGTCTTTAAACCGGTCTAAAAGTGAAAAGCTATGCCTTGGGAGGCTCGGGGCACTAAACGATTATTAAAACGAGGAATAAAGTCCGTGTCTAACCCTGCGTGTCTCTTGCAGCGGGCGGCGCGCCGGAACAGCCGACGGCGGCGCAGTGCGCGTAGCTCCCTGCGGCGCGGCGCGGGCGCTGGGGCTGCGCTGTCTCGTGCAGCAGCCCCACGCTCGCGCCGCGTTCGCCCTTCGCGCTCTCTGATCTCGGTATAACACGCTAGAACTAACCAAGATCATCTATTTTTTTATTTCATATATTTACAGATTACCTACATATTTTTGTTACTGATGTTTACAAATTTTGACGAACGATTTGGTTTATTTGCTAGTCATCGTTGTGATAGCGCGGTGTTGTGCGCCGAAATTTTGTCGGTGACCGAGATGTCTCGTTTTCACTTAACTCGACTGATTTTACTTAACAATAAAGAATTTTTACTGAAAATTTAGTTGTTTTAATCATGTGCATGTTCATTGTTCCTTATGTCACGCTTGAATCCAAGCTTAAGTAACGCTAAGCTTTCTGACTAAACGTTTTTTAACTATTCGTCTAACACGGTAATAAATATAGTAAAATATTAAATAATGATATCCCCATAAGATATACAATTAAAGTTAAACACACGTACATTTACACATTACATACCTTCTGGACCATCATTTTCTCATGGGAATTATGCTGAATTTCATAAAGTTTGAGATCAAAATGGGTTCAACGTAATTTTACTTTACACTGGACAACTGCACTATCATTCGCATTACAGCATGAAGCAGCGCTGAAACAGAATACGATGTCATAGCGACTACCATGCCATACAGGGTTTGTCATTGGGCTTGGTGCTGGGGTCTAACAGCTTCGATTAGACAGCATCATGATCATGAGCGTTCTACTGCGTCGCTTACTGTTCGTCACCGTACTTGTAACAGTCCATTGACAGTCATCATCATGCTGTGGAATGATTAGCAGTTGTCTCTCTGAGTGCTAATTATTTCACCAAACGCCGTTGCTTTACGGGATATGTGTAACATTGGCCTCGGTGCAGTCAAGCTGCTCCCGTGGAGGCCGAGCCGCAAGTTCCAGGTCCCACAAATGATGGAGGATCCGGCCCTAGAACTGAAGGCAGCTAAGGCCGAACGTGAGGCCCGTTTCCGTGCGTCTACTGTTGAGCCTGTCATGACGCCAGCTACTGACTTAGCAGAAATAAAGAGGAAGAGGCAAGAGGAAGCTCGGGCTGCCGAAGAAAAGTATGTTATTTTGCCTGTCACAAATGTTTACAAAATCGATGAGTAATAGTTTTATTACAAATGATCCATTTATGCTACAGGGCATTAAAGGAAGAAGCTAAACGTGAAGCGGAACGTAAAGCTCAAGTATGTATAACTTACTAAATCACCCAATATGGATAAAAATTCTAGTACGAGTAATTTCTTTAAAATATAATAATCACATTTTTCAGGCTGAACGAGAAGCAGCAGAGAAAAAGAAGGCAGAAGAAGAAGCCCGCAAGGCGGAAGAAGCTAAACGCAAGGCTGAGGAAGAAGCTAGGCAAGCCGAGGAGGAAGCCCGTAAAGCTGAAGAGGCCCGTCTGGCTGAGGAGGCTCGCCTAGCTGAAGAAGCTCGTTTAGCTGAAGAAGCCAAGCTTGCCGAAGAAGCCCGTAAGGCAGAAGAAGCAAGATTAGCCGAAGAAGCGAAGAAGGCAGAAGAAGCCCGCCTTGCAGAAGAAGCACGTCTGGCTGAAGAAGCGAGACTCGCAGAGGAAGCTCGCCTGGCTGAGGAAGCGAGGCTAGCTGAAGAGGCCAGGCTCGAAGAGGAGAGACAGGCGGAACAGAGGAGACAAGAAGAGCTCGCTAGGTTAGAAGAGTTGGAAAAACAGGCACAGGAAGAACGTGAGGCCGAACTTGCACGACAGGTACATTTATTACGCTTTTTATTTTTCATCAAAGGTTAAACTTAATTTAAGTTTCTTAAAAAAAAAAAATCTAACATCAATCATGTCAATGCAGGCAGCTGAATTAGCCGAGATTGCGAGACAAGAGTCTGAACTTGCGGCCGCCCGCCTGGAGGAGCTCTCACAGAGTGGTTCTGCTGCTGATGTTCCTGAGGCTGATGCCAGGTGAGGATTACAAAAGCAAAATTATTCCTATTAACTTGAATAGGAACTAAATGTTTGGTCCATGACTGGAACGCCATACATAGGAAAGGTTTATTGTCGATAAATATTTTGACAGCAAATCTCTTCCTGCAGATATTGCCAAAGACACTTCACGTCATTGCACAACAACTCATAGCCTCTTGTTTGTCTTAACAGGGACATTAGACTTCGTCCTAACAAAAACTTTTTATTAATTTCCGTGAAATTGAAACGAGAATGAAAGGCATTTTTAACATTTTTCAGTGAACCCGCTGCAGATGAACCAGAACCTATTGTAGAAGAGCCCGAATCTCCTGAAATCATCCCTGAAACGCCCGCCGAACCTGAAGCCGAGCAAGCCGGAGACGTCAGCGAGGATGAGAAAGCGGAACCTGACCTAACCGATGAAGAGTAAACCACAATAGAAGCTAAAGAAATATTTTTATAGTTAAGAATTTTCTGTTATATCTGTATTGTAACGCTAAGCATGATTCATGTGCATTTTGTTATAGATTAGACATGAATCATGTGCTAGCTCAAAGGTGGTTAAGTTCTCCAACTCCTTTCTTCTGCGTAATAAAATTACGCAACAATGAAAGTCATCCTTCCTTCTGTATATGTATGTTTAGGAAATCAACCACCGTTAACCAATGTGAATTTTTTTAAACTAAAACTTAAATGTTACTAGTCTAAGTGTTTTAATAATGTTATATTTTGTTAAATTTTAACAATAAAAGACATATTGAAATGGTTGTTTTCGATAGTCCTGAGCATTATTATTTCTAAGCAGCTATTGGAGCCTGTATCAGAATTCTATGTTGCCCAGAGACAATTTGAAGTCGCATAGAACTCGATTGAATCGATGTAATACGATGCCGGTACGTGGACACTTACAGTGCAACTGATCCACCAATTTAAAATCACGCTTGGAGTCTCTCTGAAGGATCTTATTCGAAACGAGGTGATCCGACAGAGAACTAACAGACAGAGAACGAGGTGATCCAACAGAAGTGGCAGTGAGCAAGTCACATTTGTCATACTACCATTGGATTAGATGTTTTTTAGAGTGGAGACCACGTCTAGACAAATTGGTGTAGGGCGCCCTCCAGGTTGGGTCAAATCGAGCTTAGAAGCGTGCAATTGGGGAGGAGTATATTTATAGATCCAGTAGTGGACGAAATCTGGCTGATGATGATGATGAGAACTAGATTTTTGTCACACACACACACACACACACACACACTTTACAAAAGGGTGGCAGGGCTGGTCATACATATGCCACGGGCCGCCAACCAAGAGAACCCTGGGGCGCCGACCCAAGAGTCCCGGGCCAAGAGGCCAGTAGCTCAAAAAATAACCTTTATTTTACATTGTAGGTACCTAAGTATTTTAATTTATTTGAAAAGTATGTTTAAAAGTATGTTCGTCATCAGCCTTATAATGTTCCCACTGTTGGGACACAGCCTCCTCTCTAGGAGAGGGCTTGGGCCATAATCCACCACGCGGGCCCAGTGCGGTTTGGTGGATGTCACATGTCTTCGAATTTTTGGTTCTAAGACATGCCGGTTTCCTCACGATGTTTTCCTTCACCGTTTTGAGAGCAGTGGTGATGAAATAAATTACACAAAGGTTGGGTTCAAACCCGCGACTTACAACTCGTAAGTCACGGTCGTTACCACTCGGCCACCACTGCTCCAGCTCCAAAAGTATGTTACCTAAACAAAAAGGTGATGATTCGTTTCAAAACGACAATATTGATTTCTACATTATAGTTGTTGCAGTATGTTGGCAGCACGGGTGAGCAATGACGATCGGGGAATTCCAACTTAAAAATTCTCCACGAAAAAGCTAGTGAATAGAGGATGAATGCAAAAAGTATATTAACACTACATCCTGATGAACGCATTGAAGTATTCTGTTCTAAGGATGAATGTGAAGTCTTTAACCACTAGTCTGCCGTTATATGAGACACAATAGAAAACACATTGTGTCTCGCGTATATCTGCACTCCGGCATACCACGGGTTAATAGACATTGGGCTAGCATGACGACATATGATCCTACATATCATATGTCGCCTCTCGCCTAAGAGAGGAGGCTCACAGCCATAAGTGGAACATAATACAACATGTAATTGAGTACCTATACTATAAATCACGAAAATTATTAAAATTTCCTAAGTAGAATGTGACAATTATTAATGATAGGGCCCCATCATAATAAAATGCGACAGTCCCCAAATAATAGGGGTTAAATGAAGAGAAGAACTTACTGCAAAACATTGATGAGGTGCAGCAGTCTACAGTTTTCATTAGCAAGATGTTCACTAACAATAACAAACAGAGACAGGTATGGTTCAGTGCTGAGACAATGGGTCAACTACATGTCTGTCAGCACAAAAACAATAGAACACTGTGTCTCCCACAAATGTATATTCTAGGTTGAGTAACATGTTAGTTGTGGTATTCGAAAATTGTACAAAACCAATACTTATATCAAAAATTAAAGAAAATTTTGCAATATTAGAATACTAACATGGTCAAGCTAGCTAAAACTACTATTTCTACATTCAATCTATGGAACCTAGGGTCTACATACAGAAAAATAAATAAATACACAGATAACTAAATTAAAATAGAAAATATGTATTTACACAACTTATTTCATACTTATAATCTATAAACATTTTCATAACATTATCTTTCAAGTGGATTGGAATATCAGAGATAGTTTCATCGAAATCTGATAGTCTTGCTCCAAATTTACCAACAAATCGGAGGGTGGAATGAGGTAATATTGTGATTGTTTTAACATTATACTGGGGCCAACAAACCTTTTAAAGTCAATTATTAACGGGTACTGTCCCTACTAGTAAAATCCTCTTGATAGATACATATTATAACATAAATAGCAATATTTAAATCTTAACTGTCGAAGAGAATGTTATAAGTCCATTTTCACAATTTCTTCAGCTGTTTTAGCTACCTCTTCTTTTGTAACTGGTTTCTCTAACTTCTTTGTAGGCGCCTTTACCGATTGCTTTGGTTCAGACAACTTTGGCTTTTTGCTAATTTCGACGAATTCTTTGTCAATGTCTTGTACTTTCTGTTTGATCTGAAATAAAAATGATGTTAAAAATCAATTTGATATTCTATGTTCACTCTACCCTTGTTGTGTAAGTTCGTTAAAAACATAATATTGAATTCGGAAAAATATTAAAGAGGTAGGTATCTACAATATAGTGCGACACACAACAACATAACGACAACACAAACGTAAACAAGTTCAATTTCAAAGGCTATTCCTTATTTTTCGGTTAAATACTTAAGAGCAATGATGTCTAGAATTTTACTTATAAAGTTATAAGTATAAAAACTGAAAACTATTGTTTATAACAGTTGAGTACAAACTAATTATTAAAGGTAACCTTACATTCTTTAAGCCTAAGTTGACTGCCTTAGCTTTGGTTTTCTTCAAACTCTTAGCACCAGCAACTTTAAACACATTGCCCTTTGGTCCCTTTTTATTGTTTTTACCCATCTTTATTCAGCAAAACGTTATTTTGATGAAAATAAATAAACACACACGTGCGTTCACGATGTAATTGACAAATGACAAATATTTGACATTATGACAATGAAACATTTGAAACTGACAGAGGATTTGACGTTCTAACCAGAAGGGTTAATTTTTTTCCGGAATTTAAAGTTCTTTTTTGAAGTCGGTTAATATAATTAAATGTACTACATGTAAGAGCATCTCATAACTCTTCAATTTCAACTGATTTAAGCAAACAAAATAATTGAGTTTTGTGCAATTGAATCCAACCATAAGTCCATGAATGTTTTGGCATATCTCAAAGAAATTCCGAACGAAACATTGATAAATTGAAAGCAATGAACTCTATGCGCAACACTGTGCTATTACAGTGATAAAGGGGCTCAATATTTATTTGTTTGTTAAACAAAATAAACCATATTTTAAGAATTTATATTTTGTGAAGCAGTACGTAAACGCCGTCAAAATTACTTACTACTCCAAATACAACGGGAATATTTCCGCCATGGCTAAGGTACGAATAATTTACGCTACTATATTTCTCGCATCTATTTTTTTATTTGTTGCTCTATTTGCATACTAGACAATCTTGTTGAATAAACCTGTTGTTTGTATCTGGTTTAACTTGTTGAATAGTGAGATAGCTAGTACAAATTCAAATCGGGAAGCATTTAAGTGTATGCAGTAGAAGTTATTAAACGTGATTTATTAATTTTATAATGGGCGATGTCGTGGAAAGTAAGGTACAATAATAACACATTTGAATTATTTAGTGATTAAGAAGGATAATGCACTTAGGTACTGTCCGATATTTAATAATTTCATAGCGTAATATTTTTTGTAAGTTTTTATACTTGTTTTACACATAATTAAAAGTAGGTAGTAAACTATTTATAGATATTTTAAGTGCCAACTTTTCTTAATATAATTCCCTATCATTCACTTGTTTTTATCGCTGCCTGAAAAGTGCAGGCATCAAGACAAATAGAAATCTTGGCTGGTTGTCTTAGTTCTAATTTCAAATTGTATTTTTTTTTCTTTTACAGCCAGTATTGTATTCATACTGGCGAAGCTCATGTTCTTGGCGGGTGCGTATCGCGCTCAACTTGAAAGAGATACCTTATGACATCAAGGCAGTTAGCCTCATCAAGGGTGGAGGAGAACAGCACTGCAATGAGTACCGCGAAGTCAACCCTATGGAGCAAGTCCCATCTCTTTGTATTGGTAAATATAATCATTTTTCTTAGAATTAGGTGGTTAAGAGAAGATTCGTCTGAAGTTGATTGCATGTGAATTTAATGTAAAGTCTATTGCATAAAAAAAATTAAAAGGGTAATTTGACGGAATCTGTTTTATGTTTTAATTAATATATTTATGTAATATACATTTTTTGTTTTAAACTTTTTCAGATGGGCATACACTTGTCGAATCTCTCAATATTATGCATTATCTGGAAGAGACCAGACCAAATCAGAGGCCTTTGATGCCTCAGGACTGCTTCAAACGGGCCAAAGTCCGTGAGATCTGTGAGGTAAGCAAATATTAAGTTGAGCTACTGAGCTGAGAGCTCCCTTTGTCCAAATAAAATTTACCATAGATCCTTGAACATGAAGTTTTTAAAACAAAAAGACCATGATTTTACCATTAGGATTTATTATTATAGTAGTTATAAAGAATAATAAAAATTAATATACATGAATATGTTGCTAATAATAATAATTCTATTTATGTTACAGGTAATATCCTCAGGTATTCAGCCTCTTCAGAACCTGATAGTCCTCATCTATGTAGGTGAGGAGAAGAAGAAGGAATGGGCCCAGCACTGGATTACTAGGGGATTTAGAGCTGTAGAGAAGCTGCTCTCTGCATGCGCTGGAAAGTATTGTGTAGGCGATGAGATCACACTGGCTGACTGCTGTCTTGTGCCTCAAGTTTTCAATGCTAGGAGGTAATGACAAGTTTTTATTTTATTTTATTTTTACTTTATACACAACTGCATATGGGAGGACTTAATGCAAGAAGATATTTACGCCAGTCATCCTTTTGGTAGTGCAGAGATATCAGGCAGGTAATATGCAACAATTTAGGAAGTTATGGGTAAGGGAGGTGTAAATCAATTCAAAGTTACATACATAAAGATTTTATTAGCAGTTTTATTTATGTTTTTATTTTTGAAAACTGCATGCTGCACTGCAGGCTGCAGCGAGACACGAATACGAAGCCCCTTACTGAAAGACTGTTGAAGAAACATAATTATGCAACTTCAACAATCTTTCTTCTTTGCATTTACTGGTTTGCTATAAACTCATAAATCTTTTAATTCCAGATTTCATGTGGATCTGCGTCCTTTCCCAATTATTCTCCGCATCGACCGTGAGCTGGAAAACCATCCCGCGTTCCGTGCAGCTCATCCCTCCTCACAGCCCGACTGCCCGCCAGAGGTCGCTAAATGAGCCCGAAACAGTGCCACGTCCACAAATTGGCCGCATACTTCTTCAAGTTCGCTATTACAGCGCTACGTTTGAAATTTGAATTTCGAATAACATCTTGGAAACATTGAAATTGGAATAAATGTTGCCAATATTCGGTAATCAAGGCAAAATAGAGAAAAAATATTGAGTGCCATTATAAAATTATGATATTCGAAATGTTACTAAACCGAAATGCAATATATAAAAGGGTATTTAAATTAGGAATAATATACTCACAAAAATTGTAATAATATGCGTATATAAATAACCAATTTGTGGACATGGTATGCTAATGGAAACTTGAGATTTCATTCCGTTTTTTCTAGATTTTTGCATTTTTATACAAAACTTAATATTATTTTTGTTTACCCAGGTTAGACTTAAGCTTTATTCTAATCTAGTCTTATAAATAATTTTAAGGTTTTGGGTGTTATGTGGATCAATCTGATTTATATGTATTTTATATTATAATATGAAATTATTACTTTATTTCCATTAAGTTTAATTAATAAATCGAAATTCTTAAAATTAGGTACGATAAATTAGATCAAGCTTGGGATATTATTCTAATTTTAGTAATTTACTGTTTTTATTTTGTATATTTTTAAGTAAATAAAATATTTTCTGTTCAAAGTGCTTTTCTTTAATAAATAACAATGAAATCTCCTTAAAATATTGAATTCTATTAGCATTACCTAAGTATTTATTTTAAAACAAGGAATGATAGGATAGAACCCATATTATAATTATAATATTTTTTGTGTATTCCAAGCAAGTATTCTAAATGACGAAATTTCAACTATAATAGACTTGGAAATGCAATCAGTTGAATCAGTAGTGTTTAGCAAAATTTTAATTCAGAACGCATCGGTATAGTGACATCTCTTGCCAACTTTTGACAACTCGTGGTATTGTCAGTTTTCAAAAATTACCCAGTGTTACGGAACTTTTTGGAATAATCTGATCCCATGTTAAACTGCATATTCCATACTTTTTAATTGTATTTGAAACTATCTAGGTTAAAAATACAGTCTGTAATGAATTTGGATCATCTATTCAATTGACTTTTTCGAGGAAAAGATTAAATAATAATTCGCCTTTAATTAAATTTTTCACGAAATACAAAATTTGGTGTATCAAACAAGGCAAAACGGTATAATTCTATGCGAGAATCGACACACATTTGTATTTTATTGTTGAAAGTAAAATTTTAAGTGAAGATAAAATCTGGTACATTTTACCTTATTCGAAATGGAGTTGTGGGTATCCAAAGTGCGGCAACACTGGGCAGCTGGCTGTCAAACGTATCGAACGCCTTCGGTCGGCTCGCTGCGATTCACCAGTCGACCGTGCTATAAAATTACAGAGTATTGTTGTGATTGCGTCGGCATCGGCTTCGTGTATGAACTGTGTCATAAAAATGAATACAGTGTCGTGTTTAGTGATTAAATAACAATGCCAATTGTAATGTACATTAGTGTTGTGCTGTGAAACCGTTGTTTGGTGCTGTTTAAGATGACCGAGAAAAATAAATCGGAAAAGATGACTAATGCATCCAAACCTGTTCCCATGAAACTTTTTGCAGCCTGGGAAGTGGACAGGACGCCTTCCAACTGCATTCCCAGGTAACATTGTTGTTGTAGAAGTTGAAAAAGTGTAATGTTTAAGTTAGGTTCTAAGTTTTACATCCCGTCGAATGTTAGGTATTTCATATCTCGATATTGGTTGGGGATTGTGTCGCTGGCTATGTGTCTGTAGTCTGTAGTGTTATGATGTTTATAACGATGTTTTCGTGGGGCGTCGGTCGTAATCGGCCCGCCGGCTTATCGGCGTGATGCCACATCGTATTGTTCGCCTAAAATATGAACCAGTTGCTGTACTAATAACTCCATACTTTTACACTGTCTATTACAGTTCCAACTGATATAAACTTAAATTTAAGCAATGAATTAATACACTTTATATGGTCTTCTTGTTCAAGTAATGCTAATTAGAATCACCATAGCCTATCTGAATTCTAACTAAGCAAGTAGGTACTAGTTGTCAAAGGTTCAAAACTTTTGAAAACCTCTTTGCTTTCTAAAAGAAGTTATTTAACAAATGTATCTTTATTATTTTATTGTTTAATCAAACTGGAATTCACTAATATTCTTATTTGAACATAATAAACAAAATAGTTATTATTGACTTTTCAACAGTAACTAAGTGCATATTTATTAACAATAACAGGAAAATAAGTTTGCAATGTACACATTAATATTTCAATAATACAATATTATCAACACCTATAAATAAATAATGTATTATTAACTTAATCCTAATTAATTTGGTATTAAATATCAACTCAGTTTCTTATCTTAGAGTCAATAATATTAATAAATGAAAACTATATATTGTTATTTTAACCTTATTTTGTAATTAGTTGCAATATAATAATACTATTACGCTTAGGTATAATAAATAAAAGCATACCATTTATTGATTTTTAAGGTATTGAGTTTGTAAGTCTAAAAGTAAATGAGGTCTATTATGATGTCTATGGAAATAAATGTGGAGTGAGTGTGAATGAAAAGTAATACTAGTACTTACTGAAAAGAGTCAATAGACAATTTAGAGCATAGATATTTTAGGTATGGTTCAGTCAATATTTCATTGAAACTTTTGCATAAAATAACTATAAAAAATCATAATTACTTTATTAGCTAAGCAAAAAAATAAATTATTAATAAGTATTTATTATTTAATTGTATAATGTTTTATCCTATTTGTATTCTCTTCTATAGCTTCTTTAATAGCTATTTGGTTAAGGCCACACAACTAATACAATATATGTTTTTCCTTTTGTTTTTTTTTGTTTGGTTGTTTATTCATTTACAACACAATTTAAAATTCTTAACATGATTCATATTTTATCAAAGCAATAGAAATCAGCATATGTTTTATTATCTTATTCGATACATCATTATCACTACTTATTTGCAAAATTATAAATAGTCAATCCTAGACCAAAGGGGAATGCCAAGTCCCCATAGTAATTTAGGCCCACTGTGCACACATATAAAAGTTCATGATTATAATAGAGGGTAATTCCAATAATCAATTGGTAAAAGAAATTATATCAAAAATACTTGGCACTTAAAAGTTATTAAAGGTTTTATTATTTCATCAACACTAGTAACGTTAAAAAAACCAAATAATAATTATTTTAATTTTATAGTGTGGAAGTGTAAAGCTTAATAACTGGGAGTAAAATAACACAAAACACCTTTAGTTTTACATATTTATTCTTGTTGATCATCACCATATATGAGTAAAACATCATCAACAAATTGTGCGGGTGGAAATACATTATTTTGATGCCTTTTCCATCCTAAATACCATATTATTATCACGGTCATGACATAAGCACAGCATCCTACAGTACGCCAGCCACCAATACAGTTACTACTGCATGGCCTGTGTCAACAGTGCCAACTAAAACCGATATACAGCTTTTTGCAACGAACATGACGACTAGCAATTCTGGTCCTTACCAGTGAACAGATTTGTGCAAATATAGTGATTGTTCTATTACTATTATTAGTACATACTTCTATACAGTATGCCCCAGTAAATCTCATTTGCTCGCCATAGTATGAGCGAGCTTGCTTATGTTAATAAGTGTCACAAGCAATCAATATTAAATCACTTATTTATATTTATACCAGGGAATTCTCTTATATCTCATTATTAACAGTAATGTTTTGAAAATCTCAAATCTTGTTGTATGTCGCATTTCATTCCAAGCATTTGTCCTACATGCATGGCACACTAGACTATCACTTGTACCTACAAGAAAAGATGAGAGCAGTTACAAATCAGCACATAAGGTACTTTTAAAATACTATTAAGTACTAAGAGATTTTAAATATATATGATCATTAATTACCTGGCTAATCCATTGTTGTATAAGATTTCGAACTTCAGTGATTTCCAAAGTATGTCTTCGAATTCTAGATACATTCAAACCGCAGTATAAACAACGTAGATCACCACTCACAGCAGTAGATGACTGTTGTGAATAACTAGGTCCAGAGTAAATGCCGGGTTCGTCGTCGGTCGAAGCGTGTACGGTGTAATACCAAATCAACATTGTCGATACTAAGTCCAGACTGAATGCCGGGTTCGTAAGCCAAAGCGTCTAATACTAAATCCAATTTATCACCAGTATCGTCATGAGCAGCAGGAGCAGAATCCATAATCAGGCTGTAGTCGTCAAGGATAGAAGAATCCTCAAAGTTAATGAGTGAAAGTAGTCAATTTAAACCACGATTAGTATACACAAGTCGTATGTAAACAAACAAGCAATGATTTTGACATTAACTTTTTCCGGCGGCTTGTCAAAAGTTGACTTGATGTTGCCATAAGAAGAAAAAATCGATAGATCGATTATATTATTATTTCACAAAAAAATTGTTCTTTAATGGAAATAATATTAGTTTCCATAACATGATATTCATTAATTCATTTTCTTTTCGGAAAAATATCTCTGTTTATTAAAAATAATATCACTCTTATTTTTTTTTTGTAAAGGCAACATCTTGAAAATATTTTTATGTTTCCTAAGATTAGTCATTTTCATATCTATTTAATGTTTTTGAAAAAATATCCCATCATGCACAGACTTATGAATATATGCAAGACATGAGTAAAATAACAAGGTATTTTTCTACTGAAACCAATTTGTTGTGCAGCTCTGGGCCTAAAATTGGCATTCCCCTTTGTTAGCAATTACTCAGATTTTAAATTTCCTTCAACAGTTAGCTATGAATTAGCAAGTAATTGTAACAGGAATCGTATTGCATGCTTTTTGGTATAGTTCAGGCAGAGATTGATTTCCTAGTATCTTACCCAGGGCAGGAGAAGTCATGATTTCACCCCAATCTACAGCAAGCCGTCTGCCTGGTGTCTAAGCACTTCTATTTGAGATTTGCTTTCAGAAATTAAGTACATACAATCGTGTTTGGGGCTTCAACTTGTTGAAATGATATTAAGACTATATGTATACTTAAATGTTTTATAAATAATTAGTGGCTTATCTATGCAAAAGCCTGCTATCCGTGGATATCACAGTTAACCATCATTCCCTGAAGGAAGTCCAATTATATTCAGAGTGCAGCAGTGAACTGAGTGAGCTAAAATGCAGTTGTAGATGATGATATAATTACCAATAACATACTTACGTAATAAAGATTTTCCTGACACTTGCACCAATCACGACTCCTCCCCTTAACATGACCTTGGCCTCTAAGTTTGTTTCGGCATTTCTTCTCAGAGTAGTCAGATAGGAAATGCCGGCTTCATCTCGTTTTTTACATATAATTTGACGTGTAAAAGTGCCGTTTAATGGCCTATTTGCAAAAATAAATTCATTGTTTCATTAACATACAGCAAACATACATTAACAGCATGTTCCAAATTCGCCCAAAACAAAAATCTGTGTGTATCGTGTAGTGTTGGCATGGGATTAATCTCCTTTCTCTTCCTCTCTCATTCTAACTACATTCACACGAATGTCGTAGGAAACAGTACCGATATGAATGGTTTGATTGGCATGTGGGTGTCGGGCACAGGATGTTGTTGATTCACAATAAATTGTCACTGTTTGATTACGTTTTTAACGCAAGGCCGGCGCGTATTATTCAATTGAATTTTTTATTCCTTGTCCGTAGTCCTAGTATGGACTGTGTTCGCAGGGCCGTGTTAGGCAATAAAGAACTAATCGAGATAAAGCTTCAATTAGAACGTAGTATTTGCTTTTTAATGAAACAACTATCTTTTATTGCTTAACTCTTTTTGAAGCGCTCAGCTTGTGTATTGGTTAACATCGTTAATATACGAGCGACGCATAAAAAATACTTTAAAACACGAAGTAGGTAGGTAACCTCAATATGCATGGAACCACCCAAGCGTGTCCCGAAAAGCGTAACAGAAACAATACATGTTAAGGTCGTCGCTTCTCGTTACTGAGCCATTCACGTTAATCAACACGTAAGTATAATCTACATTTGAATAACTAAGCCTAAGTTCGTGCATACAACAAGGAAACATTCCACGAACCCGTTTGCTCAAAAGGTCGTGAGCACGGCTTGCCGACTCTAATTGCAGAAAAAACTAGGAAATAAGGCCTTAATACTGGGGTAATGCGACTATAAATACTTTTCTCTCTTTTAATATCGTTTCGATCACGTTTTCACATCGCATTAACACCTTTACGCCGCCATTGTTCCGCTCTATATATCATACAAACATAAGTTAGATAACAATTAAATATGTAAGTATCACAAACTTGTTATATAATTAAGTGGTTTCAAGTGCGTATGTTTACTTATATAATGAGGATAAATAAACTTTCCTCTACTCAGGAAACTGGTTATAACTATGTCTGTCTCATTTTAGAGAAATCTAATCTTATAAGATACCTACAACATAATATATAATGTGACATACATAGAGACGGGAATTCTAAATAATTGTGTCTACTTCAATAGCCGATACTATTCCATCCATCTTTATTTCTTCAACCTATGATAAAGAAATCTTGATTTGTTGTTCCTATCCGAAAATGAACTGTCAACACTAAATC